TTTTTGAAACAGAGAGAAATATTACAAACGTTAGATGAGGATGCAGATGAAAATCCATTTTTGGCTTGTTTTCAAACTGAGAGGACTATAATAAGAGATAAAAATGAGTTTTTAAACGATAAAAGTATAGATAGACTACTCTCATCAAAAGTAATATTAGTTGCACACCTTATACAAATTAACCATGAGTTTAACAAGTCAAAGTCAAAAGATACCTTCCGCTTCCGACTACATCATTCTAATATGAATATACCTACTGAAATCTTCGAGTCGGGAATAAAGGGGAATTTTACACTGATTCCACTCAGTCCCATGTATTTAAGAATGAAAAAAGCCTTAAGGGAAATAAAATCAATGGATATAGATTCTCATATAGCACCTAAACTTGCAATGAGACAAATTAAAAGTAAAGTCGTCGGGGACATCTCGAGTTTGGATTATTTAGCAGACACATTTGATAACTTTCCAGACGTTCCAAGTCAATATTTTCGATCTGTTAATAACATACAAAAGGAAAAAATTATAAATGCAATGCAAAATGAATTTACTCTAATTTGGGGACCACCAGGAACGGGTAAAACCGTTACGGGTGTTCGTATAGCATACTGGTATAGTATCATAAATGCATTCAAGCATCAACAATTAAACCAGAAGAAGAAAAAAGTAATGTATTGTGGACCATCTAATCGTTCAGTTGATGTTGTGGCCATGGTGTTTAAAGAGTGTTTACCAGATACGAAGATATTACGAATTTATGGATCACAATACGAACAATCAGACTTTCCGATACCACGTTCAGCATATACGAAACGGGAAAAATGCAATCCTCTACTTAAATATTGTTCTCTACATCATTTGATTCGACAAGAAAAAGCAAAGTATTCACGAGAAATTTTACAGTTTGATCAGACATTTAAGCGTTTGAAGCCAGAAGAGGCTTTAGAAACGGATATTGATCGTTATAAGAAAATTCTACGTTTAGCATCCATAGAAGAAACTCAAAAATATGATATAATCTTATGTACAACAAGTCTTTGTGGTAATGATCGCGTAATTGAATCCTTGAAAGACAAAGTGGAACAATGTATTGTTGATGAAGCAGGAATGTGCATTGAACCTGAGACTTTATTACCAATTGCTACTTACAAACCGAAGCAAGTTGTCCTAATTGGAGATCATAAACAACTAAAAGCAACCATCTTTTCAAAAATTGCCCAAGATCTGGAGATGGGGAAATCACTCTTTGAAATTTTTAACGTTTTAGAAACTTCTTCCAGCATGTTGGAAGATCAATATCGTATGAAACCAACTATTTGCAAATTAGCATCCAAATTATTTTATGAAGGAAAGCTCAAAACGGTTAACTTAAATAAAAAGTTTAAGTTTGAAGAAATGGCTTTTTGTCAACTGGAAGGAGATGAAGAGTCTCTTACAGTGACTACAGAGGAGGGGCACGAGCACTCAAAAAAGAATGACGAAGAAGTTCATGCTGCAATTGAAATCTTTCGTGCACTACGATATATTTGCCCACGTGCAAAAATCGGACTACTATCCCAGTATAGGGCTCAATGTAACGCCATTCAAAAGGAATTAAGCAGCGAAGGACACTGCGATTATGATGTCAGAACGGTTTCAAGTAGTCAGGGAGGAGAATGGGACTACGTTATCTTTAGTACGGTTCGATCTCTTGGAGAGCATGATATTGATCGTGAAGCAAGTGATGGATGGAAAAAGAAAAATTTAGGTTTCATTACCGATCCAAACCAAGCCTGCGTAGCTTTAACAAGAGCAAAATATGGATTAATTATAGTAGGTTAGTACTATATTTTTCATTCCTAAACTGTACATAAGTATATTTTTTAGAAGACTAAAAGTATTATTTTCTATTTTATAGGTAACGCAAAACTTCTGTCTTGTGACAAATTATGGAAAGATATTATTGATTATTTCAAGACCAATCGTCGATATTTCGACTACAAGTATTACAGAGATAATTGTCTCAACTCTATTGGATCGTATCGGGGTTGTAATGCCATCTCCAATAAGTCATGTGCTTAATAACAAAAATATTTTGATTTATTTATTAATATCTCTAATTTAATTAAAAGATATATTAGGTAGAATAATCAATGAATTGAATAATATTAAAAATATTTTATTTTAATTGTTTAATACAAGCTTAATACACACGAATGATTAAAGACTTAAAATTTTTAATGAATGTTAAGATAAGACGCATAAGAATCTGAACAATATCTCTACAATAGTTATATCCAGCTCTTATGTCGGGCAAAATGTTCAAGATACTTTTGTATTGAATTTGAAATTTGTTGGCAATTCCCTCTTCAAAGATAGGGAAGATGATATATCATTTGACAGTAGGAATAGTCTTTTACAGTCTCCCTTCGACGGGGATATGGACACTTGAGAAGAATCAGAAAAGTGGAAGTAGAGATATGTGATAAGTGTCTACCCAATAAAGATTTCTTAAGGCTATAATTTATAGAAGTCTAATGGGAAAAGGATATTTTATTATATTATAAAAGTATTGAGGTGGTATTTTACTCCCTTAACAAGTGAGACTTAACACGCCAAAGGTAGCAAAGGCCAGAAATAAACAAAAATGTACTTTATCACAGATCTTAATCAAGTTTTAAGTTTCCTTGACAAAATCAACATGAGAATTAATTGTTCTTATTTCGTGTAATCTGTTGATATATAACTTGTTATACTATTTTTGAAATCGTAACCTATAATATATATAAAGAATTTTATAGGTAACAAAAATCTGTTAGAGTTCTGCAAGAGGATTTTAGACGATGTATCTTTGATTGATGATTACTAGTGCATTAGCATTAAATCTATATAAACTGATTTAATCTACTATTTTTAAATTATGCATATGAAAAATATATAAAACTTGAATAGGTCACCTCGTTTTCTAGGTTGAAATAGCATCAGCCGATTTGGTAGACGTGATAGGCCAAATTTCTCTTATCTATAGATCTAATTATAAAATTAATTCCTGCTACCTGAAAGAGTTTTGATAGATATTGTCCTTGTTTAATACTGAAAGTGAATTAGCTTACAATTGCCAGATATAGAATAACAATACATTTTGAATTTTTAAAAAATATCTAATATTAATTAGATTATATTCAAATATTAGGAAAATATATCTATTTTATTATACAAGTAACACTAAGGCTATATATAGTATCTTTTTTTTTAATATTGATTACGTAATAGCTTTAGGATTTTGCAAGATTTGTTAATATAATTAATTAGTAAGAAAATTTAAGTATGCATTCTTTATTTAATAGTTCTATGCAAGTATTATTCTTTAAATCTTCTTAAATTAAGGGAATCTATTCCTTATCAAATTTGCATAAATTTACTCTCAGATAAGCTAGGTATGAGTCAATAATTATCTGGATAAAAATAATAACCTCATTTCTTCAAGGTTGATCTATTAGCCACATGTTTAGTCTAATTAGAAAATAATGTATTATCTCATTAATAAACATTACCGTATAGTTATTAATATGAATATTCTAATTATTTAATATGCATAATTTTAAGTTTAATGATTCAAAGTGGTTCTTTATTAATTTTTTAAATAAATAACCTATTCTATCATCCATTTATTTGACACAAAAATCTCAGAAAAAGTTAACCTATAACGCCCACAACTCGGCGCCCCTGTCTCCCCACCCATGCCCCCCTCCCAGCACTCAAACCAAGCCCCATGGTCCTTGCCCCTCGACCCCTCCCTTTCTCTAAAAAGTTTTTAATATGAAAATAATATTATTTGAATACCAGCATTCAGTAATAATAATAATAATAATAGTAAAATAATAACATAGCACAGTTTAATATTGCATTATCGCTCCAATATGATATTGCTACTCTTGTCGTTTAAACATAGTTAAAAATTATTATAAATCAGAGTTAAATAACATTATAATATACACTATTTTAGGTGTTTCTTCTTCTTTATATATATATATATATATACAGTATATTTACTTAAAATCTAGGATTTTAATCTGACCTTCTTCCTTGTCTTGAATGAAATATCTTCTCCTATTGAATTTATTGAATACTATGGTATGTTAAAGAAAAGAGAGGAATGCAAGAAGTACTACTTGTTCACTAATAACTTTCTCAGTAATATTTACCTTATGTTAAGTGTTTATACCTTATCTTGTCATAGTGTCTTATGTATATTATTATTCCCCGATTAATATAGAATTCTAATTGAAAATTAGTAAAAATTGGTTAAAATGTATCAAGAATTTAGAATGTTTAACTAAATATAGCAGTTTTCAATTGTTTAATTGTATAGTTAATTAGTTTAGACTGTCAAGAATTAATAGTATAAAATTTCTATAACAAAGATAAAGAATGTACTTGGGAATCTGGACTTCAGAGGAATAGTATAAATCCATATCGAAATGTTCCTAAACTCTTAACACACCACCTTCTACATACTTTTTTAATAATAACGTTCATTGTAATTGCAAGATTTAATCCGTTAATGCATTAAGTTTCTATAATTATAAAAAAAAATAGGGATTATCCAGTTAGAAATCGTTAATCATAATTAAAAATTGAATGACTTCATCAATTTGGACTTTATCTAGACTGTTCATTTTGAATCTTTTTCTTATATTTAAAGAAATGACTTGTGTTCCTTATTCTATGAGATATTCAATAGATATAAGAATGAATGCATTGATAGAAGGAGAAAAGTTACTTTCTCTTTGAAGGAGCGAAAAAGAAAGCTGGATATTAATATTTATAAGATAGGTTTTCTTTACTATTTACGAATAGCTTACTATACTAGGCTAGCCAATTGAGGACAACACCTTAAATTTAAATTACATGAGACGACCTGAATAGAAAATGACTGGGGCCTGAACGGAACAATACAGACTGAAGTGAATTGAATCTGCCAGAATTATAAGAAAGGCCGATTTCTTTACAGGTTTTTTTTCAGTTACGGCCATGGAATTGAACAGTCAAGAAGAGAAAAGTCTGGCTAATTGGTCAAACGTCTTAAATAATGTTGCCGTTGCATTACGCAAATCCGTGCGAAATCCATCTTGGTCTTATGATAAGACAATGGAGTCAAATTCTTCGTTTGGAAGCCATATAGCTACGTTAGAGCAGCTGCAAAACAAGTTAGCTAACCTTCAAGCACATTTGGAGGAGAACTACGAAGAAGCAGCTAAACTTTTACCGACGAAAATTCCTGATGCAACAGCATTAAAACGCTGTCGCCATCTGTTTGAGAACTGTGAAAATGAGAAAGAATTAGAATCAGTTCTAAAACTTCTCCAACGTCAGAATTTATCCTTTCAACTGAAACTGTGGAATGAACAATTGGCAGAAGTGGCATCCAGTTTTCTCAGTATGGAAGATCGCCTTAAATTCGCTTCCGGATACATACCTCAAAAACGCGTAAAAGAAGAAGTACCTAATGATAATCCTGCAAATAATACAAATCAATCCGATTCTTCACTAACTAATGGCAATACTGAAGAAGAACCGAAATCGATCAGTCTTGAAACTTTAATTACACAGGTAACTTAAGGGAATGTTAAAAATACCTGAATTTACTAAAAGAGCGAATATTTACTAAAAACTAGATAACCAATGAATGGAAAACGATTAGGCGTGGCCTTTCAGAAACTACTACAAAATCAAATCAACAGATCGATTCGTTCGATTCGTTAATAAGTCAATTGGAAAAAACAGATCTGAATCTTGACCAATCTGATAAATTATCCAAAAACAAGGGAAAACAATATACCGAGTTAGCCTAATTTTATAATTTTCACTGAGAATGAATAATTTTTAACAATAGGCCTACTTACTCTTTTTTTTTCATAGATTGCCTTCTTCAGGAACTAATATAGACCTATCCCAGGAGGTTATTCCATTTTTCTTTCCCCTTCTTCTACTTCCTCTTCGATTAATAATCTAGTAATTAAAATTTGACATATGTATATATATATATATATATAGATTAAAAGCGATTTTGAAAAGTTAATGGACTTTAAATGGGAAGAGGCAGAAGAATGTTTAAGGAGAACTGTTTCTTCAATTAGTGATGAAAAGATAATTGATCTTTTACACACTTATCTTAGGGTAAGTAGCTTGACATTCTCTTTAAAGCGATCAAAAGTTCAAAAAATAATTTTTCTTCTCAATTAATCTTAGGAATGTTACGTTCTCGCTAGGCCTACTTTGCAACAGGTAAGCAGTTTGACCGTACGGCTCGCTCAACAGCCAGTAAAAACTGTAAAAGAATTAAGAGATGGAGGGAAGATAAAAGTTGACATGACAACGTAAGAATAATCACCTTAAAATTAATTATTTTAATATTTCTCCTTAATATATTAATACTAAAGAAATACAAAGAAAAAAGAGAATGTTTTGAAATTGGAACAGTTTATAAGAGATTCTCTTAAACAAGAAATTTTTAGAGCAGACGTTACACCATTAGCAGAGGTAATTGAATAATTAATTGTATATCTTTAAATTAATTAATCGTAAGTTACGTTTGTTTTTGTAGGAAGCGGAGAGAAGGGTTTATAAAATATTCTCTAACGAACTACCAATGAACTTGATAAGGAAAAAAAAAGAAATCGGTAATTTTATTTTAGCATGCGCTCAACTTGTTTGGAAGATGACTATCCAGCAACCAATGCTTACTTTTGACGTCTCTCCACCAACGTTTAACCCACTACTCCACGAACCGTTAGTCCCTAATTATCAAGTTAAAAAGGGCAAAAGAATAGCTGCCTATGCAATACCTATCTTAAGAGGAGCTAAAGATAAGGTTATATGTAAAGGACGAGTAATTTTTTAACTTTGAAGCATTTTTTTTTTATATAAAAAAAACTCTGTTGAAAAATAATTAAAACTTCTAATTTCAAATATTTAAAAAACTATATTACTGTATAAATATATATATAATATATATATATATCTATATATATGAATATTTATTAATACATATTTACATATATATATATATATATATATATATTGTAAAAAAAAGAGTAACATGATAATTTTCAATGAAAGTCTTCCGTTATAAGAAATTATATAAACATCTGGGTATTTTCTATCATAGAGGAACTATTTTTGGGGTTATAGGTTCAACAACATCTCTATTTATATATGGTACTTACTACTATATGAATCGTAGGTTATATATTGGTGATAAATTAAAATATGGCTGTCTACTTAACAATGAAAACGATATTGTCTTACCTTACCAAAGACGACCAAAACTAGAACAAAGATTATGCGATGTTCTCTCGTCTAGTCCCACTAATTTATTTTATATTGTTAATGGTCAAAAAGGAACTGGTAAAACGAGGACTATAGTTGAATTAATCAAAAGCCGGATGAGCAGCGATGGAAATGAAACGTGGATGCTCTACGTGCCTGTCCGATCAGCCAAAGTTTTTCCAAAGGACTTGTACTTTGCATTCAATCTAAAATTAGAATGGTATTTAAAGAATTTATTGAATTACACAATGAATAACATTCTCGAGAGCATTTTAGAAGATATTGAACAAGCTACTAAAGAATTTAATGAACAAACAGGTAAATTACCAGTAATTGTTATAGACAACTTTGAGAATTTAGAAGAAGAGAATGAAGAATTCGTTAGAACCTTGTTACTCAAGGCTAATGAATGGGCCATAAGGAATTCTATAAAAGTAGTTTTCGTATCAAGTAGTAATTATTCTTCCTGTCTACGACTGCTTGAAAATCATCAGACTCTCTGGAAAAGATCAGGTTCAACCTTGACAATTAGAGATTTGACATTCGAAGAATCGTTTAGCTACTTAAATAATCCTATAACAATCTTTGACGAAGATGGAAATTACAAATGTAAATTAAAAATGGATAAGAGTAGGATATGCGAAATTATTTCTTTAGTTGGTGGAAGATTAGAATATCTCGAGAGATTTAAAAAAGATTGGATATTAGGTATTAACTTTGAAGAAACCGCCCAACAATTAATAGAAAAAGAGAACGAAAGATTATTAATAGCGTATAAGACGAGTGAAAAGTGGAAGATCATGATAAAAATAGGTAAATCCAAAGACGGTATATTTTTAGAAGATATTCACAAAGAATTCTCCGAAGAAGAAATCCATAATCTCCTTATACTTGGCGTTCTAAAATTAAAAAAATCAAATGGCAAATTAAAATTAAAATTCGACTCTAGACTATCTAAAAGAGTCTTTGAAGAACGGATGACTAAGTAATTAATAACAAATTAAACAAGAAAGATAAGATTAATCCATTAACAAGCACAAATAAATTGATTGAATGGTTATTTACTTTTATACATCTGATAAATGATATACAGTTTATATCAGTATAGTAACACATTATTTCTCAATTTTCTCTCTCTCTCTCTGTCTCTTTCATTAAGAGATGCCGTACTTCTTTTAAATTAATAAAAGTAGTAACAAATAGGTTAGTCAGTCGCTCAATCGATAATTTTTCATCGCTACAAGTATAGTTATGAAAGTGAAATATTCCTTTCATAAGACTGGTAACATACTTTATAAACATATTTAACTGGTAATAATTAAGTGAGTTCTATTCTGTTATTTTTTTTGTTCAGCAAATCTTCTATAAGCTATTTGATTTATCTTTATGATTACAGCGCTGTTTCCTGTTTTTTTCTACTTAGAACGGCGTTACTTTCTTTTTTAAGGCGTTCCCCTCTATCTATAGTTCTTTGAAACAATATACTTTTCATCGGATAATAGGATTCCCTTCTTGTTCTGATTTTAGGTTTATTTAAGGGGGTTATGTTATAAAAAGAAAAGTTTATAGAACGAATGAATAGCAAATATTCATTATTAGCAAAGGTAGATGTCGCTATTAATTTTTCTTGTGCCACCCCTGGTGAGCACCTCGGTTACGATTAATTAGTTATTCGCCTACCAGCTCGCGTGGTGACAGCATTACTTGTTCGAAGTAAGGTAAAAATATATCATAATTTCTTATTTCTTTTGCACAATTACTATACTAGCCGAAATTATTATATAGGCTTAAGCCAATTGTTTGATAAAATTGTAAAAAGTTTTATTTTATTTGACCTAAATTTTTTAGAATATTACGTTAAATGATATAAGTACTCTTAACGACATTTTTTATGAAATGTCTGCGAAAATTCAGATACTCCATTTTTTTTTAAATGTTCTTGAATTTTCCGAATTTTTAACACTTTTCCTGTAGCGTAGGTTTATACCTGAACAATGTTCTATGGTAATATAATAATCTAGTCGTTTTTAATACCTAGATAAAACGATTTTTGAATATCAAAGCGTAATATATTATAAACGGAACAATCAATACGACCATGTCCGAAAACTCGTTCATGTAATTGAAGGTTGATACCTTTTTGCTTTTTCAAGGCGTTTCTATTCGTGAAAGATTTAGTTTTGAAAAGAAAAAAAATGAACGAGAAATTATTTGCTTTGAGTAGGCTTAATAAACTTTGCTGTAGCCAGTCGATGAGGTCGTTATAACTACCGTGGCAAACCAACCATATTAGTTTTTTCAGACATTACGTGTTAAAAAAAAAATGATTCTTTTCTCTTTTATGGAAGAAAAAAAAATTAAGGCGTGTTTTAACGATACTACTCAAAAAGAAAATTGACACGTAGACAAATTTTCTTTTCTGATATTAATTTATCACGTTGCATTTTATACGATATTTTATATGTAAAAAGGCTTTTTTTTCATTTTAGAATCAATTAAAAGAGAAAAAAATCGATTATGCCTGGAAATGTGAACCAAAAGAAATATAAGGCTGAGGAAGATTTCCCAGACTTGAGTAAGCATAATAACTGGATGGCTAAATGCTTGACCAAGGAGATTTACGCCAATTTGCGTGATAAGGTTACTCCAAGTGGTTTCACGCTTGATCAAGTTATCCAAACTGGTGTCGATAATCCCGGCCATCCTTTTATTATGACTGTTGGAGCTGTTGCCGGCGATGAAGAAACTTACACCGTTTTCAAGGAACTTTTAGACCCGATCATTGACGGTAGACACGGCGGCTATGGTCCCGATCAAAAACATCCTTCCGACTTGGATTGGACCAAGCTAAAGGGTGGCGAATTCGATCCTAAGTATGTTCTCTCTTCAAGAGTTAGAACTGGTAGATCTATTAAGGGAATTGCCCTCCCACCTCACTGCACTAGAGGAGAGAGAAGAAAGGTGGAAAGTATTGTCACCGAGGCTCTTGGTTCTCTCACTGGCGAATACAAAGGAAAATACTATCCTTTGTCGACAATGACCGAAAAGGAGCAAAATCAACTGATCGAAGATCATTTCCTTTTTGATAAACCAGTATCTCCCCTACTTACTTGCGCTGGAATGGCTAGGGATTGGCCCGATGCCAGAGGAATTTGGCACAATGATGAAAAGACCTTCCTTGTTTGGATCAATGAAGAAGATCATACTCGTGTCATCTCTATGCAAAAGGGTGGCGATATGAAATCTGTTTTCCGTAGATTTTGCGAAGGTCTCCAAAAGGTAGAAGACTGCATGAAAGCTAAAGGTCAATCCTACATGTGGAATGAGCATCTCGGCTACATTCTAACCTGTCCCTCGAATCTCGGAACTGGTCTTAGAGCTGGTGTCCATGTTAAGATCCCAAAGCTTAGCAAAGATGAAAAACAATTGAATGCCATATTGGACAAACTTCGCCTGCAAAAGAGAGGAACTGGTGGCGTAGACACCGAAGCCACTGGAGGGACTTACGATATCTCCAACAGCGATCGTCTTGGTTATTCGGAAGTGCAACTAGCACAATTTGTTGTTGACGGCGTTAATCTACTTGTTGAAATGGAAAAGAAACTAGAAAAGGGACAAAGTATCGAAGATCTTATCCCAAAAGAGAAGATTAAATAGAGAACCTTTATTCTTTATTTTGTGTGCTTATTTGTTTTGTGCAGACAAAATTTTTGGCTTGAGTAGCAAAATATAATCGCTAGAATTTGACCTTTATCGTTCATTTATTACATTTACCTAGATCTAAGATTCTTCACCTTCAAAATTTATTATCGTTCATCCTCATCTTCAAGCTTAATAAATTAATTAGGAAATATCGTGTCTAAAAAGGCAACTACCCAGACAAGACACGCCCATAAAGTAAAATAAATAGGACAGACTAGGCTTAGTTAGGTCTGCAATTCGAATTAACGAGGACGGTATACATAAGATATTATATATGAATGGGATTCCGAATGGGAAAAGAATTAAGTGGACTTGCTTTATTAGACATTCCAACCCGTCATATCTCTGTGTTTCCTACTTATCCACGTACCTATTTCTTTATTATACCATTATTTACTCAACCTATTTCTCTTACGAAGCCATTAAAATCATAAAACTTCTTAATTTATAGACGAAATTTGTAATCCGTCGTTCACTTTAAACAAAAAATAATAGGATTTATCTTTATGAATTAACAATAAGTATTATTATAAACAATCTAACTGCAGACGAACATTGATTGCTGCAAGTTCGGCCGCAAAAACTTTCATAATGTAAGGTATATGAATAGTCTCAATATGCTTACGAGACTTGCATAAAAGGCATTTCCAGGCTGAATCATTTTTGGTGTTATCTAAAATTGGCGAAAGCATATCTCCGCATTTTTTGCAAATCCTCACTGCACATCTATCTGAACAGTTCATGAGACGGTCTTGAACAAGATAACTTGCTCCGTGAGCAATTAATGCGTCCCTTTCCATCTCTCCGAAACGTACACCACCCATTCGACTTCTTCCTTTAACCGGCTGAAGTGTCAACGAATCGACAGGTCCTGTAGTACGGACTTGAAATTTATCAGAAACCATGTGACGCAACCTCTGATAGTAAATTGTTCCTATAAATATATCAGCTTCTATTTCTTCTCCATTTGTCCCACTATATAATCTTTCTGTGCCGTAATAATTATATCCCGCAGCTACTAGATGTTTGCCGAAGTAATCATAAGCAGTATCCTCCTCATTAAACACGAACGGACTAGCCTCATGGACTTTACCGTGCATACAAGCACTCTTTCCAGCCATACTTTCGATTAACATACCTATTGTCATTCTTGAAGGGAAGCCATGAGGATTGAAAAGGATATCAGGAGTCATCCCACTCTCCGTGAAAGGCATATCTTCTACTGGCCACAGCTGACTGCAAATACCTTTCTGACCGTGTCTGGATGAAAATTTATCTCCTATAGTTGGGTTTCTTCTGTATCTTAACGTGACAGCGGCTGAAATATATCTATTATCCTCGGTATACGAAGTTCCAATAGCTTTAACACAATGAATAAAAGCGTCCTCATTTTTTTCGTATTTTTTAACTTTCATTTCACCAGTTTGTAAATTTATGGAAGCATAATAAGGATCACCAGCCCGTAAAAGTGAACCTAGTGGGGGGAAACCATCTGCTTCCAACATATAACTACTACCGACAATTCTCGGATCGTTGGGTTTAATTCCTGTTATAAAAGAGGAAATAATTTAACCTTTAACGTTAATGAAACAAAAATATTTAACAAATACCAAAGACAAAATCAGTACTCTTTAGTCTATTTCCTCTGCCAGATTTTTCAGAACAGCTGACAAACTGTGACGACAAATCAAAAAAGATATATAGCTATAAAATAAATTTATATACATGCATTGTATAACAAAATCTTACATCCGTCTTATAAACTGTACCATGACAGAAGCCTCTCTCTTCAGCACTTTTACTAATGATCATAGCATCCTCCATATCATAGCCTGTATAAGAAATAACAGCAACAATTGCATTTGTTCCCATGGGATATTCATCCATTTTATAATGGTCATGAGCATAAGGTCTAACAAGTGGGCTTTGTCCCGTCTCCAATTTATACAATTTATTATCCGAACGAAATTGATAAGCGTGAACCGGTGTTGCTAAGGTTTGCTTAGCCATCTGACACTGATACATGTTCCTTGGAGATTGATTATTGTCAGAGAAGGGCGTCAAGCTAGCTAGAGTGGATAACATAGCCGTTTCACTTAATTCCATATGAGTTGTTAGACCTTTGTGAAATTCATCAGCAGTTATACAAATATCCAAGTAAGCCTGTTCGAAAGTGCCAATAAGCTCAATTTCATCTTCTATTAGATTCTTAACGGGTCTAAGCATTCTAGCAGAGGTTGTAAATAAGTATATTCCAGGATATTGGCTGGCCACATTAGTTCTCTTCACAAAGCAAATTTCCAAAGACGACGGGATATTCTCCTCGCCTAAAACCTTAAAACGCCTAAGAGCAGTAACAGCTTCCCCAGCATTTTCATCTTTCAAACATCCTAGAACCTTACCGTTTAATAGAACAGTATAACTCTGATTGGTAAATTGTAGGATATCTCCAATATCTCTCATACCAAAAGAGGACAAAACCGAATGGATTCCTTCTTCGTCTTCAGCTTGCGTTAGAACTTGGCAATTTGCTGTTAAATGATTTAGTAAACCGCAAGGAGAGCCGTCAGGCGTGTGAACAGGGCATATAAATCCCCAAGCTTCGGGAAGCAGTTTTCTAACTCCGGTGGTTCTCATTTCAGTAAAAAATGCTCCTCTGTGTATCGATTGGAAATGTGATAAAAATCTTTGAAAATTTAATCTATCTGCAACCAAAACAAGACCAGTTGTCTGTAAGGAATATATAATAATATATGAGATAAATTTGATAATTTATAGATTTTTAACCCCAAAAATTTATAAAATATATAATAATCTTATAACCTGAAGTAAACCAATATTAGTCAATGACCTAAGGTTACCCGTAGCTATAAGGTATTCCGCTGCTGCTGTAATTTGTTGCGTCATCTTTATCACTTTAGAAAAGAAATCTAAAACGTGAAAAATAAATAAATATATACAGTATGTTGTATAATTATGTTTTCTCTTTTAATTATTTATCTTACTTAAATCCATAGTATCATTTTCTTCTGCATTTTTCATTACCTTCAAAGAAAACGTCTTAAAAGTATGTAACCAATTTTCAACCTTCTCTTGCAAAAAACGCTGATATAATTGTCCAGCTAATAGTACTTCCTGAAACATTGGATTATCAGGACTTTCTTCCGTACATTCTTTCTTTGAGAAACGAAACAGTTTTTGCGTCATATACCTAAACGATAATATTAATAATAATAATAATTGGAGAAGTATAAATCTTAATAAAGCAATTGATTATAATACTAACGCAAGTAAGTTAAATTTTTCCATATAATCATCAAGATGAACTAGAACTCCGTTGCTTAAATAAACAAAAATAATACAATTAAATATATCAAATACAGTTTGTATTATTTATTTATATTTACTCTATTAAATATTTTCCAATTTCGTAATCAGTCTTCCAATCAGGCAAACGATTGAATTTTACTCTGAACTTTTCGCCGAGATATGTTAGAAAATCTTTCTGACTGAACAATTTTTCCGGAAGAAGTAATCTCATCATGTTGGCAATACTCCTATCATTTGGAAATAATGAGATAAAACTTATTAAATATGTAAGCTATTTTCAGTAAATTTTTTCAATTAACCCTTTGTAGTAATCATTGTTTTCCATATCTTTAGTTAATTGTTTATAAATCCATTGATCCGGACGATCAATTAATGCCTAAAGAAATTAAAAGATTATTAAGAATTTACTGAATTTATATACTATTAAACAATTAAATTTTTACTTACTTTTAATATATACATCACTGGAATAAAGAACTGTTCTTTACTGAATATTAAACAGCAAACAACAGTTCCGTTCGTTAAATAATGTAGTGTTAAGTCCTATTTAATTACGAAAATTAGCTGTTTTTTCTTTCAATTGAAACATAAATAAAGGCAATATTTCACTTACAGAGACATTTTCATTTTGTCTAGTGCTCCTAACGTGTATACCATATTGACTATAAAATGCTCCTCTTTTCTTATAACTGGGTCTAGATATGGCCATTGGCTAAAGAAATTATATATATTGTTTCCCTCTTACTTATTATTAACAAAAAACTCGTTAAATAACTTACGTAATTTCTTCTAGGCATAATTAACATACGCATAAACTTTTCATTTCCCGATGATATAAAATATCCACCCAATTCCTAAAATAGAAATGTAATAGATGTAATAAAATATAATACATTTATATTAAGCACTTTGCTTATGTTAAATATTAAGTAAACTAATTATTATTTACCTCTGCTTCTTCACCTCTCTCAACAAGCTCTTTTGGAGAGAGTCCATACAAGTGACAAGCTTTCGACTGGAATTAAAACATAATTGTAAAATATTCCGGCCAATATATAAGTAGAGAGTAAATATACCTTGACCATTAGAGGAATTTCACCTATAATTTTTTCTTCCGGACCAAATTTCTCGCCATCAACTTCCCATGCTATGTGAATAGACAACTTTCCTTTGTAGGTTTTCCCTGCCATTCTACAGTGGGATGGATACACTCTACGATCTTTTACATTGCTAGTGGGATTTATTGGTTTAGATAAAGAAGCTGCCTGTATAATTGAATATATATGTACACATTAACATTAAAATTTCATGACAGTTTTGTATAAAGCCTACAGTGGCATAAAGAGAAATCCTTTTATTATTTGGTAACGTCCATTGTACAGGGGGTATAGCCTGAAACATGGTAAAATTTATCAAAATTTTTTATTTTGTAAAAATTAGAGTTCTTACTTGTACAGCTTCATTTAATCCATATTCGTACATAAAATTGAAAGATTCTAAATGAGGCTTTATAAGATCTTGTATTCGCTGAAAATACCATATTATCGCTTGTAAGTTTATTAAATAAATGAATAGAGTATGTTAGACTAGACATACTTTGTTTTGATGTTTGCCAAGACTGGCAAATTTAGAGGAAGTTAAATTCCTAAGTGATGGGTCTTTTATACTCATTTTTAATTATTTAAATAAAAATGAATATTTAGTCCAAAAAGTACATGTGCTTTTATTTGTACGGAATATTTCGCCAAAAGTTGGGTGTGTTTAAATTCAGTTGGAATTTATTCAACTGAAAGTACTGTAATGGCTAGGTATAAATTTTTTATTCTTAAGGATTTATTAGTACTATAAGAAGTTCATTTTAAACATTTATAGTTAAGTAATCAAAGTGACTTAAACATATAATTTAAAATTTTGATATTCAAAGTTGAGTTTTAGAAAAATAAACTTTGTTTTTGAAGTTAATATAAATGTTATAAAGGGTAAAAAATTAAACATACTTGATTTTGTATTTTAATCAAGTTATATCTGATTTTTTTTTAAAACCATTTAGGGTTATATTTCAGAGGAATAAGCATATGACTCTTCATGAATAATATAATATAAACTGTTCAAAAGTTGTAATAAATTTTAAGAACTGTGTTAATACTATTTTCAAGGGCTTTACACGAAAATTAATTTGGCAAAGGTAAATAAAGTTACTCTCAATTCGATATAAACAACTTTATAACCATCCACTTCCATGATTTAGTTAACCCGCTAGCTAAAATAAAAAATGGCGGAACCCGCAGCGCCTGATGCATCAAAACGCCGAAAAAGCGGTTGTCAACTAAGGAAATATTTTCTCGATCTTATTGCTGGAAAGTTCACGCCTGAATCTAATGATCCCCTGGATCAGTGGACAATAAAAGAGAAGCTAGCTGTAGCCTCTGCTGTTCAAAAACACGGAGACCAAAATTGGCCGGCGGTAGTTCGAATATGTAAACCTTTAGCTGAAAAGTATCGGAAAGATGATTTCTTTAATACAAAAACTTGTGCTGCTATGTATAATCGACTTTTGGAACAATTCGATACAAAGAGGAAGAGGATAGAAAAAAACTTTGAAGCTCCTGCCAGTTCAAATGCTTTAACCGCTAGTAACGGTCAAGATAAAAGTATTGTGGACCAAATTGTACAAAAATTAACTATTGATAGAATTGAACAATTAAAGGGATTGATTCCCAAGTATCACGAAGTTTATGATCAAATTGAAGCAGACTTAGAAGCCTGTGATAGGGATGACTTTGAAAGGAATCCTGAAACTGATTTTCTTTGCCAAGTGGAAATTCTACAAGAACTTGGCTATAAATTAGACGACGAGAGATGTAAAGTTATTTGGAATTTTGATGATCAAGGATGCACGTTTGTCCTACCTAAAGCGACAAAGGAAGAAACTCAATTAGCCTTGGATAAAAATGTTTGTCCACCCGGAAACATTTGGTGCCAGCTCGTTGATGGAAATAAGTTTGTCACATTAGGTAGGGAAGTTGACTTTAAATCATGTTCTCGACCGCCTGTTGCCGTTGATATGTGGGATTTGTTAAAAGTTATGGAGAGCAATGTTGTTGATTCAACAAAAACACCATGGCTTCCGCTAAAAGAAATTAATAGGGTAAGTATTACGCCGAAGGGAGATGATGAATTAATATACGTAAAGAACTCCTTCAAACTTATTTGGAAGAAAGCTACTGATGCAGATGAGACTGATTCACCAAACTTAGATCTTGAAGATGCTCTTGCTGTTATTAAGCAACAAGAGGAGGAAGATAAGAGAAAAGCTTCTGTCTCACTTCCTGCTACCGAAGAGAAAGATGTCGCTGATATAAAGATCGAACCAAGCATAATAGGAACGCTTGAGGAGAAAAAGATTATCTGCACAGAAGAAACAATTGAAGAAGCTGTTGACAATGAAATGACAATTGTTGATGTTAGCACTGTAGAGTCTGAATTGAATAATGAAACAAAACAGGATACTCCTACAGTTTCAAACGAAAAGATTGAATCCCCAACTAGTGATATTGAGGTTACAGAAGCGCCAACAAATAATACGATAAAGCAGGAAGAAGAAACGGAAAAGGAGCCTGATGTCCTCGAAAATGCTACAGAATCATCCACTGGCGAAGCTTCCCGTAGAATTATTAAAAATATTATCAACGAAAAAGAAGAAAAGTCACTAGAGGACGATGAAATTTTCACCAAGCCTCAATCAGTTAAAAGTAACGAACAGCAACCAGAAGAAAGTGTTGACGTTATCGAACCACCAAAAGAGATTAAAGAAGAAGTTAAAGAAGGAGAGGATAAGATCATCGAAGTTGTCAGTCCAAAAACACCCACTACACCTCAACCCGCCAAGTCAGTCAATAATAAAAAAACAAAGAGAAGAAGTTCTCGAATACGAGATTTTCGAAAGGACTCCACTGCATCTGATTCACAAGAGTCAATACCGCCTAGTCCTGTAACAGCCGATTCAGACACCGAAGCTGAGAGAGAGCAAAGAGTTTGGAGGAAGACAGCTATGCTAATGTACAGGGAGATTTCTCAACATAAATATGCCAATCCGTTCATGAAACCCGTGACTGACACGCAAGTACCCGGTTATTCAAAATTAATCTTCAAACCTATGGACCTAAGTACCATTCGCAAGAACATTGAAAATGGACTAATAAAAAATCACAATGAACTTCGAAGAGACGTTCTCTTAATGCTAGCCAATGCAAGAATGTTCAATACAGAAGACGAACAAGTCTTTGATATGGCCGGATCAATGATGACTGATGTCATTGAAGTAAGTTATTAAATATTTTTTAAAAGTTTCTTTTGTCAGAATGTAACTTTTCAACTAAATTTAGATATTGAACAATTTCGAAAAACATTCCTCCGGTGTAACTACATCAACACCATCTACCAGTAGAAAACGACGATCTGAGACTCTTTCCACCGATACTTTGCAGAGTTCCAGTTCAAATAAAAAGCGGAGAAAGTAGAAAACTGTAAAATAAAAAATATAATCAACTGGTCCTATTTATATTTGTAAATAAAAGTAAAAGGTGATAGATTTATAGTTTTTCGTTAAGTTAAACTATATATGAATAAGTAACCTAACATGTTAAGATGTTTATATGAACTTATGTATATTTGAAAAATAACAAACACTCACTCTTTCTTTAAGTTTCTATTATAAATATTTTCTAAATTCGAAAAAACGAATTACAATATACTTTTGTACGATTTGAGAAATTATTGAATTTTTTATATATCGTTCGTGTTAATACCAAGTTTCTATTCAATTTGATAAAAGTGATTATGCTTAATAAGTTGTATGATGTGTTTTTGATAATTTTTATGAAATCCAGTATTTAGTAATACCAGCAGAAAATTTATTACCAGTTGTTACGTTCACTTTGAAGAAAGGTTAAGGGCGATTAATATGGCTGGAATTAAAAGCCAAATCTTTTTGAAGAACAAGGTAAGATTGACTCGTAACTACTGCATGAGTGACTCAGTCTTATTATGCATTTCGGATAGTACTTTTTAATATAAATTAAAATTTTCTACCGTATTTTCTGAAGAAGAAAATATTTTTCCGGTCAATTACTGGGGTGATTTGCTGCTTACGTAACACGTTTCCAAATTTCAGGGACTTCTCAATATTTTAAAGCGATATGCTTCTACAAATGTGCCAAAGGAAGTGGTTATTGTCAGTGCGGCAAGAACACCAATTGGATGTTTCCAAAGTTCCCTCTCGTCCATGACCGCCCCTGAACTTGGGACCGTCGCCATAAAAGGAGCAATTGATCGCGCCGGAATACAAGCAACAGATATTGAAGAAGTTTACATGGGCCAAGTGATTCAAGCTCGTGCTAAACAAGCCCCTACGAGACAAGCTGCATTGGGAGCCAAATGTTCGGACACAACTCCTTGCACAACAATTAACAAAGTATGTGCTTCTGGTATGAAAGCGATAATGATGGCAGCTCAATCCCTAATGTTAGGACATAGAAAAGTAATGATAGCTGGTGGTATGGAGAGTATGTCTAATGTACCTTATTATATGGCACGTGGAGCAACACCCTATGGTGGTATAACGGTCAATGACGGAATTGTATTCGACGGTCTGACTGACGCCTACGACAACTGTCATATGGGCGTTTGCGCCGAGAATACAGTTACACAAATGGGCATTACCCGAGAAGAACAAGATGAATATGCAATTAGAAGTTATAAAAAAAGCCAAGCAAGTATGGAGAATGGAATCTTTGCTAAAGAGATTGTACCGGTGACTATCAAAACGAGAAAGGGAGAAACTATTGTTGAAAAAGATGAAGAACCTTTAAGAGTAAACTTTGATAAAATATCCCAACTCAAAGCAGTTTTCAAAAGGGAAAACGGAACTGTAACAGCTGGAAATGCCAGTACTCTTAATGATGGAGCGTGTGCTTTAGTGTTAATGACAGCCGAAGAAGCGGCTAAAAGAAATTTGAAACCTATAGCTAAAATCTTATCATTTACCGACGCCGCAACGAAACCTATTGACTTCCCAATAGCTCCGGCTTTTGCAGTTCCTCCAGCACTCGAAATGGCCAACCTTAAAGTTGAAGATATTGCCTCATTCGAAGTGAATGAAGCTTTCGCCGCAGTTGTCATAGCGAATGCAAAAATGATGAATTTGGATATGTCCAAGGTTAATATCCACGGCGGAGCCGTTAGTATTGGACACCCAATTGGAATGTCAGGAGCTAGAATTACAGCATCTCTTGCTCAACAATTATCACCTGGTCAGAAGGGTGTCGCTGGAATTTGTAACGGAGGTGGTGGTGCCTCAGCCATAGTTATTGAAAAACTCTAAATTTTTTCTTGAAGAAACTTACTTTAATATTAATTATATACATTAATCAGAAGTTGAAAAAAAGAAATCTTCGTTTGAATATGATTCATTAAAAAAAAAATAGAAAAGACAAATATAATTCATTAACAAACGTACAAATCTTGTATTTTTATTGACATTTATACAATTCTTTCCAATTTTTGCTAAAGTCCGAAACTTTTAGTTTTTCTTTTTTTGATTTGGAGCAAGTTTCTTTTTTTTTTTATCTTTTTAATTTTTTTACTTTACGCTAAACACTAAAAAGAGAAAAAAAGAGAGAAAAGAAAGTTGTATTTTCCTTCTCTTCTTGTCATTTTTTTCCTTATTTTACATAGATAGTTTCTTAATCATAAAACAGTAAAAGGTTGTTTGTTTCTTTGTAAAAAAAGAAAAAAAGAAGTAAGAATCTTTAAAAGTTTCATTGATAAAATTAGCACTTTTTCTGTTTATAGACATTAGTAAAAATTTCTGTTCATGCATTTTGAATAGAGATACACGTCTATATTTTGACAAAATAAAACGATTAGATAAAATGCATATATTGATGATATGATGCAAACAAAAATAGTTTTTTTTTGTTTGTCAAAAATAATACGTTGAGTATCATATGTCAGCAAAAAAGGGCTATTAAAAAGCGGTAAAAGGACGAAAGAATAAAGTTTTATGAGTTAGATTGAATAAATACGTACACCTAGATTGTCAGTTAAAAAGGCTTAGCGATAGTGATATATATGGCAGTCTTCATTTAGCCTTGTCAGATTTGTTTGTCTTTTAAACGCGTCGTTTAATCGAATAAGGATCTTCGCTGAGCGTGTCATCTGATAAATACCCTTCGAGAACTGCATTGTAACTTATATCGACTGGATCTATGCGATTTATTGGTTGCCTTCTGGATGCTGTCCCATAAGGATTTTCTACCAGAACATAGTCGGGTGGCGGTGGAAATTCCGCTCCAACAGATGGTGATCCGAGCTCTTTTGAGATTGCTGAATCTCTTTGTTGGCGGGACATAAGCATAGCTTGCCAGGCTCTCTCGGCTCTAGACGGAACCGGAGTTTCAGGCTCCCTTTTAGGAACCGGTGAATTAGCGGCTGACTCTTTCGCTCTCACAACGTCGGGCAATGGACTATCCTTTCGACGGACGGTTAACATGAGTTCTTCAGATCCTTTTTCATCCTGTCTTCTTCGATTCTGTTACAAATAGGTGAAAAGATAAGTTTCGAATCACAAAAGTCAGATAGAATGTCACATCACTTACGTAAGTTGACCTGCTTTTTGATTTACGACGGTAGACTATTACGGCGATGAGGGTGACAGCAACCAGGAAAAATGAGACACAAGCTCCTGCAACATAACTGCAAACAAACAAAAAATTATAGAATAATATGATACTAATTTCAACGATTTCTAACCTAATAAGGCCACTATTATCTCTAGAATTACTAGAGTTGTCATCTTCAGAGCTAGCTCCTCCACGTGGATACTTTGCTTTGTAACCTGCATTATCGTCATTACCTTCAGGAACTTCGTCATTTCTTAAGCCTGTTTCCGGTGAATCTCCCGGAATGTTGTTGGTTGGTGAAAATTTGACTTTCTTAGGTTTACTAACACCAACTACATTTTCAGTAAGTAAGTAGAAATTGTGTCGTGTTCCAGCTGCTATTATTGACTTTAGTCCGCAGACTCTGATTTCATGTTCTATTAGGAAAGAAGGTATATTTTGAGTTTTAAATGAAATAAATTGGACAAGAGGGGAAGTCGAAAGGAAGGAAACTCACTATTTTCTTTCTTATTAACTTGGTAAGTCTTTGTTTGTCTTTTTCCATATTTACTTGAATCTTTATACTCTACTTGGATAGCGAAAATCCTTAAATCTTCTATGCTCTCGTATGCAACTTCGACAATAAATTTAATACATCCACTTTTTCGTGATCTTTGAACCAAAACCCTTTTGGGCTTGGGTGGAAAATCAGCTCCAGTAAGTACAAATGTCTTTTTAACCTTATTATGAGTATTTTTGGCAAAACACGTAAAACTTCCATAATACCAACGAGCTTGGTCTTTAACGCTTACAAATAAAGTACTTTTAACAACGTCATTCTTCTCTAACTTTTTAACCATAGTAAATGTACTATTATCTATTATATCAAAACCATTTTTCTGCCAGAAAATCTTTGGAGATGGTTTACCCCTAGCTAAGCATGTAAAATTTTTTCTTGTCTTAGGCCAGGCTATTTGAGATTCAGGGAATCCCCCAAGGATTTTCGGTTCATCTATTTTAGGAAAGAAATTTATTTTATTACATTTTTTCCCCCTTAAAGGCTTTTCTTTTGCCTTTTTTTGCCTTATCTTTCTTTTTTTTTTAACTTACATTCTACAATAACTGTGGTGTAATTTTTCTTCGATCCTCCCGAATTGGTGGCAGTGCATGAGTAATTTCCGGCATCTTCCTTTCTAACATCCTCTATATGTAATTGCGATATGCTGAAGCGATTAGATTGAACAGCAAAGCGACCGCTCTATAATAATTAATGGTTTTAAATTGTTATTAAATAATTATCGTTATTATTAAATACCGTTGTCTTTTCCCCAGGAGATTTAACTGGTAATTTTCGTCCATCTGGCATCTCCCATACTACATGGGGATCAGGATCCCCGCTGGCGTCGCAGGAAATATCAAAGGATTTTTTTTCAATTGTAACAATGCTTTTTTTCATGTTTACCATTGGTGGAACTAGTAAAAGAAAATCAAACCGGATATTAAAAGTGGCAATTCGTATATTGCAACCTAGTACGAACTTAATACTGTAACGTTAACTTTTCTCTCCTCCCTCCTTGTATTATATTCATTCTTTGCATTGCAGATATAAAGTCCTGCATCGTTGCGACTTATAGCTTCAATACGTATCAGTCCTTTATCAGACCGAACTTCCATATCATATGTAGCATGATCCACCTTAGTAACCTGTTTTTTTTTTACAGTTTGATAGAGAAATAATCTATAAATATTCAATTTTTAAACTATTTAACAATTTTTACGCCTATTTAACCCTAAGTAATAGTCTTCGTGTACCTGAATAACCTATGCTATTAAGAGAAACGCTGGAACATGATATTATAACTAATGAACTGATGTAATAAAATATATTAAATTATGCAAGAATTAGCTAGAAACTGCGAACGGAATGAGATAAAATCTTCAATCTATTCTTTATGAAATTGATGCTTAGAACATTTAATTTTAATAAGTAAGTATGAGAGATATAGGAGGATTAAACAGATGTTGATCGTCTCTAAGAGCTCATTGAACTGCTACGGAAGAGACTACTCGACTCTTTTTATATAGATCGTTCACTGTCCAAATACAGGTGGATTAGGAGAGATGATAAATAAATAAATATATACAAAGGAAACAAAAAAACAGCGTTAAAAAGGAAGGAATAGAGTAGAACGATAGGATCGTTTTAAAATAGGAGAAAGAATGTTCTAATCGATTAGAGCGGTTTGCAGTTTAGTCATGCAACGTCGACCTCGTTGCACTGATATTAATTAGAAACCGTGGAAAAAATATTGAGATAGAGATTGAAATGTTTTTTATTCTTTGCAAAAGGAAATAGATAATGTAAATGCGTCGATTCGCTCGTTAAATCTTAATAACGAAGTCATCGACTAACTGCCTATAAGCATGACGATTTATTAAAAATTTCATAAGTCATCAAACTTTATGGTCTGATTATTTTTTTATTTGCCCACATATGTATAACTAAGTTGTTTAAGCGGATTATTATTTAAAAGGCGTCACGTCATGGATAAGCACGAAAAATCCGCTTTGAGAAAGAAACGTCCGTTATTGATGAATGTCCTCTCTTTTACGGAAGAAAAACGAAAAATCTACATTGCTAAGGGCTTACTAACTAAGGATATTGACTATCATATTTCGGTAGGTGAATAGGTTAAATGATTTAATCGTTTGATAACTTGCGCTATCCCCCACGCGATCTATAGCAACATAACAAAACGGAAAGGGGTAGGCTGTCAAAATGGTTCGAGTATCTGACGACTTTGGAAGAAACGAATGTTTTTGACAAAATATGTCAATTATTAATCGATGAGAAGCAAGATTGGCTTGCCGATGAAATAAAAGCCTATGTTCTATCACAAAAAGGCGAAATATTAGTTGAAGACTACGTTATGCGGGAAGCTGCGTCGGATGTTCACAAAGAGTTTGGCAGTAGTAGAAGAGTATCGGAGAGAGATAAAAAGGGAATCGAAGCGATCATTGCTGAACGTCATCAATCGACGAAAGAGGCTTGGTCAATATCGATAAGGTCTCTACGACAACAATTGGACGATTTAAGGAATGAAAGATGGAAAGATTCAACAAAAATAAATGAATTAACGGAAAAAATCGATATATATTTAAGGGTAAAAAAAGATATACATTCCATCTAAACCTTTTTCACTCTGTCTCTAATGAATGACTAATTCATCAAAGTATTAAAAAATAACACGCAGATACAAAAGAATAGGATAAATAACGAGGCGCATGACACGCAACGTCCCCTTAATCCTGATTCATCAACTACCGACAACAATCTTGACAAGCTAGAATGTCAGGTTGATATCCTCCTGAAATCTATTTCTAGGATCTTATTCGATAATGAAAACTATTTGGACGAAAGAAAACGTATAATTGAATTACTGGACTTAAACAAAGGTGTCACTAAACTTGATATGTACGTTGCCGAGGCTCTCGAAAGAGCAAAGACAGCTGCAGATAAGAAAGACAGTCAGGCTAGAGTTTCCAATGAGGCTGCTCTTTCTTTTCAATCTCAATTGAAATCGTTTAAAATAGATGCTGACAGGTAAATTATATTAAATTACACCTCTGGAGAGAGATACAATTCTAACATAATACCGATAATAGAGTTTAATGAATCTATTTTAAACAAGGTTAACCTATTTAAACAGGCAATTAGAGGAGAAATTAAGGAATGAAAAATATTTAAAAACACTAAATGAACAGAGGCGTCGAAATGCTGAAGGACTACAAAAGTTGCTGTTAAGTGAACGTCATCGTATAAAGGAATTAGAGGAGGATGTGAACAAGTGGAAAGCAAAGTGCGAGCAACTAGAGAAGACAAGAAGATTGGGCTATCATTATCCAGGATGGTATAATGTTGTTTATAAGAGTTGCGAAATGAACAAAAGAGGAAGTATGCCGTCCATAAATCGTTCCAAATCAAATTATACTAAACCCACTAAATTATAATGCTTAAATACAGTTTGTCTATGCTTAAATAAACAATACTCACTCTTCTCCATATAATTGTTGGTTTTGGATAACCAGTAACATTGCAAAATATCTCCACTGGCTCATTTTCTATAATAATCATATGAGGTGTTATATAATCTATTCTAGCCGGACCTATTAGAATGAAATGTTAATTAGTTATACTTTTTTATAGTATAGACATTGTCCTTACTGAAAACTCTAACGTCAAACTCCGAAATCCTCATAGCTTTATGCAAACGAGACTTGTAGCGACAAGTGAATATACCATGATAATCAGCTGATATTTTAAATATTGTTAGGCTGTTGTTCATTTTCCGAAACACCATCCTCTTTGAATCTATTTGAAGGAGGAGAGAAGAAAATGAGAGTGTACGGGAAGAGAAATGAATATTTAATTAGCTATTATTACAACTGTGTAAATATACAATATATTGAACGCAACAATCTTTTATTCTTACCAATAGTTTTATTGTTAAATGTCCACAAGATGTCGTCGGTAGCGGAACGGGGAGCAACTCTACATAGTAAAGAAACAAGATCTTTCTCTTTTACTGTGATGCGCTCTGTCTCCTCCCAAACTCGGGTTATTTCTGTAATGAATAAATGAGAACTTTACTTATTACCTTTCCTAGATTATTTATAAACAGATAACGTTAAAGATAATGAAGACTATATAGATCAAAGTCAACAAAAAATTATAGAGTGTGTAAGGAATCCTAATACGTATATATAAACTGTAAACATGTAACGCCTGTATTTATACATACAATTAATAACGCTTCCTAATAGTTTACACTATAATTAGTGAGACGTCAACGGAAACGTCTGTCATAAAAGTAAGCAGTATTCTTACCTTTAAATACAACCGCAATTTGGACGCCTTTTACTGAGGGAGACGATCGAAGCCAGCAACCGTAAGTTCCATGATCGGCACGTTCGAAGCTGTCGATTTTTAGTTCGACTGTTGACGAGTTTATTTGGATTATCTTTGCTCTGAAAAAAATATGGAAAAGAATGTTTGTAGGAGGTTTTTTTCTTGAATGAAACGAAGATGCAGAAAGAAACGAAACAAAGAACGACAGATGTCTTCTAATAATAATATATCCTCTTAAAATGGACAATCCATTAGTTACCACCATAACTATAATATTAATTGCATATATATTTATACTGCATTTTGCTGTATATTAATATTACTGTATATTATATATGTATACATTATTTAAAAAGTAGCGAATAGACCGAATATTTAGTAAAGGAACATGAAAAGGTTGCGTTAAGAGGCGAATGATGGATGAGCTACCGAAATACGATGATATACGTTTTACTGAGTACTTTTTCCGTTTCTTCTTACACTTTGAACGAATTATAAAGTAACAAAAATAATATTAATATTAATAACAAAAGAAGAAGAGATTCATCTGCCTTTAGCTCAAAACTGTAAATCGATATAGCGAGATATTACGTCTGAAATCAATTAATCGTTAAGCTTCCCCCAGTTTGCCGCCTTAACGTATAAAGCGAGAGGAAGAAAATAAAATAGAAAGATAGTATGGTATAGTAACCAAGCGAGTATTAGTGGAAAGAGAGAAGAATGAATAAAAGAGAGAGAGAGAGAGAGAGAGAGAGAGAGAGAGGGGTGGAGGAGGAGAGAACTCAAAGGGGGGCGGTGGGTGATAGAGAGAAGAAGGGTGGCAAAAATAGAGACAGCGACACAGACTGAAGAGTGCAATAAATGAATATTAATAGGGTAAAAGAGAATAGTTCTAGGCTTTTTTGCTCTTTTACAATCATAGTGCAGACAAAAACTGCTTGATAAAATAAATCAGTTCCCTCGAGCTTCTTTCTAGAGCTGGAACTTTAATGAATTAACGAAACCTTATTTTTTCGGTGACGCCTTATTTCTCTACTAGTTTTGTATTACTGTTATCATTATTAGTACTTTTACTTTTTTAGCGCAACTAAACCATGAATTAACGAGTAACCTAGTGTTTGCTTTACAGATGCAGAAACGCCCTCGACGCCATATCTCTCTTTCCGTTGTCCTATATACAGTAAAGAGAGGGGCGATCGAAAATGGGAGCAGAGGGGGGACGGAAAGGACAAAAGATGTTAAAAGAGGCAAATTTGGGGTGGGGGCGGTAGGGGGTGAGAAAGACATATCCGTCTTCATTTTTTTTAAATACAAGGAACATTTGTACAAGACATAGAAAGAAAGGAACTGGAGTAATGAATAAATTTTTTATCCTTCTAAATAATGTTAGCAGGCGTAAGAGCACGAAATATCATTATTCAACTATATAAATATATATTACCTTTTATATTTATATTTATCTTCGCTCTCCTAGGCCTAAGGCTCTCGTCAAATATAGCAAGGTAATTTTTTTTACCCTCGCTGTTAATTTAATTATCTTTTACCTAATACTGAATTATTTAAAATGTATATAAAAATAAGATAAAAGTATTACTGGGAGGACAAGGCCAAAGAAGACAAGAAGAAAAATAAGGATAGAAGGATAGGGAATGAAAGAAAGAAAAAGAGAAAAAGAGAAGGGGAATGGGAGAACGAGAGAGAAAGAGAAAAAAAAGATAGATTGATGAATAGGAAAAAGAAAAAAAGAAAGAACTTATAATAAAAAAATTTTTCTTTAGTTTTTCAATGAGGAGTGGGAATGAGTCGCATCTGGACTAAACGAGCGTTTCTAAGCCCGGCGTTTAATTCGTCAAGAATGCGGGAGGAGAATAGTGCGTGCAATTTTTCATCTGCGGGACGGTTTCTTGCAATGGTAAAAGAGGAAAATATGGCTCGAGGGGAATATAAAAAATAATCAAAAGAAAAGAAGTGGGAAAGGAGTCGACCCTTTCCTTTAGACGCAAGGAGAAAGGCCAATTTTAGGGTGCGCTCTATGCTGGTTATATACTTTCCGGGCACGTTTTAAATTGTAGTAGAAAAATTTGATTAATAAAAACCTTAGCTTAGGTCTGCTTAAGCTTAAGAAGACTAGACTGCGCTCGTATCTTACAAATTGTATACTACGTATATAATTCATACTATAGGATTAAGAGCGGAGAAGGATTGATCAATTCCCTACTCATATACACATGCGTATAGAGAGGGAAGGAGAGAGAGAGAGAGAGCAAGACACATACAGAGACTTAAGCTTCTCATTGCCCATTCCCCCCCTCTATTCTCTTTCTCTCTCTTTCTCTACCACCGCTTTCTCGTCATTTTCCTTATCCGATTAGCAAATTTGTAATATGTACATAGTCATGTAGACGAGATAAAAGAAAATAAGGGTGATGGAAAAATGAATGAGGGAGATGTAAATGGAAACAGGAGCCTGCTAATCAACGATACCCAAACTAGCTGCATTGACCGAGTCTAGTATAGGGCAAATTTAGACTTGTTATAAACCGGGGGCAAACGTTATTGGGCTAGTAGATTTCGTAAAAAAGTCACGGGAGGTCGATTGTAAAAATGAAAATTCAATTATATACATCTGCATAAAGTCGGATATATAGGAAAATATTATTCATAGTATATACGTAGCCAAGCATTAACCATAATGGATGCGGATTATCGGAGGATTAGGGCCAAACATATTTAGCCGTCCGCCGTCTGAATAAATAAGATGACAACCGGCGATAAGGATGAGTAGGGGTATTTTTTATACAACTGGAACAATAAACTAACCGACTCTTCCGATTAAACTCCTCCTCATGCCTCTCGGCTTCTTCCAGATTTCTGATGTTGCCTCTGGTAAAGAAAAGTGGAGCTGGCTCGTTAAGGGACCAATTAATGATGGTACACTTTAATGACATCTTGTCCCATTCTCTGACCGTAAGATAATTTTTAGGGTGAAGCTCCAGTAATAACCCTTTGGAAAAGACTGCAAAAAGCAAGCATCAAAAAATAAGTAAGTACATACAGTATATAATATATAATGATAAAAACAGGAATAAATAAAGATAACGGATAAAAAGTTGGTATAATAGGCCTAGTTAAGGAAGATAATGATATGTAAATTATTACTTCGATAAGAATTCAATGACTTAAAATATTGACAGGCGCTAAAACCGTCTTGACACGGTGTTTACTCAAGAGGTTTGCGTTTCTTTACGCGATCTCTTACGTGTTTGTCTCAAACTGCCCCTGGTCAGTTGAGGTAAACATTAATAGTTATTAATCAGAACTTTTCTCTATTTCCCAATGTATTTTCAGATGGGAAGAAAGATAGGAGGATACAAATGCAAAAGAACGATTACTGATCGTCAGAATGCGCGACAACTTCGAGTGTGTTCTCGATAGGGTACTTCTCCAATTTCGAAAGCGACGGGTCAAAAGAAGAGAGAGATATTTCGCTTTCTCACGCTGGCATGATTTCTCTCTTTCTCAATTATTATCTGCTAATATTTATACATTTATTTCCCTCGCTTTTTTGGGGGAGAGATTGAGGTGAGAAAGAAAGAATAATAGGAATCCCAGGAGACCATCTGAGGTGTACTTGTCACTCTTTTCGAGTGGAAGAGCTCGAGGGGAAACATTAAACACTCCTGACATCTGCAGATGCATTCTGCTGGCCGATTAACAGCATTTTTCTTTCGACCTTTTCATGGTTCTTTTTTCGAAAGAACACGATTCGTTTAATTGGCGTCGCGACGTTACCGTGACAACCGCCGTCAGAGAAGCGTCAAATAGTCACCATCCCTCCTCTTCATATATCAATCGGTTAAATCAACAAGAACATTCGTCCGCCTACCCCAGCCACCATCACCACCTACCCGCCCTTTCATCCCAATCTCAATCTTTCAACTCCTCCCCACTTCGCCTTTCTTACCCTTCTCCTCTTTCCTTACAACTTCTTGTCACTTTACGCATCATTTCCCCCCTCTCGTTTGTCGTCGTCCGCCGGCGAAGAGAGGAAGATGGTGCGGAGGTGATGGGCGGCGGAATAGGGGACGTAGAATAATTGCTTATTGATTTTTTAGACGCCGTATATAAATTTTTGAAAAAAAACTCTTTACCCGATAACTTCTATACATGGCGCCGTCGTGTCTTGTTCTAACCGGCTGTTCATTATTGTTCTCTAGTATATATATTAATTTACTATATTTTTCCAAAGCTTCATATTCTTTTTACCTTTTTATACAATGTTTCAACTGCTATATACAGTATAATGGAAGTGGGGGAATATAAAAAAAGACGTCAAGAAAAAAAAAGCCGTCTAAATATAAACGCCAAATTTACTTTATCGCTTCGGAAACTTACCGTATTGCGGTAGAGTGGAGCAGCAGTAGTAGAATACGACCAATGAACGGGCGCTGAAGAACATATTTCTCCTTCTGATCTGTAATTAGCGAACGACGTTGGTCAATAATCAATACGATTGTCTATGATTAAGGGAGGCAGCGATTTTATTTTTTATATTCTTTTTGTAAACAATTGGATTTATATATAGATATATACCATGCAAACTATAAATAAACGTACTATATGCATTATTGTATCGTAGTTTGTCTTTATATTTTCCTAATAACCGTAAATCTGCACTGATTTATCACAATATAAGGTGACTAAAAAAAAAAAACTACATATTATCAACAACGGGCAAACGTTCTCGGAAGAGTTCACCGTCGAGCGTCAAGAGTACCAGTAAACGCTCGTTGGCATGGTAACGCTTATTATCCGTCTGCCTGTCGTCTATATATACACATTACAGAGGGATATATTTTAAGGTCTTAAAAAAATGGATGACTAGTAAGTAGAAAGTGAGTAGGGATAGGCAGTAAGAGAGAGAGAGAGAGAGAGAGAGAGAGAGAAAGAGAAAGATATAAACAAGGGCTTTTAGAAGAAGATCTAATAATTTATCAATGTATTGATCACGCGATAATAGATTAAATTAATTCTTATGATTTTTGTAATTAATTTGTGAAAAAGAGAACTTGAAAAATGATTAAGACCAATTAATCATATTGTGTTTATATCTGTATGTTAACTTGATATTATTCACACAATCTATCACACACGTGCAACGTGTGTATTACTTATGCATTTAACTTAATATATATATATATATATATATTTATTTACATATGTATATCATATTGTATAAGCATATATGAGCAATATATCTCTATCTTCCTTCTCAGCTGTATCTATATACTATATTAAGTGGATAGTGATTGTATGGGAGTAAGAAACTAATAAAATATAGGTCTAGACAAGAAAGGTGAATAATAATGATAGAAAAAAACCGAAGGCTAGAGCGTAACGTCGTTCGTAAACAATAAACAATGGTTGTCCTTGAATATTTTATTGCTCCTATCATTCTATTAATTATTCGCCCGACGGCTACACTGTTACGATATCGTACTACGTTAGCTGTCTATCTGCAATCTTCAATCAAACGGACGGATTGGCAATTTTGTCTGGCTTTTACGAGTTACGTAAAAAGTCCAAGAGATCCACTTTAACGTTTTGTAACGCCTTGTTTATTGATGTAAATGAAAAGAAAATAAAGAAAACACAGAGACGTCCCATAAGTCATAATACTATTATTATTACTAATAATAATAAAATGTAATAAAAAGGATTAATTCACAATTGATGACGCTTACTTTGATATGAATAGAGGAAATAAATTCGAATTTTTTCGTTTTATATTAAATGTTATATTACGTCATTATCGATAACAAGTCGGAAGCGTTCGAGAACGTATTAGACGCTTACGAATCGCTTTTGTATTCGGCCTTACGACACGACGAGGGACAAACTCGTCAATCATCGACCGATTTGATCGATGCTATTCGCTATTTAGTCAATGGTATACTGTATATATATACATAAATAAATAGCAGAAAGAAGAATGAAATTAGATGCTTTTATACAGATATTAATGCTACGGACGTCGTCTTATTATACAATCAACCTTCTAATAACTATTCGGCTTTACAAAGACTACTGGGGCGAATCGAACGCGACCGCATTCGATTAACCGGTCTCTTTATTACTCAGTTATTAAAGCGCTTTCAACACGAAACCGACGCTTTGACGCCTAGTTAATAATATTTTTTTCTGACCACGAGCTAGTTTTCAATCATTTCTTTTATCTTGTCTACTTGAAATAGTTCTTTTCTCTTTCCTTTAGAATAACAAATATGAAATAGTTTGAATAGACGCTGTACTTGTGCGGTACTGTTGTGCGCATGCGTTTTGGTCACTCCCGGCGTCGAATCGAATTTCGGACGTGCTATTCGAGTAAGTGTGTCGATGTAAAGGGTATAGCTGTAGGCGTCTCTGTTGGTAAGGGCATGCAATACGCGTATAGAGGAATACGAGCTAATTTGTTTGTAGTTCTATTTTCAAAACAAATAATCAGGATTTTTAAAGCTTATCTCTTGGGTCGAAAATCGTTAATATTAAATATAACAAAATTCGTATTCCCTTATATGAAAACTAAGCAAATTATTTATCAACTGACTGTCGATGTTGGAGGTCGTAAGCGACAGACAGTATGGTCAGCTTGTTCAGCGAAATGCTATAGGGAGGCTTTGGTGACTCATAAAAACTGGCTATAGGACTAATTGCCACCATCTATATCCACAAGTAGAGAGAAGTATAGAGGCGTCTAAAGGAAAGACGTGAGGGAAAGAGGGGTATTTAAAAATGTATAATATCTAGTCTTGATGAGAACCGAATGGACCGAATGTTTACGAGAGAATTACGGGGGAGCTTCGTGCGGTCAGATAGGTCGACGTCCATTTTATGAGAGGCGAATAGGCGTCTTCCATCAAACGTTAATTGAAGGAAGACGTTGCTTATGTATATATGGGTATTAAAAAAACCTAGTAATGCAACCTTACAAAATGTGACAAATATACCGGTAAATAGGATTTCGAACGCGTTGGCGTCAATGTTTGGGTAACGCTTGCCAAGATTTCGTCTATGTATACGAATCATGTCTAGCGAAAAATTGCAAAGGGGACTGGAGCGAATGGTAATGGTCGAAATGTAGCGTTACTTGTAGTGAATACGGTCATCAAGAAGCATAAAGATATAACTACAATTCACCTTCACTGGTGACAGACGTCGATTAAGGAAATGCAGTTGGTTAAATGCCTGCGTGGGTTCCTTAGGCAATTGGACACCCTGGTCAGTTTGTATTCGGGGGGAAAACATCCGATTAAGATATTGTTCATCAACATCGTTCGTTTGTCTCAGTTGTACGCTGGAGGCAGTCAACTGTGACATACCAGGTTCGACTAAGTGGACGCTTTGGGCGGATTTCAAAAAATCGTGCTGCGGAACGACTCATCGAACCCGACGTTGTACAGGCGTCCAATCCGATTGTCCCGGAAACGAAACGGAAGCTAAACCATGCGGCGGAACTTGCCGTTCGGCCAGAATTAACGGCTACATCCACTGGTCGATATTGGCAATAGCTGTCATTGGCTTCCTAACCCTATTAGATTTTATTTTCGGCTTCTTCCATTGGTGGAAGAGAACTAAAGAATGACTTGACACTCAATCATTGCCCTTACAATCTCTAATACCCGAACAACAAAACCCATCAATTGACAGTTTTATTAAAAGAAATCTCTTTGAATGGAAAGAACCGGAAGAGGAACCTCTACGGTATTCACCTTCTATACGTCTCAGGATGGGCGAAGGATCTGCGTGAGTGCTTCGTCGATTTCCCGAATCCGGTAGGCGAGTTTAGAAAAACCGTAAATTGAGAGATTGATTACAAAGAGTTACCCCTTTTCACCTGCCCAACGTTGCCGACCTTCGGAGCGTAGGCGAACACGTGTAAAAATTCTCGAAGCGAAACAGATTTGATGTTTTGAAAGCGAATGATATAACTTTATACTGGATGTAAATGTCAATTCGGGATAGGCCATCCAGAAACGCAAATATCATCAGCCCTTTTCCCTTTTATCTTACTAAATATACTATATATTGTATATATTTACTTTTATATATTTATAGTATGTAACTTCTTATATTATCCTATATATTGTCATATTTACGGCCATTATGCATACATTCTTTTCTCTCTTTCTCTGTTTATAAATGTCTTTGTTAAACTCATTCTATTATCGCTTAAAAACGTCGTAATGGACGTCGGACTAGGAGACGCTGAAGATAAGAAAACGTAATTAAAGTCTTTGCACGCGATTCTACAAGGTGTGCATTGTTGTCATCTCACTAACACGAGAACTTGCCGTTTATTATCGATTATAGCCTCAAACTCTCTCACGTCCGAAAAAAAAACGTTTATATGAATAAAATATATAATCTATGTATATATTGTACACGCTCGTATAAAAATATATGCCTGTTCATAAGCTGTTATACTAACTTACCCGAGTATGTAAACGAATAAGTACATCTGTCGCTCTTTTATGAATAAAAACTATTCAAATTTGTAAACATCATGTAAATATTTCTCTCTTTTTTTTTTTAATAATCCTAAAGTGTAATTTTTCAAGTGGGATATTCAAAGGAAAAACATAGCTATTTAAGAGGGAAAAAAAGTTAATATGGGAAAAAGAAAGATTTGTGTAGATAGTGGAGTTTTTTTTTATCGAATCAACTATCCTTTTTACTGTCTACCTTTTCTTTCTCACTCTCTTTTTTTTTTCTTGCCCTTAAAAAAATTCTTCTGTACAAACGGAGAACACGTACGCGCTTGATGAAATAGAAAAAAGTGCATGGCAGTTACACTGAGAAAATTAACGAGGAAAGAATATACAAAAGGAAAGAAAGACGCGACAGAAACATTCTTACTATGCAATTAGCTTCGTAATATACTCAGAAAATGTGAATGAATTATTTAATGCATTTCGACATGAGGAGAGAATTCTTTCTAATTATAAAAGCTTACCTAAATTAGTTTTACCAACTCAATCGCCTCCAAAAAATCCAAATTGGTCCTTGGTCAGCGTCAATCCTTTTAAATGGATTTCGACGATCGTCGTTAAAGGACACACACACACAATAAAAACAATTCCAGCAGCACCGTTGTACGAGAACGCACGGGCGTCGGCGGTCCGCAAATCGATGAGACGTCTCTCTGACTAGCGACTGACTCACACGCGCGCACACAAAAAACGCAACAGCCGGGTACCGTTTTCCATTCCCTTTGCCGGGTATATCAAGGGAACGGCGGATAATGATTCCGTATGTTACTATAGTAATGCAAGAGCGACGCCGTAAGGTTAAAGCGACATCTATGGTCAAACTGATTTCTTCTTGCCTCAAATGTTTATTTTACTTATAAAAATTTTAACTGATTTGATAAGGACAATGGTATAATAGACAAAGATTAAATGAAGCAATGTTTTTCGGTTGGGTATGATAAACTGAAGTGTTAGTATTAGTTTTTAACGAATAGCAATTAATCCACTTTCTAGTAACTTCTGAAGTTTACTTGCGATCTCAGGATTTTTCAAATGTCTGTAATAAAAATAGACATGTTGTAACACTTAATATAACACATGACAATTTTTGTTTTTATTTCACTTACTCGTTAAAAGCTTTAGGATCTTTTTGCATTTGGGAAAGTATCAATTGCATGGCTGGATCTTGCAAAATGGCTTGAACTTCGGGATCCTGCATGGCTCTCTTTCTAATTTCTTCTGGATTTCCTTGATTCACTGCACACTTCCTATAGCCTTCAACAGCTTCCGAGCAGTTTGGATCTATTTCCATTGCCTAAAAAAAATAATTTGCATTAATTTTTGAAGTTAATATTATAAATTTATGCTTCGATACCTTTTGATAAGCATCGCTTGCTTTCGACATTTCTTTCATAGCCAACAGGTTTGCACCTTTTCTTAAATATCCTTTAATAAACTTTGGGTCCAAACGAATACATTCCTCGCAATCCTGTAATGCCAAGTTAAACTCGGCTAATTTTGTGTAACAAGCTGCTCTGTTACTGAATAATTTCGGATCTTCTGGATTTCTCTTAATAGCCTCGGTATAGAAGGAAATAGCTTCCGGGAATTTTCCTATATTACAAAAAAAAGAGTATTTTGAATATATAATTAAAAATTATATTGGTCTTACCTTGAGTAAAAAATTCATTTCCTTTTTGCTTGGCCTCCAAACTCTTTTCTGGATTGATATAAGCAAGTCTTTCTTTTTCTTTCAAAAGTTTCTGTATTTCGTTTATTTTCTTTACTATATCAGATGATCTATGTTCCGATACTGATTTATTAAAGAAGTGCAAAGCCTCATCAAGTTTTCCAAGTTTTTGATTAGCATTTCCAATACGAGCTAATGCCCTATTAACAAATTAAGAAGATTAAAAAAAAAAATCTAAATTTTCGGTACTTAATTAAATTCTATTACAATATTGAAACTTACTTCGCAATGAGTTTATAGTCTACCCTGTTTTCTCTTCCTATTTCTACAGCTTTGTTACATTCTTGGATACAAGCATCGTAGTTTTCTTGTTCGAAGTAAACCGCTGTAATGAAAAATTTAAGGGATTATTCATTTCAAAAAATGACAAAAAAAATGAAATAAACAACCTGCTTTGTTTGTGCGAAACGTTATATTTGTTTGGTCTAGTTCTATAGCTTTATCATAGTGTTCAATAGCTGTTGCAAATTCTCGCCTTTTGTAGGCTGCGTTTCCTTTTTCTTTCTCTGCCTGAAAATATAAGAATATACAGGAAGGTTCTGGAACATTCGAAGTAAGATGTTAACTGCTAGAAAAAATGACTAACAATATTCGTTTTCTCTTCATTTAAAGTATATAATTACTAAAAACTTTACTAGCACAGTCACATTTTTATACATTCAGTAAATACTAGATATTAAACTAAACAAAATACTCACCAATGCCGCCTCAGCCATTTTAGAAAAGTGATTGAATGCAAAAATGATTCGCTGCTACAGAAAGCAAATTCTAGACTGAAAACATAGTTGCAGAGAGAACTCTAAAATACCGTACGTTATCACGTGACCAACCGTGCGTGGTTTCATCAAAACAAATCGGAAAAAACTTTTGTTTAACGTCTTTCAGAATAAATTCCAACTTTATTTTATGCAATGAACCTATAATTTGTGTTAATTTTTATATTTTGGAGTACTTAGTTTTTTTAACCGATAAGGGTTTCAACACTTTAATGACGTATTTTCGTTAATCAATGTATTATCGAGCATTTGTTGAAGTTTAATGACATTGATTCTGAATATTTATGATTGTTTTTGATGAATAAGATGAAAGATTGTTGAAACGGACAGCAATAATGCCTGTTAGAATTGAAAACCACAAGGGTTCAAAGGCTCAGGATGACGAAGTTGATGATGACGAATATGAAACCGAAGAATCTGAATCAGATAGTGACAACGAAGCACAGAATCACGCTCGGTTGTTAATTCTATTCTTAGTTTGCTCTGCGTTTTATGTAAATTTATTTAAATAGTTCTAGAGCTCCAAAGAAGATAAAAAACATTGTTTGGACTGGTTATGCTAAGAAAACTCCAGTTCTACTATTCAGTGCGGAGTCCGTAGTTACTAAGAACCCTGATGCAAAAATTGTTGGAGGTATAACCACTGAATAAATATTTAGGGTTATTAACCCTGAATAGTATGCATAATAGCGATTTAACATTTATATATATTCCCATATATTATATTTTCTTTTCTTTTCTTTAAAGAACGTTATCATATGGCATTTAAATTTGTTAGAACGGAATGTAAACTAGTTCGTAATGTTCTAAGTGCTCACGGCTTCCATGAGGCTCATCCAAATAGTAATGAATTTAACATAATGTGGACAGGATCTCACTTAAAACCGTACATACTAAGAGGTCTGCAGGAATTTCAAAAAGTTAACCATTTTCCACGGTAAGAAATTAGAATATTGATTTTTTTTTTTAATTCCTGTTTTAAAAGACTAATTAATTTCACTGTTTATTTTTTAAGTTCTTACGAAATTACACGCAAAGATAGACTTTTTAAGAATATTCAAAAACTTCAACAAACCAAAGGAATTAAACATTTTAACTTTGTTCCACCAACTTTTGTTATGCCTAGTGAATTCCAAGATTATTGCAGTAAGTATACCATCAATTAGATGAAGCAAATTTCAAAAAACTAGAAAAGTTGATTAGCGCTTTCATTTCCATAGATGCATTTCAAAAGGATAAAGGCCCTTGGATAGTCAAACCTGTTGCCTCATCGAGAGGAAGAGGGATTTTTCTAGTCAATCATGTAAGTCTTTTAATCTTTTCGTTATTTAATTAATGTACATCAAAGCATCTCAAACTAATAATAATATTTGGATGTATCTACAGCCTGAACAGGTTCCTCTAGATGAAACTGTTGTAGTATCGAAATACCTATCCAATCCACTTTTAATTGATGGTTTGTTAATACTTTATATGGAGTAATTTACTTTAATTTACGGTAATATCGATTGATTATAGGTTTTAAGTTTGATGTTCGCTTATACGTTGCTGTTACAAGTTACGATCCATTAATTATATATCTGTACGAGGAAGGTTTAACAAGGTAACAAGTAGAGAAAATAAGAAAGTTATTGCCTAATAAAACTTGCAATTTGCTTTATTGTAGATTTGCTACTATGAAATATCAAAAAGGCATAAAAACGATAAGGAATCAGTGCATGCATTTGACGAATTATAGTGTAAACAAAAAGAGTAATGCATACGTGTCGTAAGTGTTTTTTTTTACAATATATTGGTTATAAAATATATTAAGGCATATGGTCAATTAATAGAAATGATGACGCGGATGTTGAAGATTATGGCAATAAATGGTCTTTGGGTGCTTTGCTGCGATACTTGAGGTCACAAGGAAAAGATACTACTGGTAAATCTAACTTAATGCTCTCTCTTTCTATCATTTTTAATTATTTGTACTTGACAGCACTAATGATGAGAGTGGAAGATGTTATTGTTAAAACTCTAATTGCCGCAGAACTACCAATAGCAACTGCTTGCAAGATGTTTGTTCCTTATAGAGGCAACTGTTTCGGTGCGTTAATTAGTCAATGCAAAACGCTATAATTTAAGACCAAATAATAAAAATCAATATCTAGTAAAAAAGGAATTCTTTTTTTTAGAATTATATGGTTTCGATGTCCTAATCGATGATAATTTAAGGCCCTGGGTGCTCGAAGTCAATTTATCTCCCTCTTTAAATTGGTAAGTGAAATAGACTTTTAAAAAAATTAAGAACAAAGCTCTTTGTAGTAACATATTAAAAGCTTTTTGTTTCCTCTACAATTCTTTTCAATAGCGACGCCCCAATCGATCTGAAAATAAAATCCAATATGCTGGCTGATTTATTTAGTCTTATAGGTAGGTCGACGTTAAATTTTAAATAAATAGCCAACCGAAAAAGGCTTATATAAATTCTCTACAACTTTTTGTAAAATGTTTCCTTTTATGTTTTTAATCAGGATTTGTATGCCACGATCCCCTGCAGCGACACATGCAACAAACTCGTAGAAATCAGGAATTCTTAACAAAGGCGTCTAGGCCTCAGGTAGAAAATTAATACTTTCTTTATCTTAGATATATCATAGGGATTTATGAATATGGGGGTAGGGGGTCAGACAAGGGACGAATAATATAAAGTAAGAAATATAAGCTATAATAAGGAAATTATACCGATTGATCTACTGTATATGAAAAGAAAAGAGTTTATTACACTTAATTAACAATCTCATTTCTTGTGATTATAGCGTATATTTTTTCATCTAATTTTGAAATGATCTCTATTAATTATTAAAGCATAAATTTCTTCTAGATATTAATAATTAATTAATTAACTACATTAGGAAAACTACATTTCTTATTGACTAAATATTTAAGTCATTATTATTTTTATTATTATTTATTTTAATAACCCATTGAAAATGTTGTGATTTTGTGTGTTTCTGGTGATGGTCTCTACTACAGTCAGCCGCTAACAAGCCTTCTACAATGTTGGTGAGTAATCAGGCATTTCCTGAAGAACATTCTGAGCATGTCGATCTTTTCCTCGTCTGTCACTCCTATCTAATTTAGCTTCCTTGACAACCCCTTAAAAGAATAGCAAGGCTATTTAATTTCTAGGGCTTTAAGCTTGTATCACAATAGATTACAATTAAGTATTTGCATGCTTAAGTAGAAAAATAAACTTTTGAATTAAGAATTTTTTTTATAATAAACATTTGGATTTGGAATTGAATTCTATTCCTATCGGAACTTTGAAGTTCGTTTACCATCTTATGTTATCTGTGTGCTTTGCTTTCAGAGAACTACTCGCGGCTTAACTTTAAAGGTTTGCATCGTTTTAAATTTCATTTGTTATTTCAATTTTCAATCATTCAAGTTTGATTGTTGTTTAATATTTATATTTTTCTACATTATTTGAAGTCTTTTATTTATATTTTTCTTTTCTTTACCACATTATTTAGAGACCTCAATCAGCTAATATGGAAGCTGGACGCTTAGCTACCGCCGCTCGCCAACCAAATACCAAGGGACCATTTGCAGGTTTAACTAGTGAGGAAATACGTATTGTAAGAAGAGCTAAAGAAGAGAATAATAGAAGAGGAGGATGGGTGAGGATATTTCCAACACAGGACTCGTGGGAGTTGTACGGGTAAGTGTTGATATCTCTAAATGAATTTTCTTTTTTGACATTCAACATCTCAATTGAAATTAATCTTGTTATTTTTCTCGCCTCAGCAACTTTCTACAATACTCAAGCAATAATAATTGGACTCTATTTCAACACTTTTATCCTGAAAAGTAAGAATGTCATTAACCATTATTGTTAAATTAAAGTACATAAAAGAAATTATTTTGTTTCTTAGAGCAATGCAACTGCCTAGTAAGGCCACTTCAGCTAGTACGTCATCCAGCTCAAATAGGATTAAGTAAGAATAAAACTTATATCTTATTAAACGTAGAATAAAATCTCTTTCTATTTTATTTGATTAATTAATATTCATGCTGTGTAGAATCTTGCATACTGCTCCCTACCCACAAATGCATCTAAGTAATGAAGTAAGTGCTTATTTTTTTGTCTTTCTCTAGTCTACATTAATTAGCAACCCTTTCATAAAAAATTTTAGGCAGATGAATATAAATGCAATGCTTTGGAAAGATCCACGCAATACGAGAGGAAATTGAGCTCATTGAATCTAAACACAAAGAAGAAGAGATCTCATTCTTCTTGTGCACCCGAAAATAAGACCACAACCTATCCGTCATCTATGAGACCGCCTAGCGGTATTTATTTTTCTTTCCTTTAATATTTTTATATACACGTGGTCGCATTGAATTACTTGCGGTTTTTTTATTGCAATAAAAAAAAAAGATTTCAAATAAACTTTCATTTTCTTATGTTTGGAAAATGACACAGGTTTACTGGGCCGTAACACATTACCTCAAGGAATTGCTACAACTAACATAAGTGATACCAAGTCTGCCTCTAGCAATAAAAATGATAATAGAGAAGGTCAGACTAAAAAAGAAGTGGTTAAACATGAGAGGAGCGAAGACAAATTGAACGTTCAAGCCAAATCGGCTAATTCAAATGCCGCGCAAGCCAGTGAAAAAAAAAATTTGAACGGGGAAAGCCAACAAAAGAATGGCATAATTGCGCACAATGCTCAAGCACTTAATAATAGGAATGAAATTAACAACAATAAGCTGCAAAAGTTGCTTAGCGAATTCAACGTGGTTGAACAACTTCATAGGGGGAAGACACTAACGTATGAAAACGTTTTTCTTTAATTCTTTTTTTTCTTTATCTTTTTCTCCCTGTCTTCTTTATCCATTAAACTTGCAAAAAACGTTTTTGATGTTCAAACTAGGGGTTGAAATTTTTTTTTACCTTTCTTATTAATAGCTATTTTTATTGTCGTTTAATAGCAAAATACAAGCGCGTCACGCGTTCGCCACGTATTTGAGAAGAGTTGAAGAAAGATTAAACTCGGAAAGTAAAGGAAACGATGAAACTTTATCGGAAGAAGATAATGACAGTGCAAATGAACAAATGGTATAATTTTTAATTTTCCCTCTATTTACATTTGATATATAACTTATAATTATGGATTATATATAAAAAAAAGAAAAGTACCATGGGACAAAGTCTATTTTTCTTTATTTGTACAGTCCAACTATGCATACCAAGTTGTAAGTATTGCATTAGCGATTATTTGGTTAATCTTTCGTACGGCAGCGGAAATAGTCACGAACGATTCACTATTAAATGCTCCAAAAGTTATTTTTAGTAGCGTGCTAATATCATTTTGATTTTTTTCTTCGCTTTTTGCCTTTTTGATCAAGAAAGGAAGAGAATGAGAGAAAGAGGGAATGCGTATAATTGAACCATAGACTGTGAGGGAGTTGAAGGGGTGGGATATATGAGAATGAGAGAAAGAGAGAAGCGGAGGAGTTGGGAGTGAAAGATCGAAGCAATTTGTTTCGTCTATATATTTACAGCACTAAAAAACTTATACACAAGCCCGTAGTCGTGTAAACAACATACGATTGTTACCGTTGAATTTGTCGGCGTGTCACCGACATTATAAATATAACCTAGACGTTCTATAAACACTAAAAAACTTTATCATATCACAGGATCTTGTTCTGCGTTTCCTGAAACGAGCTGCGGGAAATTTGCAGTGTTCGTTCAAAGTAACAGTTCCATCCAAGAGTCTACCTTTGTCATCAAGGAGAAAGATTCTTTCAAAACAACTAGCTGAATTCGTGAATCTCTACAGCAACGAAACAAATCAGATGATAGTCAGACAACAGATTGAGAAACAACATAAAACTCCGTTATTCAGTCGTAGCAATACCCAGATTAATGAACATTTAGACGATTTCATGCTCACTGGTTGGGTCGATAGCGCGTCCGAATCGGCTTTAGAAGAAGTTCTAACAACTTATACGAAGTTGCACAGGTCCGCTAGTATATTTTTGGGCAGTACAGCTAAGGTAGAACAGTCTCCCAGACCTCCTCATCTCCCCGCTCACCTAAGACGCGTTCTAAAGCAACCCGATTCTACATCCGAACAGAATGAAAACAATACGAAGAAAAAGCTGGAAGATGAACCGAAACATGACGAAACCAATGGCAGAATAATGAGAAGGTCTATATAAAATTAATTTTAAAAATATATTATTAAAATCTTAAAATTATTAAAATCTATAAATAGATCCCAATCCTTGACAAGAAATAAACCATATTCTTTCAATTATGAAAACTATACTATTGGAACGGCCTACTTGCCTAAAGCTGAAGTCGTTAAACATAATACAAATAGGAAAAATGCAGAAGAAGAGCATAAAAGTAAAAAAGGTTCGTACTCGTAAAAATAAACCGAAAGAAAAACAGATAATAAAATTAAGGAAATAAATAGTATGAAAGGAATATAGAAGACATATTAATATATAAATATATATAAAAAATGATATATTATATAGAAATAAATGTGGGCGAGAATATAAGAAGCAGGGTATTTTTTTGGGTTAATTAATGAAAGTATTAACCAGAGGGTGGTCGCGAACAAATGCATGCTTAAAAATGTGTAGGATAATCTATCGTAGGTTATTTGAAATTACCGGAAGGTACGAAATGAAATACCACTTTTCCTATCTTTAATTTCATATCATTTCCACATTTCCCTTTTTCTTCGCACGAACTTTATTTGTACTTTTTTAGGACTATATATAGCCTTAAGGGCTTATTTTAAAAACTCGCCCCCCCCTCCTCTTTCTCACCTTCTTTCAATATCTATCCTGGTTATTTTATCTTATTTAATTCTGTTTCAATCAAATAATTCTCTTTTCTCTTATTTTAACTTATCAACATTCTCCATCTCTTATCATTTTTTATTTATCTTATAAACAGTTACAAAAAGACCAAGTTCGGCAGTTGCTCAATCATCATATGAAACAGCCGTGGCGGTTTACACAAATCAAAGACAGACCTTAGCGACTGTTATAAAGCATCGACCGGCGTCCTCAAACCTTCATCGCCCATCAGGTCGGTAGAAATAACTTAAGTTAAAAGTTTACAACTATCTGGGGGGCTGTAAACGGAACGGGTCAAAACCATTTCAAATTTCTTTTTTCTCATTACCTTTAACCCTTCCCGTCGTCCCCTATTTCCGTTTTCTTTCTTCTTTTTCTTTTGCTTATGTAAGAATAGGCAGGTGATAGTCATTAATTATTCATACTTTTCTTACCCCGCCTCACCTACAATTTTTATAAAAAAGGAGTGTTTTTAAGAAGAACGTAATCGTGTATTTTTGACAGAGTATGTGTGTATTTTTTTTTAAAAAAAAATAGACAGAGTGTTGCAGCCAGATATTTAAAATTGGCACAAAGCCTATACGGTTAGTTTTCAACGGCTTTGTTGCATAACAATGGCCGTTTTATGAGTCATACATACGATTTGAAACAGTATAGCTTTGTATTGGATTATTCGTTGGTTTTGTTTGTAGGAAGCGACGATGCGTAGAGCCGTTTCAGGCCGGGACAGGTGCAATTTGTTAGCCCTTTAAAGGTTCCTTCCCTCCTATCTTTTCTAGCAATTTAATCCGGCTATTTGTTCAAATTGACCCCATCCGAACCTGTGCCGACTCAACAAGATCAATGATCTTGTAGAGATGAGGGTAATCCTTGATTGAGATTGTTATCACTTTATTATTTCATTCCATACTTTTTAATATCCCATTTGGAATATTATTAAAATTCTTCACTTTGTTGATTTTTGACAAGCCGCAAAGGCAGGCCGGGGCAGGTGCAATTTGTAACTATTTTACACCAATTTGCACGAGCCAGGCCCCTCCGCGAGGGCGTCAAATTATTATTCATTTCTTCGCAATCTTTGCTAATCTCCTCTATATATAGATATTTAGAAAAAATGGCATATATATATTCATCTATATAAACGTGTACCTGTAAGAATATTTAAAGATATATTATTCATACAAACAAATCTATAGTTATATTTCATATTCATAGATTATATATAAATATACATTTATAGATTTATTTTGCGAAGTGCAACGATGGATATTTACATATTCCGATTGGTTGCACATAATTTCTAATATGTTTACACCAAAATTTTGGCGGTATATTAAAATATTTTTTATCTGATAAACTTTTAATATAATGTATATATACATATATATATATAAAATATGATTTTAAGCGGTCAACAATTTTTCACTCTTACTCTTAGAAGCTATTGATCACTCGGCTAGAAGAGAACATTCCCGTCCATTAAATGTCGATCGAAAGTTATATTGTTCGGCCTGGCTAATCCCATAGGGCGACTCTTTTCGAGAGAGCGCAAACATATTATTCAATACGAAATATATACGTATAGTACATATAGATATATCATTGGGATAATATCCAAATACAAAAATAATTAAGAGAAGACGAATAATTTATGGAGGAGAAATTTATATTCGTAGCGAACGGCTGACAGAGTGTGAATGATGCGGCGCGAGAAATCATCGGCACATAACCAGGGGTCTCTCTCTAGTTGCCCATGGCGACGAGACCGCAACGTTCAAAGACAAGGTTTATTCTGAACGTAGAAAATCTTTTTAATAGGTTGAAAAAAGTCTCCTATTTTTTAATCCGTATAAATTTTCCTTTATGACTTTTCCTTCATATTATTCACTTTCCAAGTTGTTCGCTCATTGACATAGATTTTTTTTCCCTCGACCGGCCTTTTTTCCCCTGCCGTAGTCTCCTCTTTTCTTTTATTCTACCTGTCTTCTTGATAATAAGGAAAGAATGCCTTTGAAGAGAATTTTTTCCTGTTTTTTTTTTTAAAAGACAAATCGACTTGTCAAATGGAACATCAATATACAAAAATGTATATATCTGTATGATGTCTATTAATAATACATCATGATATTTGTAATATCCGTAATAAATATCAACTATATTTATATTTATATATATATATATATATATATATATATATATATATATATATATATATATATATATAAGTATATATATCTATGTGTTCATCTACAGTTATATATATTTATAGTAAGTAGACTCACGGAGAAATTATACGTTAACCTATAGAATTAAAGCCACAAAGTACAAGTTGAACTTTACTATTAAGCTTTACGCACTTCCTGTTTGAGAAAGGAAGGCGTTTTTTATTCCTAAACTCTTACCTTATTTTTTTGATGATTTAGTCTATTTTTTTGAATTCGGTCCATTTATGCCAATTATGTAGTGACCTTTAAAACCTGCCCATCTATCTTTGACGACCCGTCTCGTTATGTCTACGTTCACCTGCAGTCGTGCGAAACGAAGGAAGTTCTCAACTGATAAGGTGATTACGCCTTATCGCAGATCGAGTCCGTTATATACAATATATCGTATTTTAAATATATGGACGTTCATATATTTACTTTATTCTATCTCACTGTTTATTTTTATCGTTCAGAAAAACGTCCTACTACGGGATTTAGTCGTGGCAGACCTTCTTCCGCCACAGTTGGCGGGGAGGAGGAGATTGACTCCGCTTTGAACCGGATATCGAAACGACAACAACAGAGGAATTACACTTACAATCTGCTAGACTCTTTTTCCTCCACTGATCTTCAAACAGAGAGCGCTACAGAGCTGGAGGCAGCCCGGGCTAAACACCAAGCCGAAGTTGCCGCCGCTCATGCTCGGGTCCAACAGAATGTTAAAGTTGATGAACCGAAGACTTTCGTTCCCCGGGCTCCTTCCATTCCAAAAATGGGTGCGAAAAGGCAGGCAACGCACAGATTAATATCCAGGTACGCCGCCTTTCGTTTACACACTCGCGCTCTAGTACTTCCGGCCTGATTGGGAAAATTTCGCGCCTTTTTTTACTCCTTCTCTCACTCATTCTATCTACATCTCCTCAACGGGGTGTTTTATAAAATCAAATATTTTATTAAAAGAAAATATATCTATTCAATTCATTCGTTTTTTTTGTAAGGAAGATTCTCCTTCTTTATCTTTTCTTTCTCTTTCAGTCTCTTTTTTCACACGTAAAAGATTTCTATATTTATCTCTAATGATAATTAATATTTCTGTTTTACCAAAAAAAAACAAAAAGGGAAAGATTTTTCTACATTTTCAATTCACAGGCAAACCCAAGCATTGGATAGCGGAGGGGATTTTTACTCAAATCTGAAGTACGACAGTAACACTGGACAATCTCTGGTAGTCGCCTCTCGCTTCGTCTAGGTGCTTTTTATTTTTTTCTCATTCTTTTCATATACTTTCCTTTCTACTCGGCGCGCGTATGTAAATTTACTTTTACGAGCTGTTTTAGCGGCGGGTGCTTGGATTATTGCAATCGAGTCTAAAGATATATATATATATTATGTGTGTACATGCTCATATTTTTTAACATTGCTTTGTTTCCATAATCTTTTATCTTGCATATTTTCGATAGCCTTAATCGCTTTTTTTATAACAGTTTGTAGAAATATTTGCTATTTATAATAGTTTTTATATAAATTTAATATTGCTTGTCTATTTATTTACTTATTATACTTTTTTTTCTCCCCTTCCGATCTGGTTATGAATAACAGACTTTCGACGAGGCGTATGCTAAAGTTTTAAAACGTTTAACGGAAGGTCTTCAATAAAGAAAAACGAAAAAAAACACTATATATATATATATATATATAATATAGAAAAGGTGCGGTGGAGAGGCAGAAAAAAATGAATATATAAACGTGCTCGCGAATTCCGTCCATTCGAATTAAATGAACTGTGAAATACGACGGACGCAATAAAGTGTTTGCACTGACCGTTAACGATTTTTTTCAGTCAATGCCTCTTATTAACGATTGAAGGAAAAAAAGAAGTTGTTTATTTTTTCTTTTTTAAACTTCTCCTTTTAATATATGTTATTATTTAATAAAATTCTTTCAATCTCTCCATCTATTTATCTATATATCTATTCTTATATTACTTCAGTTTCTCTTCCATATCAATATGTCAAAAGAGGACAAAAACACAAAAAAGACTGTTTAAAAACCAATAATTCTTTATATTCTTCACCCGTTTAAACATAAATTAGAAAAATAAGATTTTCTCTATCATCTCGTATCATATAGGCCTCTTTTCGTCACCTTTGATTGACCGTCTGATAGGCTCGCCTTTTCTTCGTAAGCATGCTCTCTACCAGACCGACCTGAGTCGTGAATCGACGGTTTAATATATATATATATATATATATAACTTAATAAATAACATATATACAAATATATATTTAGCTGAGTATACTTTAAGAAAAAGAAATGTTATTTGTATAAATCTTATTTATCATCCCGTTTGTACATTTGATATTTGTTAGATTATATGTAAAAAAAAATACCTGCCAAGGTTCCTTAGTACGACGCCAATATACCCATAAATAGACGTCAATTAGAGTAAATAAAAGGATTAGACTTGATAAGATTCCGATAAGAATTTCACCAAGATATTTGTTTATAAATCCTGATGGAATTACTTCTCTACCTGGTTCTGCCGTTTGTCCCAAGGGTGGCGCTGTATATAGTAAATTTAACCATTATCTGGTCATAAACGACATGATATTTCGCACCCACCACTGGCAGTTACTAAATACTTCTGGCATTCCCATTCGCCACATTCGGCTGTTTCAACTGCCTCACCCGAACAGGTCAAACCCCCATAGCGAGGTCTGGGGGAAGTGCACTTTCGCGACCGCCACTTTCTCCCCAGATTAGATGAAATGCTACATTGAAACAATCCGCATTTTGTCCAATCTTCCCATCTGACCCATTGGCCGTGAATTGGACATGTTTTCAAATGGCACGGTTCCCATTCGCTATCTGACCCTAGACAGGGTACGAGGCTAGAGCAAACCCTTTTCCGCTGCTTACTACCAAAACCACAAACTTTAGAACATGACAACCAATTTTGCCAATTGCTCCAAACACCAACAGAATGAAAGTCGTTCAGAGTTTCAGGGCAACGAACGGTCATACAACCTTGGAGATCTATAGGCCACCCAACACAGTAGTATCCAGTTTCAAAGTTCTTACACGACCTCCTCCGCGTTTGCAATCCACCATTGCAAGTATGAGTACAAGAACTCCAATGCGACCAAGCAGTCCACCAACCGAATACAGTTTTTATACAAGTGAATGGTAGATTCCTATAAATATTTTCCTCCTCTAATTGACTCTTATTTGGATCATATAAAACAACACGATCTGAGTTTGATGACCTATTGACACCTTTAACGATAATATCATTATAAAGAGAGTTTAATTTCCAACCAAGCGTTAGATTTTGAATATCAATAGGCAATAGGGAAATCCATTGTTTCTTCTCTTCTTTTATGAATTTATGATTATAAATCATAGGGTGAATGGGTAACATTAGAATCATTTTCTTCATTCTACAATATTGTTGAGATTTCCTAAAATTTAAACGATTTGGAGATTTAAGCAAACAAACTCCAATTTTTTTAATAAAATCAAGTCTATCTGTACTACTTAATGAAAGATTGCAAATTGAGTCTGGTACTTTTAACACTGCTAAGGATTGATGACAATTTAAGAAAAACATGTAAATAATGAACATTAAAAACATTAAAAGGTAATCAACAATGACCATTAGATTTCTCTTTTTTATATTTACTTTTATATTTTTTTTATTCACCTTTTTTTTTCTTTTGACCTCGTTAAAATATAAAATATCCACAAAGATTTTTGCGATTCAAGTAGGTATAAATAAACTAAAATATATTATATATATATATATATAAAGAGAGATATAGAGAGAGAGAGAGAGACAGAGAGACAGAGGGAGACAGAGAGAGAGACAGAGACAGAGAGAAAGTAAGAGAGAGAGAAAGAGAGAGAGAGACAGAGAAAGAGAAAGAGAGAGAAGGTGAGAAAGAGAATGAGAGAGAAAGAAAGATTGATAGACAGAGAGACAGAGGGAGTGAGATTGATAGAGAGTGAGATATATATATATATATATATATATGCAATTATTTATATAATTTTGGTTTTTTTTAAATTATTTGAATTGATTTTCTTAATCTTTACGCTTATTTATTAAGAAGGAAAAAACGTAACTAATATGAAAATATATAAAGTTTATGATACGTTTCTCCTTAGGCCTAATATATGTTATCAAATTTTTGACATCACCCAGTAAACATACGCTAATAAACTGTTCATGTATCTATATTAGTCTCTCTTCTTTCTTTCTATCGATATATCTCTCTATTTTCCTATCTATCTATCTATCTATCTCTCTTTCTCTCTTTCCGCTTTCTATGCTTTCCAAATTTCTTTTCTCTGTTCCCTCTTGTCTTTGCACTCTTTGTGTGTCTCTATACATATTTCTATCTTTCTCGCTATTTTTACAATCTTCTTAGCTAGCCTTCTTTTCTCTCTGTCTCTAACTCTTTTTTCATAGTCTTCCTCTATTCTTTATATGTAATATAGTTTAATTGAATATAATTGTTTTTATTTATCCTTTTGTTAATGATTTTCGATTTTTATGTTATTTGGACTATTAAGTCTCGACAAACAGTTTATTAACCTTTTAACGTTTCACTCTTATCTATTAAGTCTTTATAAACATGTGTTTTTTCGTCAAGAAAACGTTTGACAACCCCTTGTACTCAAGTGTCAAGTGAAGTTATTTAGAGTTTGGCAATTTATATAGAGGCGGTTTTGCGGGGAGCACTATTAAAAAGCGTATAAAAAGCAACTGACTTAACTTTTAAGCGCCATTCTTTCAGAATACGCCAACCGTTAAGCATGGAAGTGGATTCCGGAATCGACGTAGAGATGTTCGAGGAGAGGAGCAAAGGTACAAAAAGGCCTCTACATGTGAGTAATATCATCTATCTCTCAATACTTGTAGAACTGTACTATTTAAAAATGGATTACAAAAAGGATTATTATTCTATTAGAATGTTGCACGCAATTGCTTATATAAATATATGTACAATTTCTTAGTTATAAATATTTCTATATGCCAATATATCGAATGTTGTAGGTAATATATATATATATTAGTTTATACATATATATAGCTCGATAAATATATGTATATATATGTATATATACATAGAATCTTATATGGTTAAATGTATATATGTTGTCCATTTTACAGAGTATATATACATGTTAATATAGATATATATAGTGTGCGCTTGAATTTAAATATGTATTCGTCCATATAGTTGTGTAATTGTAATATAACAAATCTAGATACACGTGCAAAAATTATTGGCTTTTTTTCTTATTCGGGTTGATTAGTTCTTTGCTCGTTTTTAATGTTTTCTTCATATTCCTCTTCATTTGCTCTTTGCATAGATAATTGACTAGATTTATTGCATAGGATTAATTACACTGGAGATAGTAGAACCTTTTAAATGATTCAATATTCATAAAAGTGTTTACCCATTTAGGATGATGAAGAATTCTTTATGACGAAACGTTTTAGGGGTAACTCAACGTCACCTTTAATTTCATTTTCGCCAAATTCGATTAATTCATCTCCGGAATCGAAGACGAGTATTTTAACCGAAGATATGATATGCGAGGAAGAAGATTCGAGCTTTTCTGAATATATGGAGGAAACATTTACACATAGGAAAGGTATCGAAGACAGACAAACAGCTAAAATAGAAAATTGCCTCAAAGGTCAGACAATGGTTAGTGCGGATGGTAGGAAAGTCCTCGTCGAATGGTTGGCCAAAGTTCAGCGTCACTTGAATTTATCGTTCGAATCGTTTTTCTTGGCCGTCGCCTTAGTAGATAGATTTTTGAAGACGACGCCAATTTCAAGCGATTGTTTACAATTAACCGGTATTACAGCACTACTAGTCTCTTCCAAAATGGAAGATATCTATCCACCTCTCATAGCCGATCTTATTCGTCTCTCAGCCAATGCCTATACGCGAGTCCATGTGATTATGATGGAACGGTACATGTTAAGCCGTCTTAGATTCGATATAGCTACTTCAACACCATTATTCTTTTTCGATTGGTATTCAGCAAAAATGAGGACGGTAAGCGTATCAAACGAAAAAATTGCAAAATCCAGAGCCCTAGCAAGATTCATTCTGGAGAAAGCTATAGCCGACTACGACTTATCGCAATTACGAGCGTCTCATTTAGCATTAGCAACGTTGAAATTGGTAAATGACGCTTTCCTTATACCGGCATTTGGTATCACAAGCATGTGTGAAACAGACACGTTGAAGACGATTATTCGTTTAGAAATAGTAATGAAAGAGAATTTAAAAGAAACTCCCCTTGATAAAGTCTACAGCATTTATTCGTTGGATTGATATACTTATTATTATACAGTAAAATTTATTATTACTACGAAAATGACTATATTATTATTGATTCTAATTCAATGTATTGAGTCTCTTTTAAATAACTAACTCGTTGTTATTTGCTTGTCTATGAATATTTTGTGCTAAAATAACGGTGTTTGAAAAAAAAACATTTTATCGCGAAAGCGCCATCTACGGCGTAATAAAAAAGTTAAAGTGCTAAACAAACAAACGGAGAAAAGGCAAGCTTTGATTAGCACCAGATGCGAGAACAATGTTGTTCGGCTTTCTGCTGTTAATCTTTTCGTTGAAATCGGCTTTTTCTGCCGATAATTGTCGTAATTTCGTATGTAATAAGGCGAGTTTGGAGAGCGGAACAGTGTGTTCGAATATTAATCGTACCTACGATAGTCTTTGTAATCTGTTAAAGGAAAGGAATTGTTCCGGTCAAATAAAATTGGAAATGATTCATAAAGGTAATTGCACAGATATGTCGGTCAATTCGAAATGCGTTCAGGCTAGGAAATCAGCGCAGGACAAAAGAAAACGAAATCAAAAAGTTCACGTTCCCGAATGTGTTGAGAACGGTAGATATGCTCCCAAGCAGTGCTTTATGAGCTATTGTTGGTGTGTAACGCCTAAAGGTGAAATAATTCCAAAGACTAGTAGTAAAAGGAGATCCAGTTGTAATAAGAATGAGAATAAGAGGAAACGAAGCGAATGTCCTGTTAAAAAAAGGATTCGATTTAACAAGCAGCTCATGCGTCGTCTAAAATTGCAAGAAGGCGTTCAAAGTAAAAGCCTGGCCTTTGACCTTAAATTTAAAAGGCTCGACTTGAATAGGGATAACAAATTAATGAAAAAGGAATTCCGACGATTTGTTTCGTCCATTAGAAAACTTGTCCGACCTCGAATTTGTTCTCGAACAATGTTCGCCTACTGTGATGCTAATGCGGACCGCCGTGTCGTCAAGTCGGAATGGCGAAATTGTCTGGACCCCTCCCGAGCACGTTCTTTATTCCTTCTTAATAAGAAGAAGAAACATAGTTTCGCAATATTGTTGACAACCAAAAATTCTAAAGATCTCTCTTCGAAGAAGACAACAAACTGTAGCAAGGATAGGACTAATGCAATAAAGGAGCATAATTTATACCCGCCGGCTAACGTTTTTATACCCGATTGCGAAGGCGATATGTTTTCAACCATTCAATGTCACAACTCAACAGGCTATTGCTGGTGCGCGTATAGAACAACCGGGTTAGCTGTGCCAAGAACGGTAAGAAAGGGTAGACCGGAAAATTGTAAAATAAAAATGGCGCTAGAGAATTGTACAAGCGCCGACTTAAACGAGTATCTCAGTAAAATTATAACTAAAGCCAATCGAACTGTGTCAGACGTTAAAAACACGTCCACCTTTCTCCAACTACATAAACAAGCCGATTTAAACAACAATAACAAAATCGATAAAAGAGAATGGAGAGTGCTAAGGAAACTTATCAAAATTGGTAAGAAACGTCTTAGAGATTGCCGACGTAACTTTCTAATATTCTGCGACGACGACAACAACAAAGAGATTACACTTGAAGAGTGGTTAGCTTGTACTAGACTTACTAATGAGTATATGAAGTTGCCTGGTTCTTTCTAAGAATGGTAAGAAAAGAAAAAAAAAGATGAGACAAACAATGACCACTTCATTCCAATAGTTTTTTTTTGTGGGTAAATTTTATTACAGCAGCCCTTGCAAAAAAAAATACTTCCATATATATTTTATGGCTACCATGTTTTGTTCTCAAAGTCGACCAGTAGTAGAGAGGAGACAACACTTAATTATTGTAAACGTCCATATAAAGTTTTTAGTAGAAAAAGAAAAAACAAGTACTTATAAAACAAAGACTTCATCACTTCTATTGCTGCTCATTGTCTAAACACACTTTTTTAGTATTAACTAGTTTAATACCGTGTACTTTATTTTCATGTAATTTTCTTGTATGGTAATCGGCGTAAGCTGCATCGCAATGTCGACAGCCAAATGGTTTTTCTCCAGTATGAGTAAGTTCGTGTCTTTGCTTTGTATATAATCTTTTGAAAGATAGACTACATGAACCGCACTTAAATGGCCTGAAATCGCTGTGACGCATTCGTTTATGCGTGTTCAGTTCAGCCTTGCCATAAAATTTCCTATCACACATGTCACACGCAAAATTTCGTTGTCCTCTATGACGTAATTCATGATTTAATCGACCTGCATAAGAGGTTAGCACTTTACTACAGTATGTACAACGAAACATTTTCTTTAATAGCATTCTTCCTTGTCCATCTCCCATTGAGATGTGAGAATGATGAGAGTTGAAATGCTTTAGAACATTCAATTCACTTGAATTACGAAAGTGACACGTTTCTATCGGACATCTAAACTGACCGTCGAAATCACCATCGATTGAATGATGAGAAGCGGTGTGTATTCTAAATCTGGCTTCGCTATGAAAGGACTCTTGACAAATCTCACATGTCGGTCGATGGGGTCTTGGTCTTTTTCTATCGGTTCGAGTGTGCGTTGTTTCGTGACGCCTTAAATGGTCTGGCCTCTTAAATTTCATACCGCAATATGAGCACATATGATTTCTCTCGTTTGAATGTGCAGCATCCATATGATTTTGTAAGGCGGTGTCATATTTGCTAAAAAATCCGCAATCGTCTATGGGGCAATGATGTTCTAGGAATTGATGTCTTCTATACATATGAGCATGTAAGGTTCTGGAATTCATGCAAGTCATTCCACATAATTTACACAATTTTTGATCTTTCGGTGATTCGTCTTTTTCATCGTTTTCATGACACTTTTCGTGTTCTTGAAATTTTTCGGAATCAGTTGTCGCATAAGAGCAGAAATCGCATCTTAAAACATTCACATATTGTCGTTTCGATGGTTCTAATCTTTCAAGTTTCTCTAAATAATCTTTCTTTTCCGCTTCCGCAGTAGTTAAACCGTCCATTTGCACTTGCGTAGATTTAGTTGCACTAGTCATGATAGAAATGGTCGGAACTTCAAGCTGATTTTCAGTTTTTATAAATTTTTCATACCTTTAATTCAGGAAATACAAAAGTTTAATAAAACTATAAAGTATATCTAAAGTATTAATTTACATGTCTAATAGAACTTCCGCAAATTGTTCATCAGTTTTTAAAGATTTCATATTACACCATCGAAAATATTGTTTACCAATATTAACAATTTCTAGGTCATTATATCTTTTATGACTTGAATAGACGTCCGTAGAAGTGACGTTTTCACCTTGACGGATAGGTAGAAAAGAATTCATAAGAAGTTTGTATCATTTAAAAAAAAAAAAGTTATTATAAATTAAGAACACTAAACAATAAACAATTAAAAACATAAAATAAGTATATTAGATATTATTCGTAAATATTATAATAAAAAATGTGTTAGCTCACTATTAACAGCTGGTAATTCTTCAACATCCATAGCAATATTTGTTGTATTCTCTCTTATTTTTGAGATTTTTTCCTTTGAAGATTTCCTCGGATTACATGATCCTACAGCAGATATAGTTGGAATAGCATCTCGTCTTAACATGGACTGCGAAGGCTTACATATAAAAATAGACAAATCACTTAGAAGATATAACTGATACTTTTGTAAATTAAAGACTTTCATTTCTATGTAAAAATCTATATAAAGTATCAATTACAAAAGATCATATAAGTATCTAGTGAAATTTCCTGGAATTGAGATATTATTTTTTTGGTATGTAAACTTACATCCATGAAGGCAGTCTTAGAGAAATGTTTTGAACATACTCGGTAATTGGAATTATACACTTTCATCACACCGTCTTCGTTTAATAACTTAGTAATGCGGTCTTGTTTTATTTCATCTGCCCACGCTTTGCATCTGTTTGTAATAGTAATATTAGAAAAATGAGTGAAATTCACAATTTTTTATTATTACCTTGTAAACTCCCGAGGAAAACGGAAAAATCGAATTTTTACACCATCAGTTTGTTTCTTAGTCTTGGACGTCGCACCACAAACTGCACAGCTCATGTTTTATTAGTTACAAACGAAAATTAAATACTAGGGAGCGATAATATGAGTGTTACATGGATCTGATAGATGTCGTTGATGTCTTGTTTTTAATAAAAATAGTTCGCGAAAAGTTTCATATAAGACCGTTATTGGAGATTTTTCTGCAATACAAAGCTTGAGAAAAAAATTAAAGTTAGCTTGATAATGACTTAATAAGATTGAAGAATTTCGAATAATTAATTCGACACGTACGCGCGTATGAATACAAAAGTCACAACGTCCTTCTACGGTCAAGGGCATTCCGATCTCTCCTTCTTTCGGCTTCGGACGTTTGTTGTGCAAAGCGAAAAAGTTGAAAACCTCCTGTTTTAGAAATGGTAAGTTCTTATTGTGTTTGCAATTAAACATATTTTGCACGTATTTATACCATTTTTATAAAAATATATACTTTGATACCGTAACATTGTTTTTGGACAATATTACCTTGAACATACTCAGATTTTTATCTAATAGCCGATATTGTAACATTTGCTGCCATATTTCTTTTCATTTCGATCAAATGCACATTATCAGTTATGTTGTTTATTATTTATTATAGGAAAAGTCCCCAATCAGAGTATTAGTTACTGGAGCTGCTGGGCAAATAGCTTACTCCTTGCTGTATCCTTTGTCTAAGGGTGATGTCTTTGGACATGACCAACCTATTGAACTCGTCCTACTTGATATTGAGGCTATGCTTACTGTCTTGGACGGTGTTGTAATGGAAATGCAAGACTGCGCCTTGCCTTTGTTGAAGAGCATTATTCCAACCGCCGATACTGACGTAGCATGCAAAGATATTGATGTTGCCATCCTTGTTGGTGCCATGCCTCGAAGAGAAGGAATGGAACGTAAAGATCTTTTGAGAGCAAATGTCAAGATCTTCAAAGCCCAGGGTGAATCATTAGATAAACACGCCAAAAAGAGTGTTAAGGTTGTAGTTGTTGGCAATCCCGCTAACACTAATGCCTTCATTTGCAAGAAATATGCGCCCTCTATTCCTCCTGAAAACTTTACCGCTCTTACCAGATTGGATCAGAATAGAGCTCAAGCCCAAATTGCCACTAGAATGGGCCTAGTTCCTCAAGATGTCAAGAACGTAATCATTTGGGGAAACCATTCTAACACTCAATTCCCTGATGTTAGGCATGCTAAAGTTGCTGGAAAAGGAGTTTACGAAGCTGTCCAGGACGATGCTTGGCTGAAGGGAGACTTCATCAAGACGGTACAAACGCGAGGTGCGGCTGTTATCAAGGCCAGAAAACTATCGTCGGCAATGAGCGCAGCCAAGGCGATCGGTGACCATATGAGAGACTGGTGGTTCGGAACAAAGGGAGATGAATATGTTTCCATGGCTGTTCCATCCGATGGTTCATATGGTATTGAGAAGGGAATTATTTACAGTTTCCCTGTACAAGCGAAACCAGATCATACGTATTCAATCGTACAAGGTCTCCAAATTGATGAATTTAGCAAGGAGAAAATGACGACTACTTTGACTGAGCTGCAAGAGGAAAAGTGTTCTGCCGAAGAATTTTGTGGATATTGACGGTAAGGGAAATTTGTTAACGATTATAATTATTACAATTTAACACTTTATTCATCAAACAGGGTTTCGGCAAACATGTGAAATGTAGAATTATTCAGCAGCGTTCTCTATTCATTAGTGTTGGTCTGAATGCATTGCATGTTAAAAAGTTGGAGCAACGTTGGAGCGGAATTTTGCTGAACGGAAAATGTTTCACGCGTTTGCCGATTTGTGGAAATTGTTCCGCTTCCAGCGTTGATTGCTAAAGATATATAATGAATGTTGCTATTGAATGATGGCTTTATTATCATATATCCTTCTCTGCACTCTATTATAATAATAAAATGAAATATTTAATTAAGTATTTCAAACATGGCGTATTTTTCGATTCTCGAAAAGAATACATACGTGTATGTAAACAGAGTTTCTGTATATCTACGGCAACTATAGATTGACTAGAAACATTTAACAATTTAATATAAATTCAAGACCATTGTTTGTCACGAATATGCGTTTTTAGAGAACTGAGTAGTCTATGCATAAGTACGCTAACAAATTTATCAAGTGGATCCAAAACTCCACGCTGCATCCAGGTTGGAATAGTTTTACTCGCATGCTTTACGCCCAAATACTTGAGGATTCTGTCTATTCCAAAAGGTTCACATGATTGTTTTCCGACCAACATTTTAATAGTTGGTTCAAGACGCCAGCTAATACAACGGAAATTTCTTTGATCCTCCTTTAGAACGCTTGTTGGACTTTTAATATCGGATTTGCGCTGTCGTAGGTCACTTTGCTCAACAGTATCGATATACTTTATGATAAGTTCACCAAGAAACATGAGTGCACCAGCATTGATAGTTACACTTATATCGTCGTAAAAATCTGTAACAAATTTACAATCGACATCTGCCTTAGGGTCTTCTAAGGTTGGTTCCTTATGCTCTTGATGGTGTTCAGTTAGTAGATACATCATTAAAGCAGGCATTAAGAAAATAATTTCTGTGTCATGCTGATAGGGCTTACGTTTTTTATCGCGAGAAACTTCCGTTTCGGTTTCGTCGTCATATAATGGAAAGTCGGTCAAACCGGGAAGATCCTTGCAACCGAATGCATAATCAAACCATATTCTAACCGATGAGGCCATATTTTTAATACCTTCTCCACTTCTTGTCACACGACAGATGGTCGCCATAATACGACTTACATTTTCTTTCATCATACTGTGACCAAGTTGAAAATTTAATGATTGACAAACTATAGCATTCGGTCCATCAAGGTCTTCTAAACAGGTTACATTATCTCTAGGGTTTGTGTCAAACGATATCGTCGGTTCATCGAGGGTAAATATAACCCAGTTTTTGGCCTGAAAAGAACTGCCATCAAAACAGGCCAAGGACAAATTATTTCCCTGCAATGTCAAAGTTCCATTAACATCGTAACGAAAAGAGCGAATCATTTCCAATACAGTTTGCCAGTGCCTATGGTATCGTATTTCCTTTGTTAACGAATCTGTATCTCCATGATCAGCGGATTTGTCGATATTCTTTGATTCTCTAATACCAAATATCTTCATTGAATTTACGTATTCTGAAATAATTCTTTGAGTAATCTGATTAACCGCCGCAATGAGATCTGGCGTTGTTCTTTTTGTCAACATAAGGTGTAATTTATCCCAGAGAAGTTTTCCTAATACTGTAACATTCACCAATCCCTTTCGTTCCCTAGTAGAATCACAAGAAGTTGGTGTTGTATCATCGCTTTTCAATATAACCCATTCATCCTTCAATAACAGGCAAAAGTCATTCAGACGACCTAGAAGAATATTAGTGCTCATATACTCTATTCTCGTTTCCAAGGTTTCTAAGTTAAATTCAGCCGAGTGCGTTGGTGTTAGTTTCATTCCTCTTCCACCTTCGACTATTCTTACATCTCCATAAACATTTCGAACTTGAAGGGAACCGGAAATAACTACGGTAGAACATTGAATTTTTGATCCCTTTAAACCAGCTTTTATTTGCATGTCTTTAAATCCAGTTGAATCAACATTTAAACGACCTTGACAATTAGGGCCAACAGTGCTCCAGTGTAATTTCCCCAACATGATTTTTACGTCTACATCCAATTTAGAGAATCTAGCTGTGAATAATACTCGCGTTTCCCATTTTTTCGTAGGATTTAAGCTTTTTGATTTAGTTAAAGTAGGCCTAGGTACTTCAACGTCTAAATTTTCTTTCTTCTCCTCTCCCAGAAACAAACGTCTAGCCAAACTTGATCTGTACCAGTGTTTTGGGAAATTAAGAATATCCTGTAAGCGTTTCATATCGAATTCAAATTTTGAATCTCCAATATCGCATGAGGCTGAAAAGCGAACAATGCTTGATATCGGTTGTAAACCTTCGTCGGGTCGTCTTGTTCTTGATAGACTAAGTCGAACGAACTTAACATTAACTACTAGTGAATATATTGTTGTATCCGAAGACTCGTCAGCATTCTTTTTATGCATATTAAAAAGATGATAGATTTTTAAAGAGAAATCAGCAAAGCTAGCAGTAACGCTTAATCCGCCAGATTTATCAGCGTTATAATCTTTTCTAGTGGAGAAAACAATGTCCAAGGACGGCATACCAAGTTTACATTCAATCCTTTCGGCTGGTAAACAACTAAATCGTATTGTTGATGGGTCAACTCTAACATAGACAACAACATCAACCGGAAAAGATTCGGCTGCGTTTAGAGTTGTTTCCCCAATATCAACTGCTGACCCATCAGTGCTGGGACTTTCTGATGTTGTGTTACTGACTATTGGCACATTTTCTAAAGCTTGATGGAGAAAGTCTAACAGGAATGTCTTAATAACCATCTCTTCTGAGAGGCGCTCTAGCGTAAACCAACAATATAAATTACCTGATTTTTTGTTTGATTCTTTTTCTGGGTCAGTTTTCGAATCATAGCGGACTTTAATATCAACGCCTGGAAGAAGGAATACAGTTCTACAGTCAGTTTCTGTTGGACCAATTTTTAAGCGTGTATTCGAAGCTCTACTAGTTGTTCTAGGTCTCCCTAGTTTACTTGGAACTGTGTCGTCAACTTCCGCCGCTTTTAAATCTTCCTCCTTAGGATGTAATACACACTGACCAGATTCAACTCTAACTTTAACGTCCAAGTCAAAATCTATTGCTTCAATAGGTACGCTTGATCTATTAGTACCATTTCTCATATCGTTTAGATTTGGATCGTGGAGAACACGCTTTAATTGGTCAACTTCAACATCCATAGTTGATATTGATATTTCACTTTCTGTATCTGAGAGAGACAAATCCGAACTAGATGATGAAGAGTAAGAATCAGTTAGAAATTTAGATGGGTCATCGGGAATAATTTCGAGACGATCTTCAACATGAACAGATTTTAGTTCCTTTAAATAAAATGATGAGGCTGCATCAACGCTGCGTGTACGATTGTGGGTATTCAATTTCGAAACGCTACTATGAGACGAACTTGACACTGGAGAAATATCAGGGGAGGTTTCGATAGCTCTCTGCCGTCGTAATTCAGGTCCACCTACTGACTTAGACCTGCAGTGAATTTGTTTTTCTGATATACCTAATTGCTTTTTTAAGGCCCTACGATCCTTAGTCAATTTACTGTTGAAGAAGGAATGCCTGAGACGTTCCTTGATTCTTTCTAATTTCCTTTCTTCTTTTGCTATAGTTTCTGGAGGCCAATTCGTAGCTTTTAAATCATCCACTAGCAATTCCTGCTTTTTCTTTCGTTTTTCAAGCTCAATTAAAACAGCATTATCTACATTCGAGTAGACAGCTCCATTGTCAGCCAATGAAGTCAAGGTTTTTCCCAAAGCAGCTAACTTTTCACCAATTCTTGTGTTAAGATGAATATCTAAGCCTTTCATTTGCCACGTTACATTTAAAACCCACTTGGCGTTCTGTCTCTGTGGTGCCATAACTGGCCCGTGAGTTTGCGAACAAACTTCATATGTGCCGTTTGGAACGCACATAGCGTTCATAACTGGATACTCTCTTGGTTTCCAATCATCTGGGAAACAAACATCCTCGTCGAATCTCAAACAAAAGTTTTTAAATTTACCCTTCGATACCAGTGAACCCCTTGAGCAAGCCGATATTTGCGTAGAATCTAAAGTTAATATTAATAGATTTTTGGAATCGAAGCTTACTGTTCGCTTATTTGGTATTGTTAGCGGTAAACAGATGCATAATTCATCAACAGTTAATTGAAGAAACAATGCTGAAGGTACTCGGGTAGTATCTGAGCTAGTTGAGCTGGTTTGTTGATATAACTTGGTTGCTAATGTAGGAGGTTTATGCTGTAATGAAGTTGAAGCATTTTTAACAAGGGCTAAACGCTGCTCACTCCAATATTCAAATGCATTTTTATAGTCGATCCAAATCCAAAACGCGGCGTCAAAGGCGGGTGGCTGAACCTCAATAACTGGTCTATTAACGGACAGAAGGAGGGCTTCGGTATCTTTACCGATATCTGGTCCAGTAACCATTTCGTGTTCAAGCGCATTTCGAACTCTTATTGTTGTGCTGAAGCTGGCTAGTGACTCAAAATCTGGTTCAGCTTCTTGGAATACGTAATTCTTGTGAATGTGAATGATTTCTAATGTCAATTTTTTAACATCAGCTGTTAGAAACACTTTGCCGGGGGAATTTGACAATTGATTTTCCTTCTTTACTCGATTAGATAGACGAATTTCTATGGCTTTGGTTTCTAATCTTAATGCATTTTTAGCTGGTTTTGTGGTTGTAGCCAATAGTTCTATACCTCCTTGTTTAAGATGAATGAAGAAAAGCATTTGTGCCTTTTGACGGCTTTGAAAAAGAGGAACCGGTTTATCAGTACCTGATATTTTATTTAAAACTTCATTTATTTCGTTTCGAAATGTCTTTTGCATGAAGACCAAATGATTTAATAGATCGCTACTTAAGGAATGCTTGAACTTTTGTATAACTGCCAGCATTTTTATGTATTTTCCTGTTCTAGTGTCCAGACCCTCGTTTAAAGCAGATTCTTCAGCAATCTCTTCGCCTCTCTTACTTATCTTACTCTCTTTATATTCAGCTTCGAGACTCATAAGGGGAAGATCAACAGATGCTTCTTGTGGGATATTACCCGGAAATAAATTTGATCTAGCTGCTTTGAAGCTAAGTTTATGATGAGGAATAGAAACGCTTGCTTTTGCTTTTGATCCCGTCCAACCGAATCCTGTAACTTTACCAATTTCGTACTCAGATCTTAATGACGGAAGTAGAGAGGCTCCAATTACCAAACCATCAAGAATTGCTCTAATTTGAACAATATCGTTTTGAACTTGCTTTTTATCATCGTCTAAAGCATTTTCAACAGCGGCGTCACAAACGTCAACAGGGGGTGAGCTTTCCCTATGAAGATTATCAGGTATGAATTCTTTAAGTGTGTGAGAGACAATTTCCGTAGTTTTGTACATCATATCATGAGTGCTTGCAAGATGTTGCGGAATATCAACGTAAACATTACCAACTTTGATTGTTGCAACTTTGCCTCTAGATGAATTGCGTGATCTAATAGCACCAAAATTTGAGTAGAAGGCATTTGATTTTTGACATTTGATAGTCAGAATAGCCTTTGTGGTTTCAGCAACGAGCAACCATACATATGTATAATCTATATAAACTGAAAATGATGTTTCTTCAAATTTTTTTCTTGATTCTGATCTTACGTTAATTCTATGAGTTAATGACAAGTCTACTGTTCTTACTTCGGAAGCTAATTGCAAGCCTGATACATTTGCTTTTAATTTTATTGTTCCAATTCGCATTGTTCCAAAAGCTAATATCGGTATATGTACTATTTCATTAGAATAACGAGCTGCTTTGCTCTTAGTATTTGTTCCGCCGGGTTCTTCATCTATAACATCTAATTCTGAAGGTTGCATTTTAGACCTTGTTATTGTTCTCATTTGAGAATCGGAAACAGATGAATAAAGGTCTAAGATATTCTTTAGCGTTTTCCAACATTTATCATCTGGAAGCGGCTCCAGTTGATCCACAGTCATTTTAGGTGTTTCAACAGGCATAAGCAAAAATACACTGCTCAATTTTTCACTTGTTCTATTTGATTCTGCTTTATCTCTCATAGTTGATGAAGATGGCTGCTGGTCTTTTTCGTCTTGAACAGAATGAGTCGTATCAGTGCTTGATTTAGAATCTTGTTTTCTGTGCGTTTTTTTCATTTTCAAAGCAGCTTGGGTAGCGTTAACTCTCTGTATCATAGTGACAAGCTGATGAACAAGTCTTAATAAGCTCAAGTTAACGTATTGTTCAATAGTTTCACACTTAATAGTAAAGTACATTTTGGTTGTCATTGGTCGAGCTAATTGTACATTATCCAACGCATCTTGAAGTCTTCCTATTGATTGACGCTTATTGGTAAGGTTACAATCATCTCTTTTCTTATCAATTTCGGCGACGTCTTTAGCATTTATGTCAACCGAGAAATTATTACAGGTAAATGTAGCTGGAGATACTCCTGAATTTCGAGGTAAGTCTGAATCTATGATATCTACTACAAGTGTATGTAAAACAGCCATTATAGAACAATTCCCACCGAATTTTCTCATCATAGCTGACGATTTAACAGCTTCCAAATGTAAACCTATAGCACGTAATAATGGCTTGAATAGAATCTGTGCGTCAACTAAGCGCCATTGGTTCGTATGTCGAGACAATAAAGTATTCGTGCAAACCGAAGGAGCATTTCCATCAATGCTGTAGGCGTATACTGAATCCTGACCAGCATTTGAAGCAGTTCTTGGAAGGCGTTGTTGATATACTAAGTCGTCGGAGTTCCCATTTAAATTTCCTTGTTCCGCAACCCACCTATTAATATCACTTTCGTGTTTCTCTTTTGAGTCGAGTTCGTTTAGGCGCAATCGAAGAATATTGCTTTTATTAGGTGTGGTGCTTCCCCCTGTAGGTACATCGCCTATGTCCACATTGCTACCAGTTTGAAATATAGTCCCAGTACTATTTTTTAATTGCATTGATTCGTTTTTGGTGAAAAGGGTAGAAAAGTTGAGGGCTGGAATAGAATTCGGTCCCGGTAAGGAATAGGATCTCATTCCTAAAGTTTTTGTTGGGCTACCTTCCCTACTCTCAGCTCTAAATAAATCATTCTCAATAGACAATTCATCATCTATATCGCATTCATCAGTTCTTAATAAAGAGATTTTCTCTTCATTATCACCACCTGTTTCCCCGAGCTCTACATTAGCATTATCTGTACCTCTAGACTCTAATGAATCGTGTTTCCCCCCCGATAAATCAAATTTAACATTGAATTGTTGATGCTTCTTCTTAGACATTTCTGTTTTAGGATTAAAGAACAATAAAGTCTTCCAATGCCTTGTTAACGCTAACACGCCTTTTTGTAGTGTTACAAGCTCAGAAATGCTCGGTTCAACAATTAATTGCCTATGAGGCATAGCTCTTTCTATAGAGGCAGCACCGTTCTCTGCAACAAATCTTCTGAGGATACAAACTAGGATGCACGATGGATCTTCCCTCAATTGCTTTGCAACTTGAGAGTACTTGTTGTACTTTTGTGATGGCAATTGTAGAATTTTCTAAAGTTGGAAATATTTTTCAATGATTAATAATTAGGTAAATTAGAAAGAAAATCTAAATTTATCTTACGTCCTGATTACTTGACGCTTGAGTCATTATGCACGCCATAACACCCGTAATTCGATTTTGCATAGCAATCATCATGTGTGAAACAGCATAATGTAATTTATGGCCGCTATTCATCCAAGCTTCTATGGCAGGTGTTAGAGTACTTAAAAAGTTCCAATCATTTGCTGAAGGCAATGGTAGAATTTTCTTTCCTCCTGATGGGGCAGCGCAATTAAACCACATTTTTTCGACGTCCAAAATACACGTTGAAGCGTCACTTTAGATTAATAAAAAAAATTGTTAATTATTTCTAAATAATAATATATAAAAATTTATTTATTTACCTTTTACACGGCGTACTTTCACTTTCATCCGAGGGAGAGTTCTTTCGCAATTTTCTTCTAAGATAGTCTTCAGAATTGGAGGGGATAACTTTCTTTAATTTTGTAATTGATTCTTCCGTTTCTGATATTGAATTTTCAACTTGAAGGGCAACGGGTCTTCCACTTTTCGGCTTTTCAGCAGAATCATCAGATGGACCGTAACCAAGTCTTCTGGCCATTTTTAATCGTATATTTCCGACACCTGCTTCAACCATATTATACCCGGCTTCTTTTTTTAAAAATCTAAAACGACTACAGGATCTATGATCAGGTAGGGCTGTGATTTTAAGTTCATTGACGGATGAATCGTAAGAAGGCCTTAGACGTCTAACTTGGGCATGGATTGTATTAACAGATAAAGTTGCTACTTGATCTTCCTTTAGGATATTATCAGACATATCTTGAACAAGTTCAGCATCTTGTCCATTTCTATTCTTTTCAGGACTGTTAGAATTCGAGTCAGACTTGTGTGTTTGAGTATTAAACATAACGGTAGAATTAACTGAGTCTATTTGCACTGCTAATAATGACACGCAATCTTTTTGAACACCAGAGTCTGAAGCTTGAACAACAACTACTTTTATTCGACTAAGGTGAGTTTGAAATTGGATTCTTCTTGTTACTTCTAATACTCCATCATTAAAAGTTGAATTTAAGCCCAGAATCTTATTTTGGGCTCTAACATCTTTGCTTGACTTGACGTGCATTGTATCCAATATTCCACATGCGTGCAATTGTTCTAAAACTGGTGTTATTGATTCAATATATTGTTTTATGCCATCAAGTAGCAGGGGTGATATAAAAACATCAATTGAACCAGTTAATTTAATAACTGCCATTGTTTTCGACACGTGATTTTTTCCGTTTTCTTCATTAGGACCTCTCTTAGAAGATTCTATAATTGTTGGAGTTTTCTTGACTTTGGATCCCGAATCATTTTCACTCTTACTGTCATCTTTGTCATCTTCATTTATCATAAGCTGTGGTCCTATGCCTTGTTTTTCAACTTGAAATTTTGGCACAAGTGATCTTTGAAGGCATTTAAGTTGGCGATAACTTTGTTGTATGGATTCAAACGCACAACCCGCAGTAAAAACATCTTCAACAGTTCTATCTGGTCTCCAGCCTTCACATGCTAACTGAGTCATATGACCGAGATATGGAAATTCTTGAGATGGCGGTTGAGGTAGTGCATTGTAAGGATTTTCCTCTAAATTATTTGATGATGAAGATGTTGTAGACGATTGTAAAATAGTATCATCCTCGTCATCATCGTTACTTTCTTGAACTTCATTTTCGTCGATTGTATCATTTAATTCATCCAGATCTGAAGCAGCTGATACGAATGATGAAGCAGAGCTTGTTTCGTCTTCGTTAGCAGACCAAAATCTAGAAAGAGTAGATAAATATGATATGGAACTAAGTATATGAATAATTTAAATAGATTTCTTTTATAAAAAGTTTCGAATGTAAACCAAATAAAATCCGCTTTCACCATAAAACCAACCTTTTACAGAGCTCCTTAAATGGATGCTCATAATTTAAATGTCTGATTTATTTTGCAACGTGAAATTTTGAATAGAGAAATTTTGAATATGAAAATCAAAACTTACCTATCGCTACTAGCAACTGACACTGTTCGACTGATAAAATCTTCGTCTTGAAAGCTATATTCACTATCACAACGTTTCTCTATTAGGGTATCGGAAGACATACTAGTAAAAGGATCCGATATATCGTGTCCTGTTTCCTTGGATATTAGTGACTGTTTGCTTGAACCGGAAGACGTTTGTTCCGTAACCGGGAATAAATTCTGACCCTTAGCGGAGGATGTATCGCTAAAAGTATCAGTTCGCCTGGATTCAGTGCCGTCAATAACAGTTGTTGATGTGGGAGGTGAGGAGAATTTATCATATTTAAAAGTTTGAATGTCTTTATCTAGTAAAAAGCGATTAGGGGATAAGATTGATTGGCCAAAGCCAAAAAATGGCACAGGAGATATGTGAGGGATAGTTAAAGAGGATAGCGATGATTTATCATTTCCAAAGAATCTTCTTCCCAAACGGTTTTCTCCAAAAAATAAACAGTTACCAACACAACCACATTTTCTTGATGATTTCGACATTTCTCTCCACAAAAAGTATAAACGTTTTGTCTTAGCATCATGCTTATTCAAGAATTCTTTTTGAGCAGTTAATAAGTCTGGATGAGGTAAAGCCATTCCGGCATCAAAAGCCACTCTTCCTAATTGAAGGCTACCACATTCAACCCATGTGTTGCCATATGATAAGTATTGCTTTAGGTGACATCGATCGACAGTTACAGTTAAGCCTTCACTATGATGATTAGAATGCAAATTGCAATTCGCTGCTCTAATAGGTTTTACTAATAGATTTAGAGCTGTATCAGATTCAACAAGATAAAAATCTATGCAGTCAATAGAAGCTCTTGTCATTCTATACTTTAAGTTCTCTGACGATGGGCAGCTAGGTAAACTTCGCCGTTGCTCTGTACAATCTTTATAATATTTCATGTGCTGGCAATGATACGGTAAGGGGCAAGTTAATTCATTCTCAGAATCATCTACTAGCATGACAAAAGTTTGTAGGGCTTCGACGATAGTTTGCAATTGAGGAACGGTCAAACGTCCCGTTAGTTCTCCAACCATAATTTCGACTAGCCAACCATACTCTAATGTCTCGCTTTCCAATGGCAGCCCGCACTGACTAAACATAGCATGTCCTCTTATCTGTAGGGCACTTAACATTAAATGTCCTTTCTCCAGATGCTTAGAACCATCCCGCCGAAGTATTTTATCAGTTACAGAAATAGCACATGGAGTAGTTAAGACCTGAATTTTAGTTTCACGGAAACATTTATCAATCTCAACCCCAACATGTTCTATATACAAAAAGGCACATGGAGCGTCTTTAGGAGTACAATTTTTAGGTAAATGAGCTCTAATTTTACGAACGTTAACTTTAGCTATAACAGAAAATGATCTATAATATCTTGGATCAAATGGTTCATTATCTCTTGTTTTATAAATTGGAGGAGGTTTGTCAATGGTTTTATCTAAGCTGAAGTATAGTTGATCTCCCCCAAGGTAGTTTTCCTGGCAGATAAGTAAAGAATATTTAAAAAATAGAACAAGATTACAGCAAGATTATAATCCATTTCTTAGGAATTTCATTTGCTTAATAGAAATAACATTCTAACTAAGAAAGAAATAATTACACACCTTGACTGCCAGAAAACACTTAAGTAAACTTCCATAAGCAACAACTTCACTTGGAGCCAAGTCGACTTTAACATTTATTAAATCCGGTTCTAAGCTTTCAGGGTCAAAGTTTTCTCTCTTAGCTGAATTTCCACTAATATCGTCATTTTTAATTGTCGGAGGAATGGGATGATAGGTATAAACCAGAGAAATATTAACGCAAGGCGATTTCCAACATTCAACCCATCCATTATCAGTGTAACAAATTCCAGACCAACCCTGTTTATGAGTGGAAAAGGTGTTTGTTGTTTCAGGTTTACCTGTTTCTTCTGAAGCTATTCCAAATGGATTATTTACTTCTTCGTTTGATCTTTTAATAGGATTTGTTTTAAAATCACTTTATAAATTGCCTTAAAATCTATTTATTACCTATTAATCACTCTTAAATTTTTTGATAAAGCAGTAACCGAATATCTAGTGGTGTGAGTTTCAGGCAAATATAATCGAAGATTAGCATCTCTAGCCTATAAAAAGAAAATGTATTGATGAAAATTTACATAAAAAAGAAGTAAATATGCTATAACTTACTTCAATTTCAACTCCAACATCTACGGTTGACGGTAAAAACTCTGTAAAGGGTAGGTTGAAACTTAAAAAAAAGGAATCTCCATTCAACGCTAAATGACAGTTTCCGGACGGTTTCTATGGATATAAAATTAATTGACTAAATCAATAATAAATTGAAACGAATTAAAAAAATATAAAGTAACCGAGCTTACAGTTGTTGTACAATCTATCCAGTTCCATTCATTACAGAGTGTAACGATACAGAATTCTTTTATTCTCACATTGCATTGCCAGGTGTAGGGAATGAAATGATACAGGTCAAGCCTAGATTTCGAGGACCAATCACTTACTAAATTCGTAACAAAATGTTTGTGATCAAAAATTAAATAAGTATTAGCTTTGCAGGCTGTAATATCAAACTTCCATAGTTGATGGTCATTCCACTCTAAAGGATAATGAATCTCGGAATCAAATTGAAATGTTTCGCAATCTAATAATTGTCTAAAATCAAGTCCTGTTGTCGCTTCTAACATCATTAATTGGCCGTTAACTTTTGTAATATAACCCTCCTCTCCTACTATCCAAGGTATAGTAAATTCTAAATAGCTGCCTTTTTGAGCTGTGAGATGGAGCGCTTGAGTTACACCTTCGTCATTGTTAAAAAGAATATCAGAGTTTAGTTCCTCTTCGAAACTTAATTTAAATTCAAATTCCTTATAAATTCTCGGTTGATTAGGCTCAGGCTCAACAGTTGGTACCAGAGGTTGGTAATCCGAAGGGAAAAACAGCTTCCATAGCAAATCCCTTTGCCGATCAGCCCATGGGCTATAATTTATTTCTGTTCCTTTACCCTTTTTGCACTTAACTTCCATACTCCAATTTGGATACATTCTTTCAGACATCCACTCGCCATTAACCAATCGAATCTTTTCAGGTTGGTGAGAGACTGTACCTGGTTCATCCATTGTATAGCGTATGCTAATTGAATTTGTTTTTAAAAATACATAGCCTTCCTCCATTAATCTAGGAGGTGTTTCTTTAAATTCTTTACTGATACGCTCCGAAAGGCCTTTGAGATCCTTTTTACCGAATCCGGGAGAAGGTATTAATTGTACTTTAAAATTTGTTAATTTTGTTTCGGCATAGTGTGTTCTATGATTAAATCGAGCGTTATCTATTCGAGACCAGTACGATAGCTGTCCTTCGCCAGCATTAATCGTTAAAGAGTATGGGACTAGATAATTACCAAAAATCACTTTTACAGACGCCATGTCAACTTTAATCAATGGAATGAGATCTCTCCATTGCCACTGGGTTCTGTTAGAGCTGTTTTTATCAGCCATTAGACCTTGATCAGACCTGCGTTCATCTGTTGTCGCAACTGGATCATCATCTTCAAATCCAAATAATTTTTGAAGTCTTTCATATGTCTGTGTTCTATTATATACATGATATTCAACACTTTCAATAAAAATTGACAATCTTGTCTCATTATTTGACATGTCTTCAACATTCTCTTTAAATAATCTCCAGTATCGGAAGATAGCATATCCATATTGAATTCTAATTGAATAATCCTCATTAGCAAAATGAACATCTCGAAACATGAGTTTGCCTGAGATGATGGATAGACTAAACGAACCAAATTTGATATGGCCATATTTCTTAATCACTCTGTTTAGTATGGCTGTGAATAATAATCCGAGTACCCTAGAATTATAGTGAGCAAGATAGATCGACCAGAACATTAAAACTATTAAAGAACTAAAAAATAGAGCTCTCTGCCGATCACCAGGAAGCTCATCTTCGATCTTCTGGTTGAATCTTTGTAAGAAATTTGTCCCATTATCGTTTTCTGAAGCCATCGAAATGAATAGAATTTACAGCTGATGAAATTTTAAATGGCTATGCTAAAGTCATATGTTATGCATGTTCAATCTTCGAAATGATCACCAGTCCAGAGACGGCCTCTGGGTCGGAAGCGGAAATAAAATTTTGTTTTCGTTTTTAGTATTTTTTCTGAAAGACAGATGGCGTTGGTGACTATATAACTATTTATAACATTCTGCCTAGAATTGGAAGATATTTTAAATTCAGATTTTAATAAAACGGATGAATGATTTGAGAACATTTCTTTATTAGAATATATATAGATATAATATTTACAAGTATTTTAAGTTGAAAAATCGACTAAATACCTTTTTTAGAATAAAATATACATAAAATGATCTCGAATTTACCGCCATAATATTAAATTCCTCAATGCAGTCGCTGCTGTCGATAGGACTTACAGTCCCGGATGTTGTATACATCGATACACCGTGCGACAAAGGTGCGCTAATCAACTATGTCCAAGTCAGAATATGTATTAGACGAATTACTGAACTTTCTTGGAGAGTCAGTATTCCAAGATGCTGTCAAATTATTTATGGAGTATAATCTGGCAAGTATGTATACAATAATGGTTTTATAACATTTTAGATAGGCCTATTTGAATTATATATTATTTTATGACGACAGTCTTCGATCCAAATCTATCGGAAGATCAGTATTTTCAAGAGCATTACGATGTCCATAAAAAATATCAAAAATTGGTAAATATATCTCTGTTATACAGTAGATGTCTATATATCAATTTATAAAAAAAATATAAGCTGTTTAAATACATTTATGAAGAAGAAAAAGAAGAAATAATAATGATATACCTCATAAATATATGAATATGTATTTATGCATAATATACTCATAAATTAATACAATTTAATATAAAATACGATGCCTTAAGTAAAACATAAGCAAAAATAAATTAGTAATCATTGAATAATTAATGAGAATTTTATCAATACTTTTTTCAGATTGACGATTTATTAGACGCTTTTTGCAAAGATGCAAAAGTTAGCAAACAAGACGTTATTAAAGGTTTAGATCAACTTTCTTCTAATCCCGATATTAAAGAAGTTTTTAGCGTAAGTTTCTCTTGTAATATAATTAACAATATATTGGAAAAATTATTAGTAGCATGTATTAATGAATAATTGTACTTGGGTAATTCGTTCTTTAAAAGTATATAAAGTATATATATATATATTTATATATGATATATATAAACAGTAATTTCTGATAGATAATTCATCGTTTGAGCTTTCTATTATAGAAAATAAAACCATAAAGGTATTAGACAGACATTTCTATTATTTCTTTTTGATTGCTTCAACTTTTTCAATCACGGTTTAATAATGTAGTTTAATCAAATATTATCGCTACCTTTTTTTATCATTACTAAATGCTAGACTAAAAAGAAAAGTAATAGTAAAATTATTTTTTGCGGGGGCCTATTTTCATACGTATTGATTATTGGCTCAGTGACGTCACAAAGACAATTGACGTTATTGACGGATGTCTAAAAATTGTCTTTTATACAATGTTAACTGATAATCTGAAAGGATTTTTTTTCTTCCTTTTATATAGCTTTATTTTGAACAAATTATGGCAGCCAATGATTTTAGAGTTTTCGCAAATGTCATCACGAGACATAATATTGTTGCTCAACAGCAGGTAATTTTATCATATTATTGACAATTTAATTATCTTATTAATCATTCTAATTACCTCAGAATCTTACAAAATCTTAATACTATTTATTGGTTTTTAGGTCCTATTTTTACTTATTAAAAAACTTGGACGTTTACCTGATTCTATGACACCTCAAGATGTCGCGGCTGTTGCTGAAGCTGCGCCCAGTTTGGATCCGGAAGATGAAAAATTACTTAAAGAAATTGTCAAGTAAGGGAGAAGGACGTTAGGATTTTTTGGATTATTTAATTTCTACTTAATTTTCTTTAGGAAATCCTTAGAAGAAGAAATTAAGAAAGAAGAGGCCAAAGAGAGTGTTCAACACGCAACTTTTGCTAAGGAAGAAGCAGCTGTACTAGAAAATAGAAAGGCCGAACTAGAGCAGGATTTTATTAAAATGGGACTTGAAGATAAAGGAAGCGCGATGCCTTCAAAACCATCATCGAAAGCTCCCGAACCTGCTAAAGCTAGGGGCTCGTCATCCAAAGGACGACCACAAGGTCAACCAGAGAGTGGAAATGCAAAAAATCTTCCAAAAGTAGGAAGCGGCATTACTCCAATAACTGGCGCACAGGCAGCAAGTTCCTGGCTAGCAGCTGCTAAATCAGAGAACACGGGACCCAGTAATACGATGGCTCTTCTGGTAATTACCACAATCTAGATTCTTTTACTCTTAAAGTTTGCCCTTTTAACCTTTTTCATTTTGTTAAAAATAGCAACAAATGAAGAAAATGTCCCCAGACGAGTTAGCGAAACGTCAAGCTTTCTTAAATAGTCAAAGAGACAAATTATTGGCTATGAAGAAAGCTAAACGTGAAGAGAAGCTGGCAGATGAAAGTACTGCCAGAGCTAGGCCAACATCAGCGAGAGTTGCGAGAAATGCAGCAAATCCTACCCTAGCAGCAGATCCAGAAGACGAAAAGAAAATGGCAATGAGACGAGCAATAGCGAATAAATTGAAACAAGAAGTTATCGGTAAGCATTCCTAAGTAACTATGAAGTAACGATATAAAAAAAAGTGAATCAAAGATACGAAGAAGAGAAATCAACCAAAAAAAAACAAATCAAAATCTAAAATCTAAATATAAATGAAATAAAAAAAATGAACGAAATATTCTGATTATATTAAAATAGTACGAATATTATTGGACCATTCATAAATTTTATGATAAAGTACATATACTAATATTAGCAAAATCAAAACCAGTCTACTAGTTTTTTCGTGGTACAATCAACATATTTATACAATAAAAAAAGTGTTAAATACTCAAAATATGAATGTTATACTTCACTTTATAACTTTAATATATATATTTTCTTTTTTTTTCCCTCTGATCTTCTCCTTGTGAATTAAACAAACACAAAAAAAACAACAAATACAAATATAAGATGGTCGAGTTAAATTGACTTAAAACTTACGGAAATGAAAATATGAAGGTGAGAAAGAAGCGAAAGATTGAAAGAGATAAAACAAACATATATATATATATATATATATATATATATATATATATATTGTACATATACACGCATTTATATATATATATATATAGCATTAGAAGAGTAAAAAAGGAAAGAAGTTTACATATCACCTTTGAAGGTTATTCACGATTTATTCACGATTGATTATTGCACAAACTCTATTCTTTTTCGAGCTGGTAAAATATAGAAAATAGGAACATTATTTTCTTGACTTATTTGCTTTTCAGCGTATGTTGATTCACGTTGATTTAATGTTTGACATCTATTTAGATTATTATCTTCGGTTAGTTCCCAATCAAAGTTATCCAGATAATCTATTAATTTTGCTTTGATAATACTTTGTATACTTGCTCGAAGATGTCCATAATCTGGTATATCGCCGTAAGACAACTCTCTTAAGTGACCTTTTATAGTCGAGAACTCAAAAAGGATATCATCTAATACGGTTGGATATTCCAGCTCTTGTATTTTTATTCTTCTTATACGCACGAAATCTCTTTCCTGTTTCCATGGTAATAGACCGGTTATCATTTCGATTGTTACGTATAACCAACTCCAAAGGTCATCGTGAAAACCTTGTTCATTGAAGAACATTGCATTTATTGAGGCATACCGAATAGTTCCCCTAAATCCGGGATTCTTGCGAGGTTCCCTCATCATTAGATGGCCTTTAGCCTTCTTCCCAATACGACGAGTAAGACCAAAATCAAGTAGAACAATAGCAGTACGTCTATTCTTTATTGGATCTTTAATTGCAAAATTAGAAGGTTTAATATCACGGTGTACGAAACCGAATGAGTGAAGGCAGTCGATAGCATTTAGCATTTGTTCAGAAAGTCTGACAAAATGGATGTATAAAAACTAACCACCCACCTAAGTCAAATGGGGCTTTATCTCAAAAGATATTTTGGAATTGAGAAGAGAGAAAAAGAGCAGAAAAAGTTTGGAAAGTTTATGAATAATAATCATAAAAAAGGTTGAAAGTTTTTTTACACCCTCAGTGCTGTTGATAAAGTAAACTTGAAATTTGGTCTATTCTTTCTTAATTCGGAAATGTTACGTCCTTCAATCGACATAATTACATAATAGTAATTGCGTAATTCGCAATATCCTGACCCGTAGTATTGGCAAAAGAATTGATTGGCTTCACTTAAACTCCTGACACTCTTTAACACTTCTTTGTCCATTTTTATACCTTGTCCTTTAGAGAAAGGATCTTTCACTTCGACTTTAATTGCAACTTTAAACGGTTGAAACCTTTCCATATTATCGGCTGTGGTAAACAGTTGTTTTCATTTTAGGCCTATAAATCATCTAATCTTACCCTCGTACACTTGACCAAATGATCCTTGGCCTAATTTTTTAACAATTTTGTACCTCATGATAGTATCTCCTATTAGAAGAGTACCAGGATCAGTAGGAATGTTAATACTCATAATATATTACTCGTTTAATTTAATTTTTTCAAATGTATTGAAAGTATATATTTATTGCTTAAACATTTTCAAGAGGGACGTCACCTCAGCTTAGTTACTCAATAGTTTTTTTTTGTTTTTGAAAATAAATGTGACGCTGGTTTGAACATTAATAATAGTCAATATAATAGCCGATAGTATATTCGGCACGCATAAAACCGCATGCAACAAAACGTGGATGAACATTGTATGAAAAATTAAAACAAACAGGCGAATAGGCAAAGCTACGGTCGTTACAAACAACAAACGTTTTACTTACGGTGGAAAAGGGAAGTACAATGTACGTTAAGAACGCTTATTATATTTTTAAGTAATTTTTATTTTACTAAGCTAGTAAGAAACTTGAATAAGGCAGATGCACAGCAAAAAGATTTTAATTTTAGAGGTCTGATTCGCCATAAAGCGCTGTCGAAAAGCTGGTGTAATCCAGGGCTCCAGGGGGACCGTCTCTTCCGCTATAGGGTGCCATTCTCTGAAGACAATATTCTGCTTGATCTGGTGGAAGCTCCCTTCTCAATACGTCGGGAGTTATGTATGGTAAATCTCCAGCTAGAACCTTAAAGCTTTGCATCACCTGATCGGCTGTGTCAGTATCCGCCGTTTCGCGTGTCATGAAGTCCAAGAAAGCATCGAAAGTAATCTAAATGTAAATAAAAATTGTGTTTATGCGTAATTTGATCTCCTGCTTTGAACATCCTTATTAAAATGAATACTTACATATCCGGCTCGATTTGGATCTACGGTAGTTAATATGCGTTGGAAGGCAGCCTCTCCTTGCTTGTCTTCCCGAATATTAAAGCCCAAAGACATTAGACATGCTTTAAACTCTCTCGGTTCTAATTTTCTCGTTTTATTTCGATCGAAATGATTGAAAGATTTACGGAATTCATCCAACTGTTCGTTAGTTATACCCTTCGAATCTCTTGTCAAGATTTGATTTTCAACCTCATTTATAGCCCTCTTGACAGATGTTAGCAACTGTTCCCAACCTACTCGCAAAGTTTCCATAGTGTAGTGTGTAAGACGGTTATCAAAGCCCATAGCCAAAGCTTCTTGTACTTCTTGATTATAGCGCTCACATTCGTCAATATTGGGTCTGAAAGACTCTACCTCTCTTTCAATATTTCTTAAAGTTCCAAGATGCTCCTCGAGAGAACCCTTTTGTACACCTACTGATGCAACAGCGTCCAAATGTTTTTCAACCCAAGGACCAACAATATTAGCCTTTTGTGCAAATTGACGTCTTAGCCTTTCGTTGTTTTGTTGCTTCATGTACTCTTCCTGCAAAGTTTGATCACGTTGAGGAACCAACCGCTTAACATCACTCCATTTTTGGGAAATATCCTGTTTGTCATTAATAACAAGAAGTAAATAATTTGAATTTTCTTACTTCAGAAAAAGACATTCTAATAGCAATTTCAACATAATTAATTATTGTTAACATTTTTAATCAATGATCCATGAAACGTAAAAATCAACATGCTTTTTATTATAAATTTAAGTTAAAAAAAATTAAAATTTCTTTATCAAAGTAGCCTCTATTTTTCTTTGTAGAATAAAGAATTATACCAGCTATGCATTTAAAAAGAAAAGCGGTTTTTATTTCTCACCTCACACGAATTTTCCATCTGAACAAGCGACAATTGTTAGTTATTTTTTTTTAAATTGTTATAAAAAATAGTTTTAAATGGACGGGGATATAGAATTTGTTATGAAATATACACTAGCACAAAAAAGACAATAAGCGACAGAATTAAAATTTCTTTGTCTAGAATAACAGAATCAAATGTACCAACTAACCTCCTGTAAATAAGAACGTTCCCATGCAGCAAATGATAAGAGGGTGAAGGGGAGAAAAATATGCATAAGTTAGGAACTTTGTTAAGCAATATTCTTATATAAAGCGATATAAAGGAGCTTAATAAGTTTTTAGTAAGTCCCAAGTGTAAGTATTTACATCCCTCAAGCAAAACTAGCTTACTCATAGATGCACTATATTTTTGAAAATTTTGTAAAAATATTCTAACCTGAGCACTAAGGGTAGTGTAAGGATTTTCCGTAGCACCTGAGCCCAAATTATGAGTTTGGGCCAATCGTTGGACTTCTTGTACAAGACTAACAATACCATGATATTCTTTATCAGCTTCGCCCAACGTCTGCTTGAATTGCTCATGAGCTTCCATTAGACCTTTAACTTCGTCTACAGTATGAACAATAAACATGTCAACCAAGTCTTCCTTTGCACCATCCATCCAGTTGTTAAATGGAGCCGCTCTCTTGGCAAATTCTAAATGATATTGATCAATGTCTTCTAGTACTTTTTCCAAATCATTAATATTATGTCTTCTTTGAGTGGTCAGTTCGCCTAGAACATCCCACTGACTGCAAATTCGTTGACATCGAGTGTTAACATTTGCAACATCATGATAGTCTAAAGCATTGAGCTCTTGAGCAATAGCAGCTATCTGTTCAACTCTGTCTTGGTGGGCACTTAGATCGCTTTCAAACGCTTCATGCTTCTTTTTTAGAGCCTTTAGTTCGGTCAATCTAACACCGCGATAGTCAGGATTGCGAAGCATGTCCTCCTTTCCTTGAGCCCATTCTTCATGTATTTGGCATTTATGTCTAAACTTCTTAGCTAGATGATCCAATCTTTCTAATCTTTGAAGTTCATTAAGCAGCCATTCCTCAAAACCCTTTTCAGCATGTTCTAAGCCCTTCCATGCATTGGTAATGTCCGAAACCAACTTTCCTTCGGTAGGTAAATAAGCTGGTCTATTTGATAATCTCAAACGAGTCTGCAGCGTATTGAAAGTTGTCTCTAAGGTAGCTTTTTCTTCCAATCTTGGGGGTTTTTCCTTTCTTCGATAATCTCTAAATTCTTCCAATTTTCTTCTTGTTCCTGGAAGAGTTTTATCAGTTGTTCTATCTTCCAACCAGGGAGTGGTACGACGAATCCACTCTAACAGATCAGAGGCCAATCTTTCGTATTCTTCCATTAAACGTTCATTCTCTTGATTGACTTTCAGCACTTTGCAAATTCTATTAGCCGCAGTCTCAGCTTTCTGAGCTCCAGAGAAAGCGTGGTAATAAGATGAGACATAAGCCATAACGGAACGTTCATCCGGTTTCACTGAATTAACCATATCCTCAGCATCCAACATTTTCGGGATGTCTAGGTGTTTTTCAGCAACATCAAAAGCGAGATTCAAATTTTCCAAAGGATTATCCTGATTTAAAAAAAAGCTAATTATAATTTGAAATGGATGTATGGCAGAGTTACAAAAGCTAACTTTAGACTAGATTATTATCTAAAGAAAATCTACAAATTCAACATAAACAAACAAAAAAAAACCATTCAGAATAAGTTTTTTTTCACCAAGCCATTGATTAGGAACTACACGAAAAAATAATAAAATCAATGTTTAAAACAGCAATTCTGCTTTGTTAGATACAAGCACAAAGAGATTATCGGTAAAAATTTTCAGTTGAAAATGTTATTTTTTTCAAAGCTTCTCTACCTTAGACAGTTTATGATAATCAAGCAGATCGGGTCTGTGCCGATGAATCAGGGCGCAAAAAGCAAGACCGTCCTTAAAGCTGTGAAATAAAATGAAAAAAATAGGTTCTAAGCTATCGTTTTGATAAACATCCACAGTATATAATCGCTTAATGGTAGAATAAAATAGGTTTTAAAATAATTCAGCAGAGGTGCGCGATCAAGAGAAAAACGATAAATCAGGTAAATTTGAGTTTCAAACTGCAAAAAAATAATAAAGAAAAAAATTTGCCCCAGACTCACAATGAATATTACAACGTCTAAACGTTAACGTTTTCAACCTATCTAATTAATTACTATATAATCAAAGGTTGATTACGTCTTCTCACTGACAAATAAACAAAAACTGACAAATAAGAAAAAGAAAAGCGGTGAATATTTGTATACAGAGCTGTTCCTACCCGTCGTAAGTTTTCATATCCAAGCAGCTCAGGTCGATGGCGGTGAATTAATGCACAGAATGCCAATCCATCCTTGAAGCTTTGTTAGTTAAAGACGATGTTAGAATAAATTGTACTCGTGGTTTTAAAGTATAATCTAAATTAAACAGTATAAAAAAAGGATCAACATAAAATACTAGTTCTAGTATAAAAATAGATGTTAAAAATTGCGTTAAACTAATTCAGCCTCCGTTTTTCCTCACTATGCGAACTGAAATTATTAAATAATAGAAGCACATAAATTACGTTTATAATACAGCATTAGAGGCGCGATAAAATGGTAAAAGAACTGCAATGGTTGCATGCCTAAAAATACAATATCATAGAGGTTCTGGAAAAAAATATATTTTTTGGCGGGAAATTCATGCCGGGGACATAGGTATGTCACCTGAGATGAAAGTTTTGCACGTTCACGTTTCGATATGGTGCTGTCTTACGTTGGCACCAAAGGAGTAAACCCTCTTTAGCTGTCGCTTCTGTACGTTTAATAGAAAACCCGCAATTAGTAACTTTTTACAATAATTACCTGTTATGAAAATTTTGCACGTTCACATTTCGATATGGTGCAGTTTTTCTTTGACACCATAGCAATAAACCTTCCTTAGCAGTACTCTCTGGAATACGTAAAATGTAAGAGTTTACATAATTTTTATTTTTTGGTTCAGAGATCTAGATTATAGACAGCCAGAAAAGAAAAAACTAGAAATTAAGAGAAAAGCAATTGGAAAAGGATCATAATAAATTCCAATTTGTAATGGATATCTCGAAGAAAATAATGTATACAATAGCAAAATTAAATAATACCTCTGTTAAAAATAAAACAGGTTGTTTGTAAATAATATTATATATATATATATATATATATCTTCAGAAAAAAATTTGTTAGGTTGTATAATTTATCACCGAAGGTACTTTTCCCTCTGGGCTTTTCTTACCAGATACAACAGTGAAAAGTTTGTTACAAGCAGTAAAAGTTGTCCTCAATTTATACCAGTTATCGACTTGGAAATTATTAAGAGAAGATTAACAGCAAAACGTTAAATTAATGTCAAAATAAATAATTAGTTTGCAGTATATATCGTATTGATATTCAATATATACAGAATTAACTATTATTGTAAATATAGATACATGTATACACATTTCCCTCAAATTTTCGACTATAATTAGTCTAAATATAAGATAAAACAGGCATATGTATGCATGCGTGAAATCTTTGTATACAACTTTTTATATAACCAATCAAGTTTAGAAAAGAAAAAGCTTAAGATTAAAGTATAGAACGTAATGAAAAAAGTTAATTCTTTTTTTAAAAGTTTAATTTTACCTTCAACAGATATGTCTTGAATAGCAAAACGCAAAATGATTGTCCAAATCATACCAAGTGTCATCTTTAAATTTCCATCAACAATTTCTGATTAAAATAGAAAAAATGTTTATTTAGATAAGATTTTTAATTGTAAGAGTGTTGAATTAATGAAATAATTTGTGAGTTATCTGTTATCTTTCTTCTAGGCTTAAACAATTCGCAATGGTATTCGCAATTCTGATTGACAGAACACGAATTGCCAATTTACTTAGTTATATCGAATTCTCTTTAGGTTATAAAGATAATTTAAAAAACAATAAAATTTAACAAACCTTCAGCACCGATTCCTACCAATTTTACACCTTTAGCTTCAATAAATGTCAATGCTTTATTAACATTAGCTATTTTATGGAAGCGCATTCTCCCGCGATCGGGTTTCGGAAGTTGTTCACCGGAGATAACCTGTTTCAAGTTAATCATGTATATTAAACAGTTTAGGAGGTCCCCTTTATCGAATAAGAATCACCTCGAGTAAAAGCATCAATTTTAGCCCATTACGAAAGTCTTCTTCAATATTTTCGATAGAAGTATTTCCTTTTCTTAAATGGGAATTGCACCATGCCGTAAAAGTCTATTATAAAAACAAATGAAAGTAAATTAAGTTTTTAGCGAGAAAAAAAAAGAGAAATATTTAAAAAAAAATACATTCTTCTATAGAATTTCATGTAATTTAAAACTATTAGTCATCGATTGACTTAATATGCCAAAAAAAAAAAAAAAAGAAAATTGGTTTGACCTAATAATTCTAATCCTTGATTAATGTTCTAGTATGAGTGAAATAAAAAAAACATTTAAATTGATTGTATATCGATTTAGGCCTAGTTTTTTTCCTCAGTTATTTTTCATCTCTATATTGCTTGCTTGTTTGCTTGCTCTCTCTCTCTCTCTTTCCCTCACCCACTCTCGAACCGACAAAAAATAGTTGAATAAAAATAGCATTAAAAAAAAAATAAGTAGATATACGAGCTTAAGGATATAGCCATTAAATGGCACATTAGATATCGGTCCCCTTATCTTTATTATCCCAACGAGAGATAAAACGTTCAAACAGAATGAACGAGCTTTCCATAGTACATAATATGATAGGCAATATTTATATTACCGGCAAAAGTAGGCCTAATAGAAATCTGGCTAGAGTTGCATTGCTATATATAAAACGGCTATGGCATACAAATGCTCCCTGTGCTTTCCTATATCACTCTCATTTTTTACCCCTTCATATAAACTTCCTTTCACTCGTTTTTGTTAGAAATCAATTGTCTTCTATTAGTCAAAAATGATGACTAATCAATATTCTACAGTAATTTTTATACGATTCCCCTTTCAAACGTAATCATATAAGGCATATATTAAAAATTTCTCGAAAGTTACCTATATTTCCCCCATTCAAATCACTTGAATGATTCAGAGGGACGCGTAATCATTCAATGAGAATTGAAACACGAATAAGGCGGGGTGACACAGAATGAAAGCTGGACAAGAATTTAAACTAGCAGAAAAAAAATTCTTTACAAGAATAATAGAAGTAGAAAGTTCATTTATTTTAAAATGTTTAACTCGGCCATAACGATCTCATCGTTATATTTAATTTCTCTATTTAAGAAAAATAAACAGGTGTTACATCGCCGGCTTACTAAGACTGACTATAAAAAGTAGTATTAAAAAAATACAAGTAATCATTAATCTAATAAGATCAAAATTTGATATTTTTGCTAGAATATGTACAGTTTTTAAGTAAAAAATCATAGAAATGTATTTATGTTTGACTTATACTCTTCATTTTTTCTTTCTACAATTTTTTAGTTTTTAAAATATTCGGTAACGAAGGCTGACCTTTCTCTGCTGCTTCTCCCAGGCAGGATCTAAAAGACCCTCCCTATCCCATTCTTCCTCCTCTTCCATATAACCTGGGTCGTAGTTATCCATATTCGAAATCTAATCTCCTTAACTGGGCGGAAATAGAACGATTTAGTGGCGTAAAATGCTGAAAACTACACTCAAAAATCACACAAGCCCTCCTTTTAGTAGGCGGCCGACATAGTGTTGTCACGTGACCAAAGGAATGTAAAAGCGGCAGACGGTCAACTTGAAATATTTTAAATTTCGAGCGCTCATTGGTTAATAATGTAAGCCCGCCATCTATTGGTTCAATATTTATAACAAAAAATATGCTATTATTTTTTATCTAAGTTTATTCTTTCATTTTCAGAACTTAAGAATAAAACCCAACTTAAATGCCCACATAAAAAAATCATAAATAAAACAATATTCAAAAGAATATAAACATAGCAAAAATAAAATAATAAAAACAAATATAATTATTGCACTGTTCATTTTGCAGTCATAGTTCGTTTTTATCTAATGGTTCTTTTTTCAAGTTGAACGGCCTTGGTACATGCACTATGTATTCTTGAACTTTATAGCGGTTGCCATGACTATTTTAAATAGGAAAAAGACATATATATTAATGAGATGTTGATTATTTGCCTTTTATTTTATAACTTACCCATCCAGATGCCTGATGTGGATGTTCATTCGAACTTCTCGAATGTATCTTTCTGTCTTGATTTTTGGCCTGTTTCGATAACACACCCCAATCAACATGTCGTGCTGGAGTAACATGTTCTACAGATTGTCCAATATCAGAGTTAGACTCAATACTGCTTCCAGTATCTTGCCAATGGAATCTGGATTTAGGACGACCCAAACCACCACTATAAATGCTTGACTGCTGGTCTGATGTGAGCGTTTGATTATCGGCTCTTTCAATACGCTTCCTACAATAGCATAGTGTAAAGGTAGCAATCATAATTACAACAATAACAAAGACTATAACTCCAACGATAATATATAAAACTTTCTTATCGCTTTCTTCTTCAATTACTTCTACAACAGTACCATTATGATTAAGATTGTAGGTATCTATACTATCAAGCTTTTTAATAAACTCTTCCACTTCGGTGGCATTGAGTCCAAGACCAGTTATCTCATTTTCTACAGTCACTCCTACATTTGCTTTTGTCATACTTTTTGGTTCAATAAATATAATAGAATAGCCATTCTCAACAAGAATATGAAGTAAATGATGTTTTATCTTGTTTTGGTCGTCTTCATTGAAACTAGAAAGTGATACACCATCCTTTCTGCTGGTTATATGCATTTTCAGGAGAACTCTTATACCAAACTTTTGAGTTGCTCTATTGTTAAGAGATATTCGGGTAGCATCTATGTTAGAGTTATTCTTTGCATGATCGATCAAAGCTTCATACAATGATTTTGATTCGGCATCACTTAAACTGCTTCTTGACAGTGTGACTAGAGTAGAGGCTATAACAGAGCCTCTGTGTAAGGCCAAGACATGAACGCTAGTGGAAAGTCCTCTATACATGGAAGAGTAGAAATTTTCCAACTGATTTTTGATTTTTGGTATAACATCTTTTGCTTCTGCTGATTCTATATCTTTCATTTGCTCCTTATAATCATAATTGAAAGTAACAATTGCAGGTAAGACTTCCAATCCTTTATTGTCCAACTTAATTGATCTTAAAGTAAATTTACGACTTACAAAAACGACTGTAGATCCGTCAACTGTTAAAACTTTAAAAAGTTTACTTAAAACTCCATAAACATCTGGTATTGTGTCAAATTTATGAATAATTGTAGTTTTAACATTGGTTTGATATAGTGATGAAGTCTTGGAGAATTCAAAATCTATGGTAGTGGTATAATTGTCGCCAAATACATTATCTTTAAAAGCACTTCTTATTTCCTTTGACAGTTCGAAAACGAGAGAAGTATATTTGCTGCTGGTCGTTATCAAAAAATCTTTACTCCACGCTACATCAACAGTACCTTCGAAACTGAGCTTTTCACTTTCTGCATATCCAGTCGTTGTATCTATGTTGCTGTTATAGCTGTAGGTGCCAATCTTTGTGTTGTCTTTGAAGACTTGCTCAATTTCTGTTTCGCTAGTTCCTATAGTTTTCACTGAAAATGAGGCTTTTGTGCCTTTAGAAATACTTATAAATTCTGGAGTTTCAACACTAATTTCCAAAACGGAAATACCAGCATCACTTAACATTGTTGGTACATTAGCCTTTATACTAGTAATAACACTTTCTCCTTCCTCTGAAGTCAGCTGCTTTGAAAAATCTTTGAGGTAGATAGTTATTAGTGTGTTATTGCCCAATTCTGACGAAGCCTTTCCAGAAATTGCTACTTTATTTTCATTAATAGCGTCCTTATTTTTCGAGTATTCAACAAGGTCTGTGAATAGTGTATTTTTGTCATCAACACTTGGAGAGTTTGTTAGAGTAACCAGTGTTGATGCTTGAACGGAACCTTTAAATAGAGCTAGGATAACTAGTGTACTGAAGGACGCTCCGTATCTATTTTGATAGAAAGGAGTTAGTTCCGCTCTTATTTTTTGGATTACGTCTTTAGCTTCCGTCGAGGCAAGATCTTTCATATTTTCGTTATATGTATAAGTAAATGTTACCAGGGATGGGAGTACTTCAATCTCTTTGCCATTCAAACTGATTGATCTTATCAATAGTTTATAATTTCCAAACTTGAGGGTATTTTTATCATTTTCTGTTTCCTTTATCAATTTATCTAATAGACCAGCCATATCTGGCAGTTCATTTGCGCTATGCTTCAATTTTCCACTAACACCAGTAAATTTTTTAGAAACCCTAGTGAAAGTTATATCACTTGCTCCAATAAAATCATTTCCTAAGATAGATTCCTTTGTAAATCCGTCTTTCAAAGCTATTGCCAGATTAGCGGACAACGTCTTATATTCGGAGGATCCAACTGTCTCATATTCAGCCTTCCAATCAAGTTTGATTGTTGCACTGAAAGTAATCTCCTTGTTTGGCAGGAAACCTTTAAAAGAAGTTGAAAAAATAAATTGATTAACACTATCACTTATAACAATTCTAATAATTACCATTGAAATAAACAGAAGATCTAATAATTGTATATGATGTGTTTCCAAATATGTCTTTATTTGAAAGAACAGAGTTATCAAATTGAGTAATATCTGGATTGCCACCTGTCTTGTAAAGAACTTCCAAAGATACTTGAGTATTTGATGATGCATTCTTTAATGTAAATAGGAACGTTTCTACATTTGTTAATTTGAGTGTGTTTAAAAAGAAGGGATTCAAAACATCAGTGATTTCTTTCTTGAAGTCGGTATAAGGAGACGATGTTGAAGTTTCATAGTCAACGATCCACTTCTTGTTAGCGACGATAAATTTAACCCAGAAAGAAGTTAAAGTAGGTGTTACACTATCTTTATCTGTGAGAACGATGGAATCGGGTTTAACAAGGAGTGTACCTAATGTTCTTGAGTCATAAGTATCGCGACTCGAGCTTAATAGGATAATCTTGTAAATTTCAGTAATGGTCGGAAGAGTTTTTCCTTGATAAATGGCAACTTTAAATGACATTTTAAGTTTGTCATCTGAGTCTTTAGCAAAAGTGATGGTATTAATAGCATCAAAAATTTCTTTAAATTCTGGAAGAGATTTAAAGTAATCCTCTACTTTTGTCTTTAGAGCGATTGATTCTGGTGCTGTATCTGAGTTATATTTGTCATTCTGTTTGACAATATCACTCGAAATAAAAAGCATATCGAATTGTAGTGCTGGTGGCAGTGGTAATTGAATATCTTGGATAACGCTTCTTCTCGTAACCAAATAATTAGTATTGTTGATAGTTTCGCCATTTTTCAAGATAGAATCGTCAAATTTAACAACAAAATCATTAGGAATAATTTGTAAGAGAACTGAAATCTCATATGATACTTTTATATCACTAGAATGATCTTCGAATTTCCAATTGAAAGTATCCAAGAATTTTGTACCGAAATACGAAGTGTAAAATGGTTCTATTGAAGCTGTTAATTTATTTTTGAGCTCTGTATAAGCGGCAGATGCTGTATTCGACAAAGCTGAACTGAAATCTTCATTATAGATAATAAACTCTCCCATAGTAACTTGACCAAATCGCCCATTTGTTTTGAAGGACAAAGTTTCAATATTAACATTTCCAATTTTTCGTTCTGTTCTTGATACTTTCTCTGATGTTTTTAAGAAATAACGTAAAAGCTTTGTAATATTATCGTATTCAAATTTTTGGCCATCTTTGGCAGTAGCTTTGTAAGTAACTTTTGTTTGTGAATTACTAGCTTCAGAAAATTGATAGTCAGACAATGATTTCAACAGATTGCTTGAAATCGAATCAGCATTATTGTAAATTGGTAAAAGCTAAAATGATAAAAAACATCATTTATTACTGATTATACGCATAATATGTTTAAAATAATATTTACCGCAGTATCTATTTTATTCTTTAGATCTGTGTAATCTTGATGGCCTGCATCAGCAAAAGTTGCCTTCCAAGGTTCATTTGTAATTATTGCTTCAGCATCAAAGGAGCTAACAGGTTGTGGTAGTTTTTCTTCTTGTCTTAGAGTTGTTGTATCAACTTCTATATCTGTGCTGCCTAATGTATTTGATGATTTCATTATCGTTGTGTAGAACTTATTAACCAGATCATTTCCATCAATGATTTGTTGAGATATTCCTACTTCATATGAAGCCATCACTTTACCAGAAACATCACTGTAATTTCGATGATTAGATTAGATGTAGATATCTCAAAAATGAATAATTTATTAATAATTTACCTCAATTTCCAGTTAAAAATACCTAAATATTTTGTACTAAATTCATCTTTGTAAAACTGTTCAACAGCATTCTTAATCTTGTTGATTATAGCTGTTGCATCCGAGTGTGATACATCAGACATAGACGCTGACCAAGCTTGATTGCTTGTTTGGATTTCACATAAAGCTGTAGAAAATACCTTACTATCGTGAGAAATACTCGAAGTAATTAAAGTTAAGTCCTTGATGACACGAGTAGCATCAGTTCTCTTGGAATTTTCAATGAATTCGATAGATATCTTTGCCAAATTTGGTTTAGCCTTTTCAGGAAGTATTTTAACGGGAAACTTTACTTGAATATTGCTATTTGCAGCTTCTTCGAAAGTAACATCACCCATTTCGTCATAATCGTCAAGAGAATTTTTATATCTTGGTTCAATATTCACAATAATAGATTGTCTTAAGGTTTTATACTGGCTAGTCGTTGTTTCAGAGAAGGCATCATTATATTTTTCATTGGTTAGAACGAAAGTAGCATCGATGGTAGCGAAAGGCAGTTGAATAAGTACTCCTTGAAATACAGTACGCCTAATTACTGTAAGGTCAGTCCCTTGTATTGTATCAGTTCCCATCAAAACTGTTACATTGAATGCATTGACTAATTCTCTCCTATTAACTGACTCTTCAAGTACAATGACATATCTTACTCTCACGGTACTAGTATCCGTATAGTTTCTGCAAAGATACATTAAGGCTGTGTAATAAAATTAATTGATTTCAAAGTGATAAAACTTACGTATACGAAAACGCGTCGACTCCTAAATAATTATCCGGACCAAAGTGATTACTATAGAAATCTTTTACCTAATAGCAAACGCAAAAATTTTGTAAGATAATCATTAAGTACTTGAATGATAGACAAAAGAATAAATACCGCATTGGTTATCTTGGTTTCTAACTCAACAGCAAGTGAACTTAAAGGATTTGCGTAGTCAATAACATAAGACAACGAACTAAGCACAAAACTTCCTTCAAGATTTACCGTAGTTGCGGCTATTGAAAATGAAATTGTGTAATTAACCAACATATTATTAATAGATAATATGAATACTTACTATCCTGTTTAACGCTGTTAAGTGCGTAACTATATTGTCCAATATTCTTATTCTTAAACTTTCGTATAAATTCCTTAAGAAGAATCGATCCATTTACTAATTCAGTAACATTGTCTGGATGAAGAACTTTAAATTTTCCCTCAAATTTGAATTGTTTATTTAATTCACTAAAAAGTAAAATGTTAAAATGTAAATTAATTAATTAATTTGCTTTCTTAAAGTGTACTCACTTCAAAACAACGTTTGCTAAACCAGTATAATTAGCACCAAACTGCTCGTTATAAAAGATTGATAATTCTTTGGAAATATTTTGTTTTAGTTCGGAATTATCGCTAAAATAAGCTTCTTTCAATAGGAATTCAACGATGTAAAACTTTTCAACGTATTCTATTTAAATATAAAAGATTTTATTTAATTGATAAACTAATTATCTCTAAAAAAATCTTACCATTTTCACATATTCTTCCATAGAAACCGGTCTTGCAGTTACAAGAAAATGAATTAATATTGTTTATGCATGCTCCTCCATTTCTGCAGGGGTTCGAATTACACTCATTGACTTCGTAACAAGTAAAATTGTCGTTGTTTAATTTGTGTCCAACGAAGCATCCACATTTAAAAGATCCATTTAAATTCTCACAAATGTCTTGGCATATATTCAATTTCTCTATTTTACATTCATCTATATCTATGCAAGTGGAATTTAGGCTAGGCCACGTATAACCATTATCGCAGATACACTTGAATGTACCATTAAGGTTTTTACAAGAGCCATGACTTCCGCATCTATCGGCTATTAGCTCACATTCGTTGATATCTTCATTGCAATATGGTAAAGGTCCATAACCATTCTCACATTCAGTACAACCAGATGCCGGATCACAGTCAGTACCAATTTTGCAATTGCAAGTATTAGCGCAATTGATGCCCCAAGTACCTGGATCGCATTCTTCACAAGTCTTTTTGGATTCTGCTGCCCATTTGTAGCCGGCTTTGCAAACACAATCATAATCTCCATCAGTATTATTGCAAGTTGACAGAGTTAGATCGCAATTATTCCTACTATTATCCGAGCATTCATCGAAATCTAATGTTATGGAAATGTATCATTTATGGAATTGTTCAGATAATTAATCATATTTCATTACCTTCACAAGTGACCTGGTCGGCTTTTAATTGATGGCGACTATCGCATACGCAATGAACGCTTCCTGAATTTCCTGTCACATATTCACACTGGCTATTGGCGCATGGAGTAGGCATCTGGTCACATTCTTGCTGCAAAGTGGCCAGCACTTTACAGCTTTTTCCATCGGAATTTTTATCTTCATAGCCTGGGGGACACTGGCACGTGAAATTACCTGGTGTGTCCTCGCATATGAAGGGACAATCCGATAATCCTTTTTCACACTCATTAACGTTAGTACAACTTTTGTCACCAGAAATAGCTTTTTCATATCCAGCTTCACATAAACACTCATAACTACCATCTGTATTTGCACATTTTGTATTGGCTCCACATGCTGAATTAGATAAGCATTCGTCTTCATCAATACATTTGGTTTTATCGTTATTCATAGTTAGACCAGTAGGACATCCTTCACATTGATAAGCTAAATTTGATGCCTTCTGTTCAGCAGGTGTTTTATCTGTGCAGTTAACAGGGCATGGGGATGGACTATCGCAAGCGTCAAAATCGATATCGCAGTATGAACCAGTCCATCCTACATCACAATTGCAGAGTGCCCTCATATATTCATTTGTAGAATTAGTATTTTTTGCTATTTTATCGAAATTACATTTTGCTTTGTTCGGATTGGTATTTTGACAACCGCAATAACGAATTTGAATTAATATTGAGCTGGATGTTGCATTCAACTTATCTATTGCATAAGCTTTGACAGATGGTAATACGTCAGTCGTGTCTGGATTAGTCCATGTGAGTTTTAGACCATCGACTGTTGCTCCTGGAGGTATATCTTCAATTCGTAGGGAGACTTCGTCATCTTTATCAGAGTCGACTACAGAAAACTGAAAATAATAAGAAATTAAAATTAGTATAAAAAAATTAAAAAACGATTGCTTATCTTACCAAAATTTCAGCCTTTTCACCAGCAGTAATAGCCCAATATGTGATTTGATCTTTAATAACTACACCACTTTCAATTGTGATATTTGGAGGATTGTTGTTACTGAGTTTATTTATTTCTTGAGTATCCTCAGAAGATTTCTTTGCCGCTTCGGCTACATCCTCCTTTCCAGTTGCCAGAAAATCATAAACACAGGATATTTTATCTGGTCCACCGCACTTATCTTCAGCAGCTTTAACTTGTTCAGCAGAAAACTCATCTTTGAAAATGGGTCTAAAGGTTGTATCAATAAACGTGTTAGCATCTTGTCCATTTTTATAGTACATTCTAGAAGTTGGTTTACTAATTTTCCATGATTCTCCAAATTCCGAATATATCTCTGATTCAGAAGCGTCTTTACTCAGAGTGGTTCCATCTGATTTTAAAAAGTCATTAGTGTCATCGCCGTCGAATAGACCATATAATCCTTGAGTTTTCTTCTCAGCTGTTGCTTTCCAGCTGTCCCCGATCACAACAGACAAAGTAATTTGACCCAACTCAGCAGTGACGCCAAGACGTAGATCACTCTCAGAGAAGTATAATTCCACGCTGGAATTGCCATTCTTTTTAATAGTTAAGTATTCACCTAACTCTTCTAACTCTTCATCAGAATTGGCACTGGAAAAATCAGCAGTTTTGTCAATCCAAGTGTCTGAATCTAATCTAACAAGAATTTCTATTTCATTTTGAGTTCCTTCTTTAAGACCCACAAATCCAGCATGATTTGTTTTAATATCAACTCCTGTTACTGCAGTAAAGACTGTAGCAAGTGATGCTTTGTTATTTTTATCGATAGCTCTGGCAGTTCTGGCCTGTAAATCAAATTCTGTGTTTGAGGCACTTCCGTACTTCAATAGCGTGTACTCTCCAAGACCATTGAATGTATAACCTCTACCATCAATAGTAGTTATATGTGGATCTCCGAAAAAGAAAGCCCATCGAACAAAAGGATTCCTACAAATATTCCACATCCTATGCCTTAAGAAAATGGCACAAAGATTGCTCTTTCTACAGCAATTATCATAGCCCACATAGTCATCAGCAGCAAAATCATCATAACTTCTGCGCACATTTGGATTGTTCAAGACCAAGACACTCTTTGCAAGTTGATATGTTCCAAAAACGCCTCTATAACAGCAAACAATACCTTCCGACCCTAATCTAGTGAAACGGCTTGTATAACAGCGTTCCCTAAATGAATTGTCAATAAAATGAAGAGGTCTACTACTACTTCTACGCCATCTCTTGAAATATCCCATAGATCTAATAGTTCTTTCAGAACATGGACACGCTCTAGCTCTTATTGAAAACGCTCGTCTATTTAGGGACACAAAATTCCAATTAGTTTGTTGAGCAGCCCATCCAAAGCATTTAGATTCAGGAGTTGCAGGCGCTAAGCATTGTGTACCAGAAGGATAATTAACTTTAAAGTAGTATCGACCAGTCCTCTTATCAGGAAAATTGCCGGCAAATGTATCTAGTCTAAACAATGCTGGTTTACTACCCCTAAAAGTGATACTTCTGTAACCATTTCCATGGATTGTAACACCTCTAACGCCGCTTACAACCCCAAGACTAACAGCGTATGAATTAAATTTCCATCCCAATGTGTCAAAGAGGAAGAAAACATAAACTACTTCCCTAGCGCTGTCTTGCACCATAACCAATTGGAAAGTATTGTACTGATTAATAGCCGGCATATTCCTCATCTTATCCCATGTGACAATCATAATCCAATCTGGTTCGAACTGAGGATCTACACCCTGATCAACAATATCGTGTTTGGCAAGAGAAAAAACATATCTAGCCATTTCACTATTCTCAGCTTCGTTAATACTATATTGACTGTAATAGACTTGACCATAAGAACTACCAAATGTTTCTGCCATTGCGTCAACCCAAAATGGAGCTAGCACTGGAACAAAAATGTTACTCTGAGGAGTAATAAAGCGGTTTAAAGTAATGGAATTTCTATCAAATTCTGTTCCCAAAGAGACGTAACCATTCACATTCACCTAATATAAATAAAACATCTAAAATAAAAAATCCAATGTGCTAATAATGTTGAACTTACAAAAATAGAATTGACTTCTGAGCAGAAAATCTTGAAAGGTTGATGAAGATCAATTTCAAAATGGTCATTGTCTTTTGTTGGGAAATCAATTGGTGTACCAACTCCTAAGTAGGGATATAATTTAACGAGTTGAGCTGAAATTGTTCGAAAAGTATTAATTAATGATATATTATAATTGAATAAGAATCTTTAAAATTCTTACGTTTTTCGCATAAATCTCCTTCGTAGTTTCCGTCACAATTACAGTTATACGTAGGTTCATTGTCTACAACATTCGGTTCGCAAGTTCCTCCGTTTTGACAAGGTTGAGAGAAACAGGGATTAACTATAGAAAAGAAATGATGTTCGTCAATATAAAGCAATAACTTGGATTATTTATTAATTACTGAATTGGCATTTATCTCCAAACTTTATTTTTCTTCCCGTGACAGAGGTAGGGCATTCGCACTGCCCATTGTTAACACACGTGCCTGACACGCAAGGATTCGCAACAATACATATATCTGTCATAAAAATTTTATAAATTGTACACATTCAAATATAGTTTACTTAATATATCTTTACCTATTGTTTGGCATTTTTGACCAGAATAACCTTCAAAGCAGACACATGATGGAATGGACCCGTCAGCGGGTACGTCGCAATAGCCCTGCTCATTTTCACTATTACAGTAGCTGAGGACTCCACACAAGTCCGTCTCACATTCGTTACCAGAGTAGCCTTAATTGAGAATTTTATTATATGACACTAGGTTTAATGATTTGAATAATATATACCTATAAAACAGTCACATACTCTTCCTCCTGTTGTTGAATCTATTCGACAAGTTCCTCCATGCTTACAAGGATTTGGTATACAGTCTTCTTCACCCGATACAACTAATATATCATCTGGCAACAAGCTCTGAAATAAATTTAAAGCCACCGGTTCCTCTTCAGAGCTTACGGTGGGTTTAACGAACGAAGCGATGACCAAAATTAGAATAGTAGCTAAAATAAAGCAAAAAGACAGATATTAGTCGTCCGAAGAGACATTGAACTGATAGATATTTATATATATTCATAGTTTAGCCATCAATAAAAAAATATTCTCTGTCCCCCGTCCCATTGTACAAAACCGAAAAGGCCGTTCGCAAAATTTTGAGTCTTCTCAGTCTTCTCAATGAGTTATAAAGCATAATAAAACTGCCTGCTTAAAAGCAATCAGGCTCGACGAATAGTCACGTTCAACTGACAACCGCTCTAGTTCAAGTATTAAAAACCTTTTTTTTGTTAAACAACAAAAACTAAGAAAATCATTAATAAACGTTAATTTTTTTAAATATGACTTGTATATCTATTTACATTAGTATGTATTTAGCTACTTAATTACTTTGTGATCTATTTCAAATAAGAACAGGATATAAAAATAATTTCAAAGGTAGCCAAGAGAGAGTTATAAGGCACAATCCAATTGATAAGTTCAACTGAATTCAATAGAATTCGTTTATTAAAGATCCTTTGACATAAAAATTAAAGTCGTTCAACAATTACAACGTGATTTGTGGTAAGAAATTTGTATGTTATACTGAAATATTGTTCCAATACTATATACAGTATATATATATCTTACTGTTTGATTATCGGAACTTGTGAAAAAGAAAAAGATTTTCAATTGTTATACTAAGCCTTAATATCGAATTAGAATACCAATTATATTATAGATTTTTTAATCGTAACACTGATCTTGATATTGAAAAGAAGCAATAGAATTTTATAATAGTTAAAAAAAGTCTAAATACTAAAATTAATAAATTATAAGTTTCTACTTTCCTTTTTTTTGAATTAATTTAAACTGACAAAAAGAGAGAAATTAATTATCTTACCTTTCGAAAGCATTTTAACCATTTATCTCTCCAGCGAAATATAAAATATATTGAACTTGTTCCAACGAAAACTTTTCCTTTTACTTTTTACTTAAAACTCTCATTAAGAAATATATTTAAATACCAAGTAGTCAGTCATATAAAAAAAGCTCCTTTTCCTACACTCCTAAGGTCCGTTCTTGTTAAAGCTCAAGTCAAAAATGCTAGATTCTACTATCGCTCTCGAAGACATTTAGAATAATTTTCTTGTATTTATACTCTCTAAAAATAGAATGTATACATATGCTAATATACTTGAATATATTAAAACCGCTATTATGCAAAAATAGGCCTACAAGCCAAGAGATTAATGGCTGACTTCCAATAAGAAAGAAGACATGAAAGTTTATTTCAAGCAATACAATTATCAATGAATATAACTATTTGTTCGCTTACTTTTAAATTTTATGTTATGAATAATTTAAAACTTATTACTAATAAAGAAACTTTATCAGAAAAGTTATCAAACCGAAAAACAAAAGGTGATCTTTTATAGTTTAGTAGCTTATGTATACAATAACGGATAAAGAGGGTTGAATAGTTTAAGGTTTTGTTTACTCTTGTCCAAAAATAGGACTATGTTAAATATCCAATTTTCACCCCGAGTTTTTCAAGTTGCGAAATAAAATCCCCTTTTTATAGTTTATAAAAAAATTGAAAGTACCAAATATAAACTATTGTTTGATAGAGTGCACGATTCATATCTTCTGATCGTAATTACAAAGAGTTTTAAAGGGTGACGTAGTAGACTTTTTATACATTTTGAAAGCTAGTTGTCATAAATGTATGACAAAATATTAAAATTCAGAGCAAGATCATAAAAATTTATGATATATATTATTCTATTAACCCCGCCTTACTTAAGTATAAAATACTTTAAAGAATTTACTATACGGGAAGTTAAGTAAACTTTTACCTTTACAGAGATTACATTGGCTAAATCTTTTGTGTAAGAAGCTCAATAGAATATAAACCATGTTAAAAAGAAAGAAGATTAAGACAATAAATAGTAAAGTTAATATTATTAAACATATTATACTCTTTCGAAGAAGTAAAGAGGATATTTAAATATTAACAGACTAACTATTAATATAGTAATACAGTCGCGATATTAAGTAATTATAACAAGAGTAAAAATATCTAAAATTCTCTATATTTTAATGATCAGTTTTTCAGTCTTTTTTTTACAATACTATGAATTTAGACCGCTATTAAGTAATTATAACAAATCAATCAGGTCCATCAAAAGTACTTTTTTTATTTTACTTATACATTTTTAGATAGGCCAATGATTGTAAATGATAAAATTTTCAAATTTAATACTTGGTATGTATGCCTTTTGCCTTTCTTACTGCATTTAGCCTCCTTTCAATAAAGGCATACAATCCCTGAATCTCAAAATTTGATATTTTGAAAAATTCCTTCTCAAAAATTTTCCACAGCTCTTTCAAATTTCTAGGCTGTCTGAGCATGCTTTTTTTCTTGCAAATACCTCAAATGGGCTCAATAATGTTAATATCTGGACTATTTGCAGGCCAGTTTTCTAGCATTTTCATCTCATTCACACTAGATAGTGATACTGAATAGGAATTTCAATATTTTCTAGAATGCCTCTAGCTGTCGATTTTGGGTTGATCTACATGTTCTTGTGAGTTGCAGTTCCATCCTCCTGGCGATTTTATGTGGTCTACCAGACATATGCAGGTCATTTATTGTTTTAAATTGCTTGAACTGATTCTTTATATTCTGCACTGTAACTGGGCTGCAATTAAATTTTGCTGTTATGCCTTGAATGGTCAATTTTGGCCTGCTTAAGTGGAACAGGATATCTTTGCAGATTTCTAAAGATAGCTGATGCATTTTTTAATAATTATGAGGTCATAATGATGATGTTATAATTACTTAATAGCTGTCTAAATTCATAGTATGGTAAAAAAGAAAGATAAATTGATTCTTAAAATATAGATATTTATCTGAAATTTTCCATCATGTTTCACAAGTCATCTATCCTATACAAAAAAATATTCACAACCATACACTTTATTCCTAAATCAAAATATTTCGATTTTTAGACATTTTTACTCTTCTTATAATTACTTAATATCGCGACTGTATATATATATATATATCGACAATTGCACGTAACCGAACTCAAAATGTGAGGCTTACTCTTTTGTAAAAGAAAACTAGACACAGTTTGTATACTGATACAATGTGCATTCTGACATTGTATTGATAATTGAATATAATGTATTTTTTACAGATCGGTTTCATTTATAAATTGTCTCTTTGTAAAGCATCTATAATAGGCTTTTTTCCATGTTAGAGTTGTCTTTGTAGACCATATCCAAAATCCAGATGTTACCCCAACTATTAACATCATTAGATATTTCAGCATAAAATATATATATTCGGGGGTTGGTTGGTAATCTCTTTTTGGTGGGCATGAAAAGCCCATTTCACAAGCTCTACCATGAAATGAGATCATCCAATCTAAGCGATTACCAAGTTCATAAAAATGACACGCAATTACAATAATTGCCGGAAACTTGTATAAAATACTAAAGATACCAATTCTTAGTATGAACTTGTCTAATTTGTCTGTAATATTTCCATCAGCTTTTATAGTAAATCTGATTCTACACAAAGAAACAAATCCAGCCAAGAGAAATGAACTACCAAGAATTAAATAGATAAGAAGGGGAGCAATAATAAAGCCTTTTAAAATTCGTAGATCCGATAAACCGGTAAAACAAACTCCTGAGAGGACATCACCATCAATTTGTCCCAATGCCAATATCGCAATTGTCTTTATAGCTGGTATAATCCAAGCTAATAAATGATAGAAATGAGCGTTACTCTCAACCGCTTCATGAGCCCATTTGAGTTTGGCTGCCAAAAACCAAGTAAACGTTAATATAACCCACCAAATATTACTGGCCATACTGAAAAAGTAGATTATCATGAAGAGTATAGTACATTCACTCTTTCTTGTTCCTTGAGTGATTAATTCCAATGATAATTGATTCTGATTTATATCTTTCAGTTTATTATTGAATGGTCCGGTACAAACAGCCTTTTCCTTTAAGAAGTATCCAATTACATAGCAAAATGATACAGCTAGATAGCATGATGATAAAAAGATAATAGGTCTCTCGGGATATTTAAATCGTTCACGATCCAAAATAAACGTTAAAACTGTAAAAGAAGTAGATAAAAAACATAAAATTGACCAAACTAAAATCCATATTCTTGCAAATTTCCTCTTCCTTAATGATTCTTCTTTAGTACCAAAAAAATAATCTTGATTGTCTTTGCAAGGTATTCCACAATTTTTTACCTCAGTATTTCCTATTTGTAACTTGTAACCGAATTCTAAAGGAACAGTAAGCAATGGTGGACAAGTAAATTTCCTTCCGCCTTCAATAACGTTTCTATTCATTTCAGGCTTATAAAATCGATTAGTTATTAGACCTTTTAAGCAGACATTTTTCTTGGAAGAAGGTAAGCGTGAACAGTCCACATATTTAAACAGATCAAGTCCAAACTCTTTTATTGTCCCTAAACACTTCCTTTTGACGTTTAAGCACAAGGATTTACAAGGCTTCAATACTTGATGATCTTTAGTACAAGAGGGGAAAAACAGATGACAGAGAAATAATTTAAAGTATTTTGAACAATGTTTTTTGATAACTGGAGAATAAAGTCGCAAATATTCCCGTATTTGCTTTTGAGAATAGTGTCCCATAAAATTTGGAAGGGTTGTCCTGTTATAAGACAAGTTGTTGCATATTGAAGGTTGTATGAGCTCGCAATTTGAAGACGCATGAATGTTCTCCATGATAAATATATTAATAGCTGCTATCATGCAGAATAATAAGGAGATTTTTGTCATCGTATAACGTTTCCAGATCTTCAATTCAATCACTGTTCAAAATACTTTACTCCGCCATAAAACTAATAAAATGAAAAAAGCAACCACTTGATCTGTTGTGAGAGTACCGATAGAAGTTCAATTTCCAAATAATTATAGCCTTTAAAGCCAGTTTAATCCCTTGGTAACTAATTAACCTACCTAATTAACTGTTTTAAATGTTTTGAATTAATCTTCCAATAGAAAAAGTTTTCTCATATAAAATTTTCTAAAGTCCAGCGTTATTGGCTGAAATCGAGGGTACTTTCTCTAAAGGAAAAAAAATTTTTACCCATTTTTCAAAATGGCGGAAACCGTTAATTGTGACTCTTTTCCGACATTTTCTTTCTTTAAATTCATTACATCTCTCAAAGAAAATGAAATAATCTTCAATTGTCAAGATAAATCGATATTAAAGACTAATTTCATAGAGTAATTCAAAACCTAAAAGCTTTTGAAAGAAATTAGAAGATATGTCTCATAAAAAAATTTAAAAACCTTTTAAAGAGAAAGAAAAGCTTTCTATTTTAGTTAATAAAAACGTGAAAGTAGAGATATTTTTTCATTTTATTTAATTTCTATTAAATCAATGGTAACTTGATGTGTTTGTTTTTATATAATATAAATATATGTACCAGTAAAATAGACTTTCATTTATTATTAAAAATAACTTTAGAAGTCATAAACTAATAAATAATTAATATATTGTACAGGAAGAATAAAAATCTTATTGAATTCTTTCAAAGAAGGTTTGGGCGTTTTCCCTATTTTGTATTGTTAGAGTGTTAATCTATACCTTTAGATTGCATATTATTCTCGATTACCTATAGAAAAATTTTGAGAGGTCTTTAAAAATTCGTTGTAAATATGTACAATATAATGTAGGTTGTGGAACGAGCCACGACAACAAAAAACCAAGTTACAATCATCAAAGCTATCCACTGCATATTTTCCTTTCAAAAATAAGTTTTTTTTATTAAAAAAACTATAACATAAAAAGAACATTATCTACTTTTCTAAAAAATAAATAATTAACTATTTATTAACTAATCAAAGAAGCTACTATCTTCCTTTAAAAAGTGTTTTTTCTCTTTTAAAATTCTTAAATTTCTCTGTTCTCCTCTTCAATGTATAGATAGATATAAAATATACATAAAGAGTTTTTTTATTCTATTAATTATACTACTTTCTTTACTTACAGTAAACAATTAAATACATTTAATTATATTGTATATATCATACTTTTTTAATATTATGTAACGTAATTAAACTACATAGATTTATTTAAGCAAGTTTGAAATTTTATCTTGTTCAATTATTATAACAATGATAAAAGCTGGCTGTAAAACAAACAAACAGTCCGAAAAGAATATACTGTACATTATATTAAACAGCCTTCAAGTTTAAAGGGAACATTTCTGTATAAATATAAAAGAAACTAGAAAGAAACAATGAACAAGTGTTTATTAAACGTATTAAGTAATATAAATAGCAAAAGTCAGTGTACTGATACATATTATTTGTTACATACGGTAGAAAAGATATAGTATCAATATATTAATGCAGTTATATAAATATAGTTTCATCATACGTCAACTTTCCTAACAAATTTAAAATTGATGAGGTTTTTGTGATATAAACCTTATACTTAAATAAAAACCTATAGAAAATATTATAGTTTGCGTCAGCATTATTAAACAACAAATATAAGGATCCATTGAATATATTGAGTATAATTTTAAAGCTGCCTTACCATTCTGTATGCAAGGTATTGTAGAATTTATACCACATTGAAACTTTAAGCTCTCTATCTCTGATTTACAAAGACCAACATAACCCCATTTGACATAAGACAGTGTGGATATCCATTTAACGCCTTAGGTAAATAGGTGTATAATGGAATTAAAGCATATAATTGAAGAAATTAGCTTACCTTTAAATATATTTGAAAGATTTATCATAAAGCCAGATGATAAAAGAAACATCAAAAAAATTGCTTGTGCAAAAACAGCACTAGTTTGATAGGTTGGTAATAAAGCTCCAGCAAATAGCGCTAAACTTCTACTTGTATGAACCAACAGTAGAATAATAAGGAATGCCTGTACATATAAAGAATAAATCAATATAAGAAGCCTTACAAATTAGTTTGTACTCTAAATATTTAAGTTTCTACTGGAGAGAAGGAAAAAATGGCAAAGTAAAATTTAAATAAGGGAAGCCATCTTACTTGAAAGAAAGCTTTAAATTCCATTTTTAAATTTGATAGAAAATATACTGGAATTGTATACAATATTATGAATAGAAAATGTTCGGGTAATTGGCTAATGATCTTGCTGAAGAAGTAAGGTAGTGAAGAGTAAAGTTGATCTTCCATTTCGCTGTAGATAGAAGGTCTTTCTTTATGATCTGATATTAGATTTCGTATAAATATTTTAGTAAAGTTACAACACAATAAAGCTAACATTGACATAGGACATCCAAGATGACCAAATATGGGTACAAAGCGCCAATGATATATAATAATCCGAATCGATCTTTTATGGACTGTTGATCCAGTGGTAATCGGAAATAAACGAGGCCTATAATAAATGACATAAAGATTGCTTCGCTCGCTTGGATAGCAATGAATTCCCTATTTGACCAATTGTTCTTTAAAGATCTCTTTAATAATAATTTAAATTGTTTAAACCCATTTCTAGTCCCATGAAAAAGCCCTTGCGATAATATCTGAGACTGTTGTTGAAATCTTTCACTATTGAACGATTGAAATGCTTCTGTGTCATTCCATATTGACTCCATATTCATTGCATTGTTATTACTTTCTTGTCCTGTTATAAAGCCAGATTCATTTGTTGCATAGTTAGTTCTATCTTCTGAGTAAAATGTCCTGGATAGTCCGACTATCTTATTTATAGATGCTATCTCTTTCTCCCTACTATCACGATCAACGGTGATGAGGTCAAGAACGAAATCAGCAGGATTAGTAAATAATGGACAAGAATAGCCCAGAGTAGAAAAATAATCTATCATTTGGTCAGCTTTACCGAAATAGATTTGCTCTCCCTGACTAACGAGTAGGATGAGATCAAATAATTTATATATATCGCTTCTAGGCTGATGGATTGTAGATATCACTATTCTATTCGCCATTGAATATTTATTTAACATCTTTATTATGTAATGAGCGGTAAAACTATCCAAACCGGAAGTTGGTTCATCTAGGAAAAGAATACCTGAGAGGAGAAAAGAAAAAAAAAACAATAACAAACAACAGTTAATTATCTTACAGAAAGTAAGAATAATATTTATATATTCAATAGCTTTAATTAGTAAAACTAACTTGGATCAAGAAGTAATTGAACGCCAATTGTAACACGTCGTCTCTCACCGCCAGATATACCCCGTATTTCTTCATTTCCTATCTTTTCATCTGCAACTTTACCTAACCCTAGATTATCTATCACCTCCATCACCCTACTTTCTATTAGTTCCATACAAAACGAAGGTGGAAGTTTCAGTCTAGCAACATACATTAAAGTCTCTTTTACAGTTAATGTGGGTAGGAGACGGTCATCTTGACGTACGTAGGCCGAGAGTTTTTTCATTGCAATGCTCCCGGGCGTAACGCTCCCGGTAATTTCGGCGCAAGATTGTCTACCAGATAAAACGTCTAATAATGTAGTCTTTCCACTACCAGAACTGCCCAAAATAGCCAGCATTTGTCCAGATTTGACGGTAAAATTTATATTGTTCAACAGTTTCTTTCTTACTTTAGTCTTCTTCCAGTCCCACGGTATCTAATGATGATCATTTTTGATATGAGTATTTTATAACTAATTCTTATAATGATAATAATAACAATAATACAATTATAATTTTTGTTATACTTCAAAATTAACTAGTTTATCTCTCCAATCAATCGATTCTGAATCGTTAATTATGCAATTTAATCCATCTACTTTCAATTGCAAAACGTCATCATCATTATAATCATTGTCAATGATTTCTTCCACGTCTGACACGGGGGCGTCAAATGATGAACTAAATCCGACACTCTCATTTAATTCCATTTAAGAAACAGATGTCTTGTTATTCAATTCTTTCACTTTCTTATTTTTACTAATTACTTATAAATGTTGAACAGCATTAAATGAGAATAATGACAATAATACAACGGAATATATTCTCTTCGCTAATAATCACGTGAAATGAAAATGCTGATAAGAACTGATAAGAAACAATTTCTCTCAATATCTATTTGCTATGTATGTGATATGATCGTGTGTACTATAAGATTTTTTTCGCTATTTCATTGATGACTCACAGTTTATTATATTTTCGTCTTATATGCTTATATTTTTTATTATCATTATTACATTTTTCAAATGTTGATGATGAATCATAGTTAAATATTCTAAATATAACATTGATATATCGCATGAATAATAAGAAAAGACACAATTAGAATTGATGAGGCTTTTGAGAAATAAATCTTAGGCAAAGGAAAAAACTCAATAGAAAAAATACATTAAAAATCGATATTATTATGCACGAATGATAAGGTTCAAGTTCATTCAACGAAAATAGCTTTAATGCTTCTTCTCCCGTTTTGATACATTGATCAGGATGTGGTAAAGTGCATTCAAACTTTAAACCCCTAAATTCATTTTGGCATAATCCTTGAAATCCCCATTTTAAATAGGAAATTTTAGATATCCATTTAACGCCTAAAGGTAAAAAGATTTTTTTTATAGATATTTAAGATTTCTCTTTAGATCAACTATTTAAATAGTTCGTTCTTACCAACAAACATATTTCGGAGATTAATGACGTAACCGGAAGATAGTAGGAATAATGTAAAAATTGTTTGGGCAAATATTGCACTAGTTTGGTAGGTTGGTAGAAGGGCTGCTGCAAACATGGCCAAACTTCTACTTGTATAGACCATTAGTAGAATTAATGCAAACGCCTGTAAAATGTTTTTTTTTAAATGTAAAGATTCCGAAAGTATTGAATTACTTTACTCGGGAATACCTGAAAGAACATCTTGGGATCAGTTTGCAAGCCAGCTAAGAAATAGAATGGAATGCAGTAAAGAGAAACAAAGATGATGTGTTCTGGTATTTCACTTAAGACCTTTTAAATGTTTTTAATATTAATTGTAAATGAACTTTGGAGAATGATAAAAAAATACTTTTGAAAAGAAGAAGGCAGGAACAGAATAAAGATTATCTTCAAGTTCACTGTATATTGTTGCTCTCTGTTTATGATCTGTTTGTTATTCAAGGTATAGATAAGAGTATATTCTATCATCTTAATCTCGGGAGTAAATTACTTACGAAATCCAACCACGTCTAATATTACCATGTAAGGGTATAATGCAGCTATAATGTAAAGTAAGCCTAATCTGTCTCTCATGTCTATTTGAGTCCTCTCCAACTTGAAATAGAGCAATCCGATCATGACTGACATAAAAATGGCCTCAGCCGCTTGAACGCCTATAAACGCTTTGTCCGAGTAATTATTCCTTAAAGCCCTCCTAAGGAGAAAAAGCAGTTAAAAAATGTTAGTGACGTAATGTAATTGGTATTTAGGGGAAATTTAGGGATGGTTGAGAAACAGGGAGGATGGGAAAAAGGAAAGGGATTAGAGGAGGGAATAGATAGTTTATTTTCTTTTACTTGAAAAGGAGAGTAAACTGACGGAAAGTATTGACGCGCTTCTGCGTTGAAATTCTCGCCTCAGCTTCTTCTATAACATTATCGACCTCATTTTCGCTGGGAGTTAGGTAATTACTTGCAAACTCGTTTGTTGCAAAACTTGCTCTAGTTTCCCCTGAGCCCTTTCTTGCAAAGTGAGCAACAAATTCCGATACTCTGCTTGAACTTCGTTTCTCACTTTCCTCCGAAGACCTATCGATCGTTATTAGGTCAACTGTTTCAAACAATACTCAATAGGATAAAAATGTTCAAAGGTTATATCATTTACGATTATCTCTCTTTTTTATCTTGCTTTTCGTAGAAAGCCTAACTTACTAAAGAAATCGCACGGATTCGTAAGAGAAGGACAAGGAAAGCCAAGACTACTAAAATATTCAACCATTTCGTTGGCCGCACCAAAGTAAATCTGCTCTCCTTGGCTCAAAAGAAGGACAAGATCGAATAGTTCAAAGATATCTGATCTGTGAGAAAAATTTTTTCAATTAAACATATGAAAGTACTAGTTGCATACCTAGGCTGGTGAATCGTCATAAGAATAGTCCGATTGTTGGAAGCTAATTTCGATAGGGTATCTATAAGATAATGAGCAGTAAATGCATCTAAACCGGATGTTGGTTCATCCAAAAATATAATACCTTTCGCAAAAAGTTATCAATTAATGAATTTACTCAATGTATTATATAAGATTTCTTATTATACTTGGATCAATTAGGAGTTGTACTCCGATTGATACTCTTCTCCTTTCACCACCTGATACCCCTCTTACTTCATGACCACCAACTTTGGTATCGGTCACGTGCCTCAAGCCTAATTCAGCAATAACGTCATCGATCCGCTGCTTGACCTCCTTCGAACTGTAGCTAGAGGGCAATTTGAGCCGACCTACGAAGAATAAAGTTTCCTTAACGGTTAAATGGGGTAAGAGTCTGTCGTCCTGTCTAACGTAAGCGGAACATCGCCTAATGGATGCTTTAGTCCGATTTTTTCCGTTTATTTTTACCGATCCCTCCACCTGTCCACCATTATGCCTCTCTGAAATAATGTCTAAGAGCGTTGTTTTACCGCTACCAGAACTTCCCAGTATGGCTAACATTTGACCGGAATTTATACGGAAGCTCACATCTTTTAAAATAGTCTTTCTTCCATTAGACTTAAAAGTGCCACAATTTTTTGGTACCTAAAAGAAATAATGGCAAGTTCATATAGTAAACTGTAATTGAATGCTTTTCTATATTATAGAACAGAGATAGTTTTATGATATTTTATCAAACCTCAAAATTAATAAGACTCTCAATAATCGAAGATGTTGAATCTTTGACAGTGTAACTAACATTTTCCAACGCTAAATCTCTTTTAGGTGGACGAAGTTGCGACGTTGTTCCTTCAATCCGACCTAATTCAATCGCACCACTAGTAGTAGATGTATCTATTCCATCGGAAAAGGAATTGCAGTAGGCCTGATTAGTTCTTCCATAATTAAGCTCAGTAGTATCTAGAGGTATATTTTGTAATTTGGAACTTGAAATAGATAAACCACCAAGTTCTAAAGCCATTATTAACTAATTATAAATGCACTAGTAAATTACTGATTTGCAGAAGAATCTTTGCATTATGAGCACGTGCATGAAATGGTTTTCTTCATCTTATGCACTCGTTTGCTGCTTATACATTCTCCTAACCTTCTTATATATTTACTAGACTCTCCTTAGTCATCAGTCATTGATAAGATAAATCGATTATAATCATACGTTTTTTAATTTACATTATCGGCAGATGGCGTTACCGAAAAAATTACAGAAGGAAATGATAAGTAGAAAGAATGAGAGAGAGAGAGAGAGAGAAAGGAAGAGAAGAGAAAAAACAGAGAGAGAGGTGGGAAAGGAGAAAGAAATATAGATAGGTAGACAAATATGTAGGTAGATAGAAAGAAGAGAAAAGGGATAAATTATTACGATGATTATATCTCATCCTGTTCTGTTTACAATAACCGTCAGTCGATAACTCTGCGCGGGTGAAGAAGATTACCTTACGTATTTTTTCCTTACCTATTTTCTTTATATTATTATATACACCTGTGCACTTTTCCCTCTTCAATCGTTCTAAATAAGATAAAAAGCGATTGATGCGACTTTTCATCCGATAATATTAGAGAAATTATTAGATAATTAAAAAACTAATATATACAAAAAATATGTATAAAGGAAAAATGGAGAAGACTAAAAAAAGGATTGTGAAGTAGACGTCGACAGTCAGTGAATTTCCCAGCATCTGACGTTACATAGCAAATAGAAGCATTCGGCCACGCGGCTTTTACGCAAATGAAATGTGAAGGGTTGGCAGTCTGTTCTCTCAATCATGTTTTTGTTCGGTTCGAGTGTTTAGCGGGAAAGCGTTTAATTTACGAAAAAAACAACAAAAATAAAATAAAAATAGATGTCTAGCTTGCGAAAAGATTAAAAACGCCCCTCTAAGAAAAACAAGTTCGTGAATTTATTTATAGATTTTCTTATATTTTCATAATGGAAAAGGAAAGAAAGAAATACGTGGGTGGTAATGGGTGAAACATGGGTGTGAAACTAATACGTAAGACTTACAGACGTCTTAAAGATCGGGAGTGTGCCAAGGCAGTACGAATTGGACGCTAATCATAACAATTCAACGTGTAATATAGAAGTTGACACGGCGTTTGAACAATCATACCCCATTGCGCGGACATTCGCCTTGCCGTAGAGCAGCACGCTCCTATTAGACTTTAAACGTATCGTTTTTCTTTGTTCCCGCTTACCGCTCGTCTCTCCGCTCTGTCATTTCAAGAGCGGATCACACACGCCGTTCTTAGCCGCTGGTCATCGCTTATTCGAAGCTTAATTCAACTAATTAGTGCCTTATGGTAGCTGATGTAATGAGTTTCATATTCGTTCGGCGTTTCCGCTTTTTTATTTGTCGGTGATAAGTATCTTCAAGTGGACGCTTCTTTCATCTTTTCAATGGCTTCGACCCCTTTTCCTACTGTATACTTATATTGTATAGTATCTAATATAGAATGTACACATTTAAACAAAAAATACCACATACTTGGGATAATACGATAATAAAAAACTTGCAAACAAAGTACTTATACAAAAGTGTTACAGTTGGCTTCGTTTTCCTTGGTCAGTTATTTTCGAAGGTCACGTGTTCCGTAATTGATTCTCTCCTACAATTACTTTTCCAGTAATTTGTTGCGCGCCTTCTGAAACGGATAGACGAAATTCATTATACTTGTTCGACCCGATCTTATTTGTCAATATTAAATTCCTTTCCTTATCGAAATACTGTATAATATTAAATATAATATTTTACAAACGAGACCATATTGCAGTAGCGCTGGAAACTTTTTCTCTTACGTTTCTCTATTAATTGCTGTTGATTGGTGAAACGAATTCCTATTACAGTCACGCCAAGGGCGTTATTTAAATGCAACCGCCCAAGTTATGAACGTTGGCTTCCTAAAGGCGGTTTCTCCTCTCTTGCCCTTTTTGTTTCAAATAATTGGAATTCTATATTTATTATTAGTTTGTTTCAATTTTTCTTGTTGAGAAAATTACCTATAGAAGAGAGAAGCGATACAAGTACAGTAAGTCTAAATGATAATGTATCGAATATCATCTGTACAAAAGAACGCGTCAAAGTAGGCTTACATCAAAGTCATCTGACACTCATTATCTCACCGTGATTGTACAAAGAAAAAAGGCACCTGCTTTATTCAATTATACACGATATTTTTAATGTATTAGTAGATAGGCGGGGAACAGTAGTATAGCTTTTTATGTACATAAAAAAAATCTAGAGTTCGGGAGAGAGAGAGAGAGAGAAGAAAGGAACGAATGAAAAAGAGAATAAAAGGGACGATAAATAAGAAAAAAGTAGGATTTTTTTATACTTTTCAAGTAGTTCCTTTCCAATCTATAATTAGGCTCATTAGTATAAATAAACAAAATAAATTAAACGTCATCAACGATATCGGAAAGGGGTAATTTTAGACGTATATGTAAAGAGTGTGTTTATAAACAGTGTCCGAGTTTTGTCTCTGAAGACATTATGATCTAAGATTGCTTCGATTGTTTGCCATCTCTCTGTATAAACTTGGCACTCTTTTACGGGAATTAGTTTGTTTTCGTTATAAACATTAGTATACTCTTTTATGAAGATCTCTCGCCCTTTTCTTTTAGAAAAAAAAGTTAAAAGAAAAAAAAACGATTGGATTGATAGAGAGCAAGAGAGAGAGAGAGAGAGCGAGAGCGAGGAGTGTAGAGTAAAAGTTAAAGATATACTACATTCCTTTCTTGTACGAGTTTAACCGCGCGTGCGTGCGGTACATAGTCAGTACAATCGAAGTCGCCTCTTGACACTGATAGAATTCATTGATCAAATTCGATTTTATCGTTCATATGATCGATAAAGCGCACTTCTTATAATCTATAAAATTTATTGGTCATAGAGAAAAGTAGTCGATTAGTTACACACCATTTAAAAAGGGTCGGACAGGGTGAAATTATTTCCATATAAGTGGAAAGAATTTTTAAAAGAGAGGGAAAAAAGAATATTTTCTTTTTCTTTCTATCCTTTCCTTTCTTTTTGAAGAAATATATCCTTGAAAATTCTAAAACAAAGGGGAAAAAATTCGTCCTTCTATATTTATTTATAGTAAAATAGCAAGGGACTTTTTTTAATCCTTCTATTATCTATCTCGTTAAGATTGTGTTGAAATCTGCCACTCATCACACCGAAACAGGTGAGATGCAACAACTGACAGATAAACTTTAAATTCTAGATGTCTGCAAACTGTTTAGAACTGATCTAAAAAAGAAGGAGGGAGGGAGGAAGGGAAAAAATAGAGGAGATAGATAGATAAATAGATAGATAGATAGAAAGATAGAACGGAAAAGAAGAGAAGGATTGCATATGTTCTCCGTTTTCTTTTAGATATATGCCATATACATAACACATACAGAACATGCATGCCTAAATATACAAATGTAGATTTATATAAATTATAAATTCCATATATCTAAAGCTAGATTTTTGATAATTAATAATCTATAATCCATACTAATTCCTTATTAAATATCAATTCTCTTAATCACATACATATTCATATTTTGTGTTTACGGGGGCAAAAATTAAATAGAATGACATCCGATTTAAGGATATAATCGACCGCTTATCGCCGCTAAGTAATTGCTATCAGTTTGTAAATCTCCATACATACTTCTCCCCATCCTTTTCCCTTTCAACGCTCTAATGACGTTTGATTGACAGGTGAGTGTGCTATGGAACAAAGATAGGTCGTTCTCGGCGTTTGCACCAGGTGAATATATTTGTACTTATTCAACATATTTTTATACACAGTACATTTATGTATATATACAGTTTGCTGTATATGCATATATATATCAGAAGCATGTTTATATGTAACACTCTTTACCTACTTACTATGCATATATTATCTATACAGCATAAGAGGTTTGATAGTGTTTACACTGAAAACAAAATCTCTAAAAATTTTAAAAGTTTGTTTTTTTAAAAAATAATTTTTATTTACAAGATAAAGAGGAATGAGAGAATGGAAGAGAAGTAGAAAAAAAAACCTGAACGGACTATAGTATTGAATATCTAAATAAAGAAAATTACCGAAGCGTACGTCACGTGTACAAACAGAAACAAATATCGGGTTAGCCAATAAAACATTAAAGAATTTTCTTGATAATGCCTAATAAAACATTTGCTAAATCGATCTGAATAAAAAACTATATTCGATATATAGGGGGGTCGTTTGTTAAACAACTATAAATATGCTTCTATAACATTCCCACAAAATCGTGCTATACCGTTGGAAAGAAGAAGAAATTCAACCTCTTATAATCCACAAGAAAAATACGACGAATGTTTATGCAGAACATTCGATCTTGCTTGAGAGTTTGGCTGCATGCGTGAGGACAAGTTGCCTGGTTTCTAGTCTAAATCAAGAAACTGTAAAAGAAATATAAGATTTGTTGATTTTTTATGTTTTAAGATAGAAATAGTTTCCTCTCTTCTCAAGAAACAAAAGAAATAATCAGCGTTTAAATGATATTTATGATAAAAAAAGATGTTAAGAATGGGAAAATCTTACCCTGATTGATGATGTTTTGGTGTAACACGTGCAAAAATTATTCTTTATACGTCTCAATATCGTAAGAAAACTTTGTTAATCCTGTGCACTCTGAGGGTCAAAGTTGAACATCGCAGTTGCCATCAAATAGATTGTTTGTCAGCGATAGCTTTGAGAACCTGCATTCACTTTATTTTTTTCGCATATCTTGTCTTTCTCCTTATCGAATGTTGCGCTCTATTCCATATTATCATTGAACAGATGCGTCATGATTGCTTTCTCCCTATCTTAACTTTTATCTTCCTCTTACACATCGGGTCTATATTGGAAATATGATTGATGATGTCGAGAATCTGTGTAGACTTAATAAAACGACATGCTTCTACCTCTTAAAACTACTGTTTGTTCGAGAGTTAAAGATTAATACATTATTTATAGTTTTCCATATTAATATTCATATTTTGTTTACTTTTGAGGAAGCAAGTATATACGCATAATATTTCTCTATTATATCAATTTCCAGAAGAAATTACGTATTCCAAGAGACTATTGACTTTTGCTGCTTTTAAACAAATGGCCCGTAAATTATGGCATTGTCTTTTCTTCTTCTTTTTTTCCTCGACATCTACCTTTCTCCTAACATAATTTTACCGTTTTCCGCCCCTTTCCTTTCACAAATACAATTATTACCTCTACGCACTATCAAGGTGATAATAAAAAATGTCCTTAAAATAGATGGTTTAGGTGGGGAACAGGATAGATAAAGAAGATTATAAAAAAAAATCTCTCACAAACGCATTAATCGTTTCATACGTATGTTGCCCGAGGCGTTGCATTGTATGTCTAAGTTGACTTGTTGTATGTGATTTACTAAAAAATTTGGCCAATATCTGCAATATAAATGTTTACAAAAATAATTTATATATACCCTTGTACATATTGTGTATAGTATCAATTATCTAAACTACATTAAGTAAATATATACACACTTTCATAAAGAATATCCGTTAATGTGTAAATAAGTAATAGTATTTTTCATATTATTAACAATCTATCTTTGTGAAAATACAACGATTTCTTATTGATATCTTATAATTACTAGAAATAAGACCTATATAAAATTTCAATCAACAATATGTTAATAGTTAAGAATGAAAATATATAAAGTTGCATTGAACTATAATTCTATCTACTATTGAGCGAACGAGACTGAAATGAAAACGCTTTTTTAAAATCTAACGCCCGCCAATCAACGTCAACTCCGCCCATTGACCTAGATTTTTTTTTCCAATAAAATTTAAAAACATTGGTTTTTAATGGTGGCATATATTGAATTACTTAAGTTATAATTTTTAGAATATTCTCTGGAGCTATAGTCTTAGACGATTGTATCTATCAAGGTATGGTAAGAGTAAAATCTTTTAATAACTAGAAAGCATCTGTATTATTGGAAAGAGAAAGGGTTGGGGTGTGATAATGTCAGAGAAGGACTGCGGGCAGGCTGACGTTGGTGAAAAGAAAGAGGTTTTAGGTTACAGCATTCTGAACTAATCGCCTCCAACTCTGGAATATTTTAGCCAATCACGGTCGCCGCTTCTATCAATGCCATCTTTTTGGAGGTTAGAGACACCTGGCGGCAATTCGCCTTGGCGCCGCAGCTCAATCATACATTGTTCTTCAAAGGATAGTCTTTTCTAGAGTTTCTTCACTCCAACCCAGATAAACGAATAAATACTAACTTTTCTCGTCATTGCGGTGCTTCTTATTGTTGACGAACGGTTATGTCCATTGGAATTTGAGAGTCACAGAAAAAAAGAAGGAAAATATGACGATGTCCGCAAGAGAACTCTTACCTACTGGTCTGGTGCCAAGTCACTATTATTCTTCCGATAGACCTGCTCCTCTTTTTCCGTACAGTAAGTAAAAAATTGTTTTCCCATCAATTTCTATTCTATCAGCAATTATTGACAATTAAATTGATTTTTTTCCTCTTTATATAAATATATACATTGTTTCTAAAATCCTATATATAAAAACTGACATATAAGTGTACATTAACAGAAAAAAATGTCAAGATTTAAAAGCTAAATATATAGGTCAAGTATGTAAATCATCCGCTAAAAAAGCCGCTAAATATCTAACGCCTAACAAATAAATCTGTATAATAAGTAGGCGGAGTGATATATGAAAAATATTAAATCTCTAAATAAAAAAAAGGAATAATCGGATCGAGAGTCATAGAGAACGGGGATTTATAGAATAAAAGGAGGGGAGGCGGAGGAGGAGGAGGAGGAGGAAAGGAATTAAAAAAAAAACTCTCTAATCAATCTTTCCAACCCAATCCGTTCTATGTCTTTCTCTATTTTTCCTCAACCGAAAGATCTTAATCCATCATTTTGTTAACGGGGAAAGTTTTCAAAGATATTTTATAATGTTGCGCCATTTAGGTGCGTGTATACGAGGGATTTATGCCGATGATATCAGTAGCCTTATCTACCCAAAAGAATTTCGTAACATCGCCTAATTCCTGTCAATTAAATTTCACGGAAAAGTAACCTTGAGAAAAAAAAGAAATAATATATTAAAAATGTATAAGAGAGCTTAAATTCAAACTTTCAAATTTCTCTTCCTGTTCTTGTTTTTTTTATTTTATATTTAACTTTTTTTTTTGTAAGAAAATATCGACAATAAAAAAAGTTAAAGCAGAAAGTTAAATATAGAAATAAAGGGAAAAAATACGAAATAAAGGAAAAGAAATGAAATAAAACTAGTGGAAACTTATACCCGAACGCGTGTTCGACCTTCTACATTATTTTTGAAATTAAATAGCCTTGTACGATTATGGGATTAAGAGCGATTTTGCATAAAATGGCTGTCGGCAACTTTCAAGTTCCAGTTAATCTTTAATTCGCGGGTAGATATGTGTCGACAAGGATTAGTGATGCTTGTTTCAATAGGATAATTCAAAGTTTGAAAAAAAAAACGTGTTACAGACATAAAAGAAGTAAATTGTATATTCTAAAAATCAACAATGGTTTCTTGTCTATCTTTTCAATTGGTAACACGCGACATATATATCTTAAATTCTGATTTATGCATTTCCCAAACATTCATAAAATAACATAATGTTTAATTACAAGCCTTTAAACCCCGCCCACAATTTTTTTTTGCTTAAATCATTCCTCATCTGGCTTCTATTTTATTTTTGTTTCTTTTAAGTTGAAAAAAAAAAGGAAATCATCATCAAATCAAAAATTTTCCAGTCTATTTTCACTTAACAAAGTTTTGTATAAATTGTGTTTTTAAACCTAGTATGAATAGGTTGAAAAAGAAATAATAAAAGAAAAAGGTTCACCGATTTATGATAATATTTTTCTTACTTATTTATTGAAGCCGTTTAATGTTAAAAGTAATAGTGATATTTACACTCTCCATTCTTATTTACCCTATAGAATAAAAAAAATTGGGTAGAAGAGGGGGGGGGGAGATGTGGGCAGGGAGTTGGAGGCGTCAGCTAGAGGGAAAGTTGATGAATGTAAATGTTATTGCGTTGGAAAGAAGTAGGATAAAGAAAACTTTTTTTATTCTTATTGTTTATTTATTTTCCAAAAACAAAGAGACAAGAAAAGTTTGTTAAAAGTATATCATTTCATTTTTCCTTATAAAGGAAAAGTTGCAGAAAATTTTTATTATTTGAGATAATAAAGGAGAAAAGAGAGAGAGAGAGAGAGAGAGAGAGAGAAAACAGGAAATTTATAAATTGTTGTAATATACAATCTGGATCTATGAAAAACAATACGAAAATGTTCTCTTTTTTAAAATGTCGCTTGAAATTAAACGCGATCGAGTTAGAGTGAAGCCATATTGCACAGAATTACATGGAACGATTACGAAAAAGAAGATATTTAATCTTCTGTCTTACTCTCTTTAATGGTGTAGATGTAATGCAAGCAGTCGTACTCGCTAAAGTAATTAAATGTATTGACACTTTATATTTGTGTATACCTTAACACACATACGCAATGTTAACTGATTCAGTTAGAAGAAAAGAGAGGAGAAAAACTTTATCATAGGCCTAATAGTTGGTAAATGTTTTAAAATATAGCAATTATAATATGTGGCAAAGATCAAATTTCGACAAATTTCTAAGCTGCCATTCAATTGACGTATAATGTGAAATCGTATCCATTTCCGGTTTAAATATATGTAAAAATAAAATTCCTAAGAACTTTAAATATGTTAAAGAAAGGAAAGTTGAGAAAAAATGGAAAAAAAAAATTTTTTCTCTTTTTCAATACTTAATTAAATATCATATTTTTTTTCTTATGGAATAAAACTTTAATTAAATATAAAAGGATATAAAATAAATGGAAGTTGTATAAATACCATTACATATTTATATATAATTCGAGCGTTTATATGTAAAGGAATTGTGTTATCTTAACCTTTAAATATGCGGGTTTTTACTTAGTATAACACTAAGGGTATAACTATTATGACCCTTCTCTTTATTCTTTCCTACACTATTACCGATACAAGTAAAAGGTGAGGGGGAGGAGTGGGAAGAGAGAGAGAGAGAGAGAGGAAAATATTTGAAATCGTCTTCGCACTATATAGAGAAATTTGTTTTCTAAACACTACTGGAATGTCATCCGCACACTTTAATATTTACTCTAGTAATTAAGAAAGGTCGAAAAGAACATGTTCAAGAAAAAGGACTTGTACAAATTCGGGTCAGTTGACAAAGCCCCGAAATAGGTCAGTATAATATTTACAAAAGCGATCAGCCAATCAGCGTTCAGTATCAATTATCGATGTTGTCATAGTTACGAGCTCAAGTCAATAATTTTTGACAGTTTCCCATTATTACAAAATGCTTCTTTGTTTGTTTTATATATAGGCAGGCCATTTCATTAGCCTTCGGCTAAATAAACGAAAAAACCTTTTTAACACCAAATGTTTTTAATACCGTTTGCCGCCCGCCCGCCTGTAGGATTTTTGTACTGATGCGAACTGATTTATCTTTGAGGTATATCTGTTTCACCGGCATGTGCTAGCCAGAAAGATAAGTGTTATCTTGTAGGATCATATGATAAAAATGATGATGATTCTTTGAGCGTATGATGCGCAGACGTGTAATAATAATGCAATATGAAAACATAGATATATACATTGTACATATAATGTTTATGTTTATATATATATACAGTACATATATATATATTATTCTATAAGAAACATACTTGTTAAAAAAAGGCCTTCTTAACTGCTACTTTAATAGTCCTTACTGTGTTTATTAAGTTTTAGAAAAGCAAATAGTAAAAGATTTATATACGGCGATGATTAAACATGCAAAGCTTTATATTCCCTTCTACTCTTAGAAGCGTGTCAGGATCGAACAAATAATAAGTGAAGAATAAAATAGTTTAGCTCACAAAGAAACTGTCAGGACCCTTTTTGTAGAAGCATATAAAGTTACAAACACTTTCACTTACTCAGAAGAATGCATTATTAGTTTTTTAGTCATTGACATACGATATCACCCATCTATATGTGTCAATCAGAACTTTGATTATTTGCCTTGAAAGAATAATTTTTAACAAACAGAAGTTTCCCTGTTTATAAATATTGATTCAAAATTTTTGATTTGTATTTACTTAAAAAATATAATACAAAATTGAAGTATTAAATTACGACTATATTTTCAAAGACCACTCTTTTCATTTCTCCTACGTCTATTATCTCTTTCTTTCTTATAAAAAAAGTACAGCTAGTACTTCGTGGGGGGGAAGGAAGAGGGAATGGAAAGAGATAGAGACGTAGAAAAAAAGGGACAAGCAGACAGAGAGACAGACAGGCAGAGAAAGAGAGAGAGAGAGAGATAAGAAGGAGAGGGAAGTTAAAGAAAGTTAAAGGGAGCCAGATTGAAAAGTGGAGACAGAGTGAAGTAGATATGGACAACAGAGGAGGAAAACAAGTGAAAAAATATAAAAATAAATTGATCAAAAGGTAATACAAGAAAGCAAAAAGAAAAAATTGAAAATTGATAAATGAAAGGATAAGATGAAAAGAAAAAAAAACACAATTTATTTTTGGGCGAAAAGAAACTTAATGCAAACGGATTTTTCGCTTCTAAAATAAATATATGTTATTCTTATATTTATGCGCCTGTTTAAGAAGATTCTCTGACACTAAATATGTTCTTCAGAATGGGCTGGCCTGTGCGCCATCTATCGGATATCAATGTATAGCTTAGGGAAATTTACATTGGTGACACCTATCGTGCTTTTGACTCTGGAACTTTAATCCGTTTTTAACGAGGCATGCACGCAAGCGCTTATTTTATCGCTTAGGGGTGAAAAGGCGTCGATTTGCATCAGTAAAGAAGATTTAGCAGTGTGCTATTAAAATAAATCAAAAGTGGAAAATAGAGAGAGAGATCGAGAAAAAAATAATCTTTTCTATAAAGAATGTTAAGTTATGTTAAAAGCGACCAATCATTGACCACTACAAAACGATTTTAATATCTTCTATCGATTGTATCGATGGTGTTACTAGAAATCGATCATTATCGTTGCATCAATATACCAGGTCAGAATCTTTGAGTTGTATGCATGTTTATTTTTATCGCTTGTCTGTTTTATTTACTCACGTCACCCCATAATCGATTAGTATTTGTCGGAAAAGCCAAGCAATATACTACTTTAGCCGATTAGTGGCGAATTTGTAAAGCTAAGAGATTCATCATGAATCTTATCTCAGAACTAGTCAACTTTTACGGAATTGGGAGCATATTGTGGGAAATTGAGATAAGGAAAAAGTCCTTAGAAAAGAAAATTACTAACAGGTTATACGTTTTATTTTGAATGGATGCCAGTTGGTGTGATCTTACATAACCGCACAAACACACAGTTAATGCAGTTAGAGGGTTTCGAGCGTACTACGTTCGGTATTATTTACTTACTAATTGACCTAATAACTGTTCGTGCGACGACTAACAGGAATTCGTTTTTAGATAGGCTGAAGTAGATGTTAATAGCCTCTGCGCCTAAGTATACAAACAACCCCGAAAACAACTAATGGCTACACCCATAGACAGATTTAACATGTGTTTCCAGTTAGTCACAGGCATTTGATCAGCGGGGCGGTGCTTTGAAAGTAACGGTCAACGTTACGACAATTCCCATGGTAATAGGTTTTTCAATACCACTTTGACAGATTCATTATCAGATAACGTCTGCCTTCTCCGAGTTTAATAATAATACCAATACTAATAATAATAAAGACGAGGTGAAATAGACAAGAGATTGCGGCGACAACGCGTCTCTCAGTTAGTCCGCTCAACGAGTATTTGCATCCGCTATTGACGAGGGCCGGCTAAAATTTCATTGTTGATTTTCGGCTTAGTACTACGCCCGTTTTTAAATGGTTCCGTCTGGATCTGGCGTCGAAACGATTTTCTTACGACGAATGGTATAACAGGCGTTCAACGCGTCGTTTTCTTTCCATTTATCTCGTTTATAAATCTTGACGTGTAATTTGATATATAAATAGCGATAAAATGCTCGTTTTTCATTCATTCGAGAGGAATTCGCGCAAGACGATCTTGTTCAAATAAATAAATGACTTTAGATCTAAAAAGTTTATAAAATTACTTAAAATTGTATACATAAATATACGAATGATCACAGAGGTTGCAATAGGAGCACATACCAGGCTACTACATCATTCAACACCAAAAAACATACACAATCCATATAAATATACGGTAGAAATTATATATACATATATATATATATTGAAATGTACAGCTCTATATTGTATATATATAATAAATAAATCAAATTATATCGTTTTATTTACAGTCTAAAACGTTAAGCAAAGATATAACAAGAAAAATAGGCTGACACGCCACTTATCAAAATGTAATCGGTGTACTGAAATTTTTCATTTCACGCCCCAATGAAATTATTGTCGATTTTGAATTCTATCACTACCGCCTATCAGATTGGTGGTATTTGCTATAGGCGCTAAAGGGAAACTTGCTTCCTCCTTATACTCCTCTATTTCTATGTATTTATATTTCTAATATTTTATTAATATTGCACACGATATTAAATCCATGTGGTACTCGATTCCTTTCCATATATATACTTTAATTAATAGGTATTTAATGCAATACATATACATATAGATATATATGAGAATGTAAACATCTTTCTTATATATAAGATTTTAATATAGGTATTAAATTTTACGCGAAGTGAATATATAAAAAATCGTATAGACTTATATACTTATATTCATTATATTACACACACATATATATATATATATATAATCATGTGCGCAATGTAAAAAAAAGTGAGCTATAAAGTTACGATTGACTGGCACCCATCTCCATGGTAAAAATTGGCAACCGCCTATCGTGTTACCGTCCAATCACGGTGCCTCTTAAACTCTTCAGCTATAAAACATCAACCAATCAACATTCGTTTTACAAAAACAATGTGCGTTTCAGCTGCCGCCTTCGCGAGCTCTAGCAGAGATGAAAGTTCCGGCATGCTGCACGATCAAGTTCAACAGGCTTCGACTGGAGCCGGACCACCGCCTACCTCCTCCTCAATTATGCCGACTGCATCTTTCGGATTTACACAGGAACAAGTAGCCTGCGTTTGCGAAGTATTACAACAGGGTGGAAATATAGAACGTTTAGCCAGATTCCTCTGGTCACTACCCGCATGCGAACACTTGCATAAGAACGAATCGGTTCTCAAAGCTAAATCGATTGTTGCATTCCATCGTGGAAATTTTAAGGAACTCTATAAACTACTCGAGAGTCATCAATTCTCCGCGCATAACCATCCAAAATTACAGGCGCTATGGATGAAGGCGCACTACGTAGAAGCAGAAAAATTAAGAGGCAGACCATTAGGAGCTGTAGGAAAGTACAGGGTTAGACGAAAATTTCCATTACCACGGACAATTTGGGATGGCGAAGAAACAAGTTATTGCTTTAAAGAAAAATCGCGGAACGTATTACGGGAATGGTACGCCCATAATCCATATCCTTCACCAAGAGAAAAACGGGAATTGTCAGAAGCTACAGGCTTGACAACAACTCAAGTGTCGAATTGGTTTAAAAATCGTCGACAGCGAGATCGCGCCGCAGAAGCCAAAGAAAGGTAAGGGAAACGCTTAATCTAATTTTTTACATCCAGTCAAAGACCGCCTCCTCACCCCTCATGCACACAAAAAAACACCCCTTTCCCTTATACTCTTTCTTCAACCACTTTTTCTAATTTTACCAACAGTTGTATAAACTAAAAAATCTGAGGCCAGAAAAGACGAGAGTTAAACCTTTAACGAAAGTATGACGTAATAGATATGCAGCTGTATATATTAAAGTGTAAGAAGGTAGGATAGAAAGAAGAGAGCGAAAAGAGAAGAAGATAGATAGAAAGGAGAAACAGAGAGTCGATATCTTGTTAAAATCACGATCTCTTTTGTTTATGACTCGGCGATATTGAAAAAAAATTCACGACGTCAGGATTAAATTTCTTCTTAATCTCTCAAAGTTTCATAAAATCGTGACTACATATTAGAAACTACCCGTATAATTATCTTTAGGGATGATAAAGATTTACTGTAGTCTTAATTTATAAATAGTACTTACAAGCATCTTAATAGAATGAACACAATAGCACATAATTATGTGGGTGTTAACCTACTAAACCCTTTCCGGAATGGCCGAAATGTATACAAGCAAATATTCGAACAGTTAACCACGAAAAGCCGCACACAACAAAGTCAAACATCCAAAAAGCTTTGGTCAATAAAAGACAGACGCCCGCGAAAAGTGTACCCACTTTAAACGGGGGTTGCGTTACGTTTGTTCATCGTTCATAGCATCTTATATAAATAATAATTTATTTATTAGATTGTTTAGTATAAAATAGTAGTATAAAAGTGAAAGTAACAAGTATAGAATTATTAATGGTTCATACTTTGATAGCTTAAAATTTAGCTGTCGGATTTTAAATATTTGCGCAATTATTCACCTATTAGTCTATTTTAACAGGCCCACCACTGTATAAAAAGCTTAAATAAGAAAAGGGAATTTGGTTTGACGTTGTACTTAACAATTCACTTCGAACTTTGTACGCATTTGTCGGCGACACGCAACTGCTAATTTGCATACAATCTACATATGTTGTACAAGCCACTTTTTGCCACGCCATTATTTAAATAGATTTTTTCCTAAACGCTTAATAGGAAATTGAGATTATAATAAGCAAATAAGTAGCCCTGTAAAGAGACGACTTCCGCAGAATTAACGATGACGTAACGAAGTCTGTCGCTTATCAGATGGCGGCAGTCTTTTGAAGTGCGATAGATGGTGATTTATTGACGCAAACCGATATTTCTCCGCCTTTTCAATTAGCCTCATTCCTCCTTTGTATCAACCTTATATTAGGACGTAAAATTATCAACTAATCAAAAACTCCTCCCCTTTTTTTTTAACAGGGATTCAGCAGCCGCCTCTCATAGCGACAGTGCCAGTTCACCTCCTCCTCAAACCGAAAAGAAGGAAAATGATTCACCAAATGATCAGAGGGGTGGTAAATTGGAGGAAAATTCGAACGTCTTAGCCGCCCACTCGATAAACTCGCAAATGTTCGCCGACTACAGCAAAATGGCTTTGGCACCGCATATGATGGCTAGTCTTTCCTCCGCTAATATGGCAGCAAATTCCCAGCCGCCAGTTATGACTCCTCACTCCGATGTTGGAACGATGCTCCCAGATTACCATAGTTTGTAATGTGCCATTTTCTGAAGCTAAACACTATAAGCAAAGCGTATAAACACTGAATCGAGGTCAGAGCGAAACCCGATATTCTACAGGTGTTGGTAGACTGAGAGCATATATATGTATATATATATATAAATGCACGAACATATTTATACATATATATATATATATATATATATATATCTTTATATATATGTATATGTATATATATATACAGTATATAAATCTTTATTTATATTTTACATACATATATATATATACATATATATATGTATTGTGTACATATGTATACTGTATACATTTATGTAGTACACATATATATATATATATATATCTATACTGTATATATTTTCATATATATGTTTACATATATATATATACATCTATATATTCATATATGTTTGTATACAGTATATACGGTATATATTTAAATATATATTAATATACATGTGAGTGTACGAAGGCAGATCCTGAGCAGACGTCCTTCTCTAGATTCGCCTCATTAGGCATATTTCTTTGTATCATGCAAACAGATGTTTGTCTAATAATAAAGGTTGTCATTTCATGTAAACAATTTCACAGTGTAAATGCTATTCGTGTGGAAAATTGTAAATATGTGTGCATTTGTGATGTGGCACGTAAAATATATATGCTTTTTTTCATGTTCACTCTCAAATGCGAGGGGGTGGGTTATTCGGCCCCCGTCCACTTCTACTTAAACAATATAGATACGCCCCACTCGTTAAGCGTTTTCCTATATTAGTTGAAGAGTGCCGTAGAGAGCGAAAAAAGAGAAAGCGAGAAAAAAAGGAGGGAGAAGAGAGAGCGAATGAGAGCGAGAGAGAGAGAGAGAGAGAGAGAAAAAAACGGTGCTCGTCGAAAAATTGTTCGGAATATAATTGTGTTTACTCGGCGCAGTTCGATAAATAGAACTCGTAATTAGTCAGCTCGAACGACCCTTTTTTGTATTGTGGACAATAAAAAAATTTTCAGCATTTAAAAATTCATAGTCCAAAAGATAAAAAAAATAAGTATTCAGATGCCGATATAAAATGCATAAACCCGTATATAATATGGATACATAAAAAAATATAAATGTTATATATAGCTTGTAAAATTATATCCTGTATACAATTTAGACGAATGATACGTCATAGGTTTTTCTATTGTCTTCCATCTGTTAACAATCTGCTACTATTTAACTTCGGCTCTAGGTAGGCTTAGAAGCGTAGAAAAAAAGTTGAAGATACTTTGAGAATTCTATTACGTAAAAATTGTGAAAGTGGAGTATGTAAGGAGTGAGGAGAGAAGTGGTAGGGGAAGAGAAGAAAAGGAGCAACTTTCAATTAACTTGTATACACGCACGAAAAAAGAGGTAGTATATATACAACGGAGTTGAAGTGGCGTTTTTAGGTTAGGTAAACAAAAAGAAAAATATTACGAAAAAATGGCGAATTTCGCCGCCGAGAATAAGCAATCAATCTTGCCTCGATCCATTTAAGAAATCCGATAGCATCCGCTTGTATGTACGATTTAATTACGGTCGATCGACGCTTTTTATATACGGAGATACCTTGTATATTATACATGGCCTTGATTGTAAAGATATTTCGACATGCTTTTAATAGCTTTTTAATAATCTTAAGAAATTGTTTTATCCTTACTGGAAATTGAGAAATATGGGATTTTTCATGTTTGGAAGATATCTATAGATTAATAGACAGATAGAGAGAGGCGAGAAAACATAGATTAAGGATCGAGAAGAAACAAAAGCGGCGGAAACAGCTGTAGAAAATAGTTGGGAGAATGTCAAACGTCAGACGAAAAATCAAAAACAGGAGTGCATAGATAAACTGGAAACCCGATATCCTTGTGGGAATTAGACTGTAAACCGTGACCGGGGCTGCGGCTGCGTTAACAAACTGACCTACTTTCCCTTATCGCCTTCGACGAAAACAAACTTTCGCCTCTCGCCTCTACTCACTGGGGTTTCGTAAGCCCTGTTTTCCTTTATAAAGTATGTAAAAAATATTCCCTCATTCTTTTTTTTTTCTCTTCCCTCCTTTAATTCTTCTTCACTATAAAGAGCCAACAGCCGGTTTTTTGGCTAAACAATAGGTGAAACAAAACGAGCAATAGTTTGGAAGCGGAAGAGAAGCTCTCATCCCCTCCCTTCCGCTTGAAAACATTCGACAAACACCGTCTAACGCGCTTTACAAAAGGTAATCGAACATATCGACGCCCGTATAGAAAGTGTCCTCGGCACGCAGGAAGACGGTTCAATTGACGTGTCGGTAGGAAAGCCATTAACTCGCCTTAGCGCTCCATAATTTATCGCCCAAGATTACTGGTTGTCGTACCTCTTCAACCCGTATATATTTATACGCCTAATATGTTATATACACGCTGTAAGCCTATATATATGAAACAAAGTTTGTGCAAACGCTGAGTAAACGAGAACAGCTTCTGGCAGATGATGTAATGCGAGAAGATCAGGTTACCTTTACGCTGTTCGGCTGGCGACCGAATGAAAAAAAAGGGTGAAAAAAAAAAAAAGAACAACCTTATCCAAGTTGTTTAAAAGCGCTATGTATATCATTAATAAGACGTAATAGGATAACCGTCATAGTCATTGATTGCTATACATAATTAATGTAATAGACGCCGTCTTTAAAGGGAACATTTCTTTTGATAAAGTTATAATCTTCACATCATTTATCGACGATTAAAATTCCGTTGTAATTTTCGGATAAAAAGGCCGCTAAAATTCGCGTAAAATTACCACTGTCCTGCGAGCCGAATAACACTTCAAAAGATCCACCAGACGGCGTATTGGACCCCCTCCTCCCTCTTTAGTAGATAGCGTGACGGAGCCCGTCGGTCACTCTAATTAATTTAATGTAACCCAAACTGCTAAAATCTCGGGGAAATTCGATATGAGGGAGCGAGCTAATTGCCTTTGATACGAGCACGAACGTTGGCGTGCGGAACGTTGCACCAGGACGTTTCTTTACCGGAGTTTGTCGAGTGAAAACATAGACGCACGTTTGTCTTTATTGGTTTCGGATATATATCGTTTTATCCACCCTTTTCTAGCCCTATTCGTCTTTTCTCTCAATCTATTCTTTATTATGGGCTATTCTACTCCTTTCAACACTCTATTAAGCGCTTATAAATCTCTTACTATAGAATTTATAACAAGGCTTAATTGTCTTAAAAACTACGTGTAGCACTAAGAAAAATGACATGACGGAAAAAAACAATCACGTGATCGTTACGTCACTCACGGCACGCGTCTTTAACAATCGAAAGTTTGGATGGCATCAGAAACGTATAATTACGGGTCGACTGCCACAAGGAACGTCTTTTAGCAACTAATTAAAAGAAAGCAACAATTAATCGGTAGAGTTGGGTGGAGAAGGAGGAGGAGTAAGAGAGAGAGAGAGAATAATCTAAGAGGGGGGTAAAGGAGAGAAAATGATGATGACGTAATGTTTATATGTATATAATTTTCCACCAATAATTGATGACATTCGTCCATCGTCAGTATTTTTTCAATTTAAACGATAAAAATCATTTAAGAGAAAAAAATCAATAAGAAAAAAAAACAAGAAAAAAAAACACAAAAGCTAAAAATCATCTAATTATTTTAATTAGCATGGATTTTTTTTCTCGCTTGTTAGCATAATACTAAAAAAAAAGTAATTATAAAATAACATCTTTTTTAAAATGACCGTTCCACCGAGATTAACTGAAAAGGTAAGCGCAGTCAATGACGAAGAAGAACTTCGCCGTCGAGGGTTTATTGTTGGATGTATATTAGGTGAGGGATCGTATGCCAAGGTCAGGGCAGCGGTCATAAAAAAGGGCGACTCTGTAGGACCAAAAGTTGCACTTAAGATAATAAACAAGAGGAAGGCGCCAAGGGATTTTTTAACAAAATTCATGCCGAGAGAGTTAAAAGTCCTGCAGAAGGTCAATCATCCAAACGTCATCAAGTGCTTCGATATCTTTTCTTTTGGACATAAGGTAATGGAGTCGCCATCTGGCGTTTTGCAAACGAAACATTGTTACACTTTTGATAGACTATTAAAAAAATTACAAATCTTCCTTAAATATCTTCCGACAGACTTTTATAGTAATGGAGATGGCTGGACATGGTGATTTATTAGAATATATCAAATTAAGAGGAGCATTGGATGAGAACAAATCAAAATCAATGTTCGGCCAATTCGTTGATGCTATAGACCACCTACATAACCTTAACATAGTTCACCGAGATTTAAAATGTGAAAATTTATTGCTGGATGTAAAAAATAACATTAAAGTCTCAGATTTTGGATTTGCGCGTGAACTTTCAGATAATGAATTTAGCAAAACTTTTTGCGGGAGTGCGGCTTATGCTGCCCCGGAGATATTACAAGGTATAGCTTATAAAGGTTACTCATATGATATTTGGAGTATGGGCGTTATTCTGTATATCATGGTTTGCGGTTCTATGCCGTACGATGATTCAAATATTAAAAAGATGATACGCTATCAAACAGAGCGAAAGGTTAGCTTTTCTAGTTCAAAGAAAGTTTCCGACTCTTGCAAGAAGCTCATACATAAAATATTGGAGTCTGACGTCAATAAAAGAGCTACAATCAGTGAAATTCGAAACTCTCCCTGGTTATCCCCAGTATTTATTGATTCCCCTGAAAAGAGTAATTCAAACGTCTCGAAATAGACCTCTCTTAAATCCATTGATATTTTCGATTCGATTAATAAGCGCAGCTTGTAGGAAATACATAAATATCTATTATTCATAATAAAATAATGTCTCTGATTAATAATATTTTCTTAGTTTTATACTTATTTAAAATTATATCCGCTAGTTGGATCTAGTATCAACAACTTTAAAAGTATCGTGGCGACATCTGCTGTATTGCAAACGAATAACTCTTCTCTCGACAAAATTAATCCGAGGCAAATACAGAACAAGCTAAGAACGCTTGAGCTGTGTAATACGTAATCATAATTAATAGAGAGCTTTGTGGTATACTAATAATCCACTTATCGCATCCGATTAAGTAATCAGAGCAGCCAAAAAATATAGCTCCAATTACAGCATATCTTCCTGAATTGAAATGAAGACGAGACATTCTTACAAATGATCGCCAAACGATTAAGAAAATTAAGGAACAGTAATAGAACACTAAAATTTTCATTACAAAATCGTCAATCTTGCTTACTAAGTGAAATGCCAAGGGAAACACAACGGAGCTAATCAAGGCGAACTTAATTCCTAAGTATTTGAATCGCATAGCGAAAGCATAAAAAATATGAGCAATTGAAAAGAACAATAAGCCTGGTATAAAGAGCTTAACTCTCCATACAAGACAGGCATCTCCAAAAGCCGAGAAAAATAAACCGGTAAGAATCGTTCGACTGTACTTCTTATCCTTCTTACTGTTATGTTCAGCCCATACAGCCAACATAAGATAAATCATAGGTAATAGCTTGAAGAATACGGATCTAAAGCTTTCTTCTGGATAGCCATTTAGCTCTGGTACCGGCTTTACTTGATACAAGTACAATAGAACGAGCGATGCAAATGGAACAAGTCGTATTAATTCCTAAAATTCAAAGTTTCAAAAGAATATGGATAATTAATTCATGCTAATACCTATAAGTAACATTTACTTACTCTAGAGAACATTTGTGATTCTCTGTTGACCTAGCTGTTATAGAAAAATATTCCGATAAATATAAAATTTATGTAAATATCATAAGAGATGGTAGAAGGAAGTTAAACATTAACAATTTATGAAAATAATGGCTTTTTAAAATAATCGTTATTAATTGCTAAATAATGAAATTTAAGAGCAAACCGAAAAAGAATATTGAACTCTGTAGAACTTTTAAGTACATTGATTTTCGATCTTTGCACCTGGACTTTGTAGCAAATTGAAATATCTTTCGTCCCTGATTCAATTGTTCCTATTTTTCTCTATTAGTATTTATTAAATCTGCTTTATGAAATTTCCAAATTATACATCAAAACTCAGGTTTGCAAGAGATTTTTATTTATGTGAATATCGAAGAATAAGATTGACTACTTAAAGATACATATTCAAGCAAAATATATTATAGTTGAGCGATAAAACAGGTTTTTAATTATTTTCGGTGGTTTCAATATAGCACTTGTTTTATTTTAGAGAAGCAATTTCTTTTTCATCGATTTCTTTACAAATAACATTTTTATAGAGGTTATTCTTTCTTCAGAAATGTATAAACAACTTGGAATATTCCTGACAACCGTCCTTTTGTACTTTTACTTTGTCAGATTGGACCCAACGAATAATGATTATCCAAAGGAGGAATTGAAAACTGTCATCTTTAAAATTCTTCCTATTCTTTCTTTAATTTACATGGTATTTTCAACTAGACAATTCAGAAAGGTCAAGAAGCTACCTTTTGATTATCAAAATTTAATTTTGATGGGATTAATCTTCTCGCTGATGGGTGACATTTGCCTCGTCTGGCGTATAAAATTATTTATCCCAGGTATCTGTTTGTTTGCGATTGGTCATTTGTTTTACATTGGGGCCCAAGGTTGGAAACCAAAAGGGTATATTATTGGGCTTGTTCTTTCTCTTGGACTATTCATCATGGGATCTTTTGTAATCAGCTATATGAAAGCCCCAGCTGAGCAAGTTGCGACTTCAGGTTACATGGTTCTTATATTTGTGCACTTCTGGAGGGCGGCCATAAGGACCGTTTACTTTCCCTCAGGGGCAGCGAATTTGGTTCTGCTTGGAATAACTGTGTTTGTTATTTCGGATTACCTTATCGTTTTCGATCAATTCGTCTGGAAAGTTGAGAATGCGTCATTATACATAATGATTACGTACTACTTGTCTCAATTATGCATCGCTTGTTCAGCATATGGCGATAATTCTCATACTCACGGAAAGACGAGAAGTCACACAAGAAAAGTCCGATAAAACACTTAAATGTAAAGTATATGAGCTTAAAAAAATGTTTTAATGTTTAATGTAAACAGCCCTTAGAGTATTAAGTAAGTTGAGCCTAAAAATTAAAATACACTCGACAGGTGCTGACATCTGTGGTGTGTCGTTTTACCGTTTCTAAATATAAAATAGGGGTTTAGTGGCTTCGTGAGTCTCAATCAGTCTTTTTCAAGAAAGAATCTCATACGATGAGAAAAGTGGCGATTGGGACAAATTGGGTATAGTCAGAAAAAGGAGATGGATGTGGGCGTGGCAAAGAAAAAAAGATGTAAAGAGTGTCCCTGCGGTTTTGTACCGTTCGAAGATTTCTTTTCCCGTACACTGATGCCACCTGTCCATGTAAATGTAAGCGAAAAGTCTATTAGGGAAAAAAGTCTAGAAGCTTTTAAATATACACTTGCCCTTTACGTAGCGTCTGCATCATCTCTCACCGTTAGGGTCCCAATGCAGTTTTTTACATAGCCGCCTCTCGCATGCCTTTGAGGCTAGCAGAAAACAACTTTGGCAGTTGATAGCTGAGCCAGGGGCGTCTATAGACGGTCGTAGACGGCGTAACTTGTCATTTCCTAAGCTTATGCCCGTTAGCGCATTGCAGTTCATCAGCTTACTCATTCAATCCCTTCTCGGCCGCACAATACCAAGCGCATTGCCTAGGAAAATTAATTTCTAGATCGGCGGTGGGAGAGCCGTGTGCATGCCTGGAAAATGAGAGCGACGCCTTGTATTCACTATATCAGACATCAATTACTGCGTAACACCTGTGTCCCATAAATTGCGCTATGAGAGTGTGTACATAGACCGTCTACTGCAAATAACTGCAATGATGCGGCGGTAGTTGTAACTAAATTTGGTGACAAAGGTCAGGGATTTGTTTGATCTGTGTCTGTGTACATTACTGATTTTAGCGCGCTTCGTTGCGTTCATTTGGACGCCGTCAGCCTATTTATGAAAGACAAAAAAGGCGACACGTTTGCAAACAGTCTATCGTTTGTACTCAAAGTAACATCGTATTACAAACGGCAACAGAGAAAGATAACAAGGCAAATATCAACTGTCAGATCATGACAAACTATAGCTTATAGTGTGACTGTAAGCTTTTGTACTTTGTCAACTTTAAATCACACCTAATTGACTACGTATGTGGCATCTAAACGCTTTAGCCTTTTTCTTATTTATGTTCCGTCCAGAAGTCTTCCTTCTTGTTATCTCAACATTATTCAAAAGTATATGCATACCTTATAAAAAGAAAGAAAAACCCGCATAATAAGGCAATAAAAAATGTATAATCTATATAAAAACACGATGTAAAAAGAAAGAGCAAATTGCTCAGTGTGAACCTGTCTCTATATATTTTAGGGATTAGTTGCCTTTCGGAAACAGATGTAAAAAAAACAAAACGTTTTCGGAATATTATCTGTACAGAAAATTCTCGTCAATTGCAGTTCCATAATGATCCCGCACTGAGCATCTACGGGAGATAATCACGCGATTGGTATTGATTTTGGCTAAATAGAGTTGTTGTCACTCAATTGCAACGGGCGAACTGGAGAGAGATTGTAAGAGCGTTGCATTTTTTTTATTTCAGAACGAATCTATATAATCTATATATAATACGTATGCATATATTTATGTGTAATGAAAAGTGACAAGATGGTAGAGCGTCGGTCGTGGTCGCCCTATTTGGATAGAGATTTTTAGTATATCTCTAATTTTTTTCCCTTTCTCCTTTTCTTTTTTTTCTCTATAGAACATTTAGATATAAATTCCATTAGAGCCGCAGATGTTGTTTAGGAAGGTGTCATGTTTACACTTTGCAGTATTGCGGACTGGGCTCTCGCTAGGGATACGTACTTAGGCGGTAAAAAGCTAGAAAGAAGATTAGGTTAGCGGGAGAAAAGATAGGAGGAAGATTATCCGACGTTGCTGCAAGTTTGATGTTAATGCGTTCGTTTTATCTTCCCTTCGCATAATCCTAAATTCGTTTGAGTACACACACACATTCACTTTTCGTTGCTAAATTCGATATGATCATATTATCATTCGGGCACGGGCCGAGAACCGCAGATTTTTCAGCAAACAAACGAATTTACGGAACATTCGATTGACCGGAAGCCAACGTAAATGTGCGCGTTTGTGATGAAATCAAACGGCGAGCGTGTGACGCCGTAATTGCATTCCTGCTGACCAACCATGTTTAATGGCGTACTAGACGCTCAAAAGACTCTAACGAACAACTGCAGGTGGTGGCGGCCATTAGGGAGCGTCTAACATATAAAAGACGTCTCCGTATATTTGTATCTATGCATAAGTATATCTGGCTTGTAGTTGTATACGTATTTATAAAACCTAATATACATATATTCGCTCTACATATACAATAAATATAAATATAAACTTGGTCGCGTTATTGGAGAAGTATAATAATAAACGATAGGGCGACCATATCCAATCTCATCAAGACAATGTCCATTTTCTTGTTATATGATACCGCCTTTGTTCTAGATACAATGATTCGTTTTCATTTATCAACTGTACTTATATACACATACATACATAGCGAAAGGGATAAGTTTAGAAAACAAAAGAGAAAAGTACATTGAAGAGCTAATTTTTCTACTCTTCTCTTTTCCTTTAGCCTTTCTTTCTTTTCCCTCTCCTTGAAAAGCCCCACCGACTCTAAGCTATTTTATGTTTTTTTTTATCCTTAAAATATATTGTTTTTTATGTGTATGATGTATCTCAATGTTTCTCCTCTAACAGAAAATGGGAGGAGCCGGCAGGTGTGTTGGGCTCACAACAATCGCACGTATTTAAAAATCTTCTATTCAACTTCAGCATTCATCCGTCAAAAGTAACGCGCAGGGATGCGCGCCTTTACGGAAGATGCTTCGGGCACCGCCAGAGGGCGTAAAAAACATCGTGTGAGAACTATGAACGACGATGGAAATAGTTGTTATGAAGGTTACTAGAAACGGCGGTGATCGGGGCGGCGATTAAGCGAAAAGGAGACGGCAAAGGAGAAAGAGACCACACCCCAACAATTCCCTTTGTAATCTAAGTAGAAGCGCCTTTAAGGCTTTAGCACGTAAGAAAAAAAAAGAGAAGGGAGGGAAAAGTGGGGGTGAGGGGGCGAGAAAGAGTAGAATGGGAGACTGTAGAGGAGACGGAAGAAAGAAAAAATGGAACGTTTCTTTTCGCGGTCCGCGCCCCTGCCTGACAGAAAATCATTAGCGAAAATATGATCTGTTATGCCGCTCAATCCAAGTGTAAAAATGGAAGACTTTTAGTGCGAGCATCGAACCGTAATAAAGTTTGCTCGTCCCTTTCAATTCCTACAATGAAATTGGGCACCTTTTATGCACATTTTTCAAACTGTCTCATCGGTATTGACAAAATGATAGCTCAGGCAATCTCGTATTGTCCTGCTAAACACGTCTTCCCTTGTCAATCATCCTCCTATTATTCGTTTCTTATTATTCGGTAGCGCAGCGCGTGCGCGTCCAACCGAGTCCCCCCCATCCTCTCCTCTTCCCTTCTATACGTATATATACAAATACGCAAATTATACAAACAAAAAGGAAAGCGGAAGAGAGAGTAGTTAGTTAGATAAAGAAGCTGAGATAGAGGGAGAAATTGTCTTTATTATAATAAGTAACAGAATAAAAGAAATAGAATGGGAAAGAAGGAGAGAAAATGAAAAGGTATTACGTAATAAAAGCTCAGAACTTTATCTGGCCGCTTTATCGCGCTTGTCGAGCAATTAGCGCAAGTATCTAACGGCATCCGACTGCATCTCAGCCTGAGATCTTTCTTGTTTAGAAACTCGACGCGTCTTTGTTTATTTTACAAACTCGCTACAGTCCGCCTTTCCTTCCCCCTTACCATCCCTTATCAAACGCCTTAGTCGTTTGCACTTGTTAGCGTGTTTTTTCGAGCGGAAATCTTATTAATGACGGTGAATATTTATATTAGCAGCGGCGTTTATGTATTCTTTATATTTCTTCCAGTTGACGATATTTTTTCTCCTACTTATAAAAAAGAAAAACAAGTGAAATAACACTCGCGCATCTGCCGCAAACGGACAACGAGCGCCGTCTTAATCACCCCACCCACTAATCGAGTTTACAATCAAATTAGACGCAGAGAAAACGCTCATTGTCTTTAGACGCTTTTTCCATGGAAACAGCTAGCGTTCTCGTGGGAACCAGCACAGCTATATAGGGGAAGAAGAGAGGTTTATCGCGGCTCATCTTCCCCGCGTTCCTTCGCTCGCTACTCGTGTCAGGGATATTTAATGCGAGAGATCTCCGTCTACGCGGTGAAAGTGACGCCGACCAGGTGTGTCGGATGGCCCTTTTAGACGCCGCGACGCCCTGCTGCCTCTCTGAGTGCATGCCTACTGCGTCGACGTGACTGTACGTTTTTGTTCCGTCTCCTATCAATCCAATTATTCGCTTATACGTTAAATTGTTTGCCGCCGGTTCTATATACTTGACCGGCAGCCACCGAAAATGGACTTTTTACGAAAACCTGTCAAAAAACTAATAAAATTTACCCGCCCATCCCACTCGAGAGATCATATAGCTCTATAATAGCGTTGTTAGTATGCGCAGCACGATGGCTGGACAGTGGCTAGCTGTCAGTGCTCGTTTGTCAAGACACACAACATTATACTAGCTAGACGCTCAGTCCACTAATCCATTAATTTTTCTCTTCTACCTTTTTCTCTCGTTTTTATTTATTTCCCATTCTTTTTCCAACTCAAATAAATATAATATACGAACTTTATAGAGACAAGTATACCTTATATTTCAAATAATTTTCTCGACGTAAACAGTTTAGACGTCAAAAAGCACTCGAAGATGTCGTCATCTCGACAGCTTTTAGCCCGCACATGTCGGTAGACACTCAACTAGGTCATGTGACTAAAATGACGTTTCCTCACGTCATAAAAATTTCTCGGCCGTCGCCTCGCCGCCATGCCGATTTTCTCTTACATCATCAAGCGATGTGTCAAGTAATTACCCGCTGATTGCGTTTCTCGCGCTTCCCCGCATCAAAAATCTCGATTTCTGTATAAGCACTTGTCGTTTATTCTTATGCAATGACATAACGACGGAAATGAGCGATAATAGGGTATATTAAAAAGAAACGGAAGCAAGACTCGGTTAAAGAACGCCTTACGCAGGATATCAAGTGCGTGTTGCGGTGTGAAGTGTCATGAATAATTTACGAGGTTCGGCGTTCTTTTAAAATAAGAACTTGCCTAAGTTGCAATCATCAGTTGTGTAAAATTTATAGAAACAGCTGCAAGTAGCGAAACTTCATAAACGCCTTCTAATAGTATGGAATGTTAAGCTATTTAGTAACCTACTTCTTTTATTGATATTTTTACCAATCCACAAGCATAATGAAACTTTTAGAGAGAAATAGATCGTAGCTTGAAAACACCTTATATTAACACCTCTTCCTATTCTTTCCATTATAATATAAATATTATTATAACGGTCCCCCCTACTCTCAACAATGGTATATCTATATATAATATATTACAAAAAAAATACTGCATTCTATATATATATACTAATATATATATATATATAAATGCAAGTTGTATACTCACTTCTTCTTTAAGTGTACATGGGGGGAACACACACAAACACACAGAGAACACGTGCAATTCTTTATTTAGCAATTATCGCCAAGCAAAGTGTCAGAGTCGTTTTATTTAGCCGCGGCTTTAATGTAATCAAATCCATTCGTAATTACTATTCTTATCAGTGTAATGAACTCGTTTGAGTTTTATATTAAATCGCTCAACATATCAAATGCTAATAAAACTTTAAAGTTGTTTATATATATTTTTATATAAATAAATATCCATACCCTGTATATGTGTATATCTATTCCTACAGATATATGGTATATTCTCAACAATTCAATACATATAGTAAAGATATATAAGTATAAACAGCAAATGCGCAGACATATGTGTAAAATAAAAATGTTAATCTGACTTAAAAGCAATAAATTCTATTTATCTCGACATTGAATCTGTTAAAAAATGAGTATTAAAAGGTATAAATGAACATACGTACGGCTGTTCTATTCTCAAATTATTATAGGCTGTAATTGGCCATTATACAGGTTAGCCGGGTATGTCCCAAAAATAGGGTAGATAAAAGAGATAGTATCTTAATATGTGAGCATTTTGTTTTTCATATCGTAACATATGCATTTTATGCCAGCTGAGAGATTGTAATCTTTTAATAAGCAAATTTATATTTTCGGTCTTTTCTCTCTGATATATAAATTAATTTTGTAATCGCTTCGATACAGTCTGCTAATTAACTAGGTAGATAATTTTATCGATTAAAGTAATTATTGATGCAGAATATTTCCAATTAAAAGAGATGTAGAAAAACAAAAAAAAGCCAAAAGTTATAATAGGGTGTATCGATAAAAAAATAATGGTTCAAAAATAACCCATTCACTCATTGATATAAAAGATTTAATATTAATTTCTATTTATATGACAAATATGATTTTTTAAATAATTACATTGATATATATATATATAAATATAAGCAAATTTATATTTTCCTTAAAGATATAATTATTCCATAGATATATATTTGTAAATGTATTTAAATTAATATATTTACCCTCCTCTTAAATAAAAAAAAACAACAAGATATGGATATGCTTTGACATTGATTTTATTAATCAGTGAAAAAAAGAATAGTAGTTAGTATGAATATGTATCTGTAATTGAAATTGGAGAAGATAATGCAGTAATATTGTGTCGTGACGTAATTAGATTGAAAGTAGTAGATTAATAATAACAGGAAATAGTAGACTGTTTGGAAAGTAAAGGAAAGTGTCAAATTGTGAATGCTGCGATCAACAATCACAGATTCGAACAAAATCTATCACACATGCTCTGAGAGAGTGGTCAGCATGGTGGTCAGCAATAGAACACGTACTAATTGGCTTGTGCCACCCTTTGATTGAACCGCCGAGAGTTAGTTCTTGAATCAGGTGTGAACTACGCACTGTGATCATCGCTTCTGACACCTTCCTCTTTGAGTAATTAATGAAGTTTAATCGTCATTTTAACTCAGAGATATTTTGACAAATATTGCTGAGCCACAAGAAAAATAAAACACGCGTCAGACGCCCTTGCGTTTTTAATAGAGTGTAAAAGTCAGATGTTTGCGTAGAACGAATGTTCCCTGAGGGCTTCGATACTGAATACAATAAAGAGGACAATACAATTGATTGAAACAATAAAACAACGCTAGAGTAACAAGGAATCGTTGAAAAATTCGATATAAGCGTCAAAAATGGCGCTATCATGGAGCTACGGTAGCGCCAAGCCCGATTTATGTAGACCGATATGTATTGAATACGTATATTCATTATTTAACTGCCTCGACCAATCAGCAATAAGGGGCGGAGCGTCGCTATGACGATGATATTTTGCTTACGAATTTCAACCAATCAACGATTAGTGTCATGTCACGTGTTTGCGTGTCTAACTATGGAATTGTTAACTATACTACTTTCCACAGTTTAGCGCATTCTTTTCCAACGATCTGCAATGGATGCTTCTCGACTAGAACAGCAGAGTGCGACAGCTAACTTTTTGGCACATTGCAGAAATTTTATGGCGGCCCCATCGGTTCTTCCCATCAATTTTACCCCGCCTCAAATAGCTCAAGTGTGCGAAGTTTTGGAGGAATCCGGTGATATTGAACGGTTAGGGAGATTTCTCTGGTCCCTTCCAGTAAACCCTGCAGCGATGGAGGCTCTAAATAAGCACGAATCAATCCTCAGAGCTCGCTCTTTAGTCGCTTTCCATACAGGAAATTTCAAGGACTTATACCACATTCTGGAGAATTATAAATTCAACAAGGATTCGCACCCGAAATTGCAAGCTATGTGGCTCGAGGCGCATTATCAAGAAGCCGAACGTCTCCGCGGTAGACCTCTTGGACCAGTCGATAAATACCGTGTACGTAAAAAGTATCCACTCCCTCGCACAATATGGGATGGGGAGCAGAAAACACACTGTTTCAAGGAAAGAACAAGGAGCTTGTTGCGAGAATGGTACCTACAAGATCCTTATCCAAACCCAGCCAAGAAGCGAGAACTAGCCCAAGCTACCGGACTCACGCCGACACAAGTTGGCAATTGGTTCAAAAATAGACGGCAACGAGATAGAGCGGCGGCTGCCAAAAATAGGTTAGTTTATATAATTACTTTGCGCTCTCTATATGCAAATAATTATCGTTTTACTCCGGGCAATTACACCTTCTTTATGCATTATATTATATATATATATATATATATATATATATATGTGTGTGTATATATATTTATATATCTGTGGATATCTTTATATACAAATATATGTATACATTTATATATATATATATATATACATATATTCTGTGCTTTGAAAAATGTATACATAAGCCGCGTTATATATATATAGACCATGTAATAAGCATGTATTTTCGTTATTATCGCAATTGTTATAGAATCGAATATGATACGCTTAAAGACGCAAAAAAAACATACGTAGGCCCTAATCGGCTAAGTACATATACATAAATACAACAATACATGCATATATATGTAAGCATACGCACACGTATAACTGCTCATTTATTCAATTTAAATAATTGCGCTGTTGGTGCATTTTCTGTTTTGATGCACAGCAAATTGCTTTTTTTTTCTCCTCACAAACCACAATCATACTCAAATACACACAAAATATCTATGTATCTATAAATATATATATTTATATATATATATTGTATGTATTCCTATAACTATATATTCTATATATATGCAATAGATTCAGGACACGCATAATAAACAGCTGACGCTTTAAATGATGTCCGCTCAGCAAATATAATTAGAACACTAAATTGAATATTTTACGCACGATCGGTACAAATACACAATGTAAAAATTATATAACTTCTACTCTAAGTGATCACGAGCTTCTGCAATCGATTATACGGTTTTTAAAAATGTAAAATATAGTCCATTGATTTCTTATCAACTTAATTATACATAAATTTAGTTTAGAACAATAACGAGATTAAAAAAAGCGCTGCAAATTTCAACTTCATATATTTCAATGAAAATTTATCAGTTGATTCCTATCTTGTAAATAGGGGCTTGGTTTATTATATATGATGAATAGAGCAAAGCATGCTCAACCCATTGTAATAACAATATAGTACATATGAGCGAATATCTGAAAAATTCCTTTTCAAGATACTTTTAAGGCATTTAGGTCAAATCCTCAGCGTAAACAATCGCTTAGACTCCTAACAGTTCAGTTAGCCGCCATGTTTGTTTATCACACTTTTCTGTAGCGAATTTTTCCGCTCTTAACACGCTTTTTATAAGGGATTTAAGAAATGTTTTGTTCAATTCTGTTTGACAAAAGAATGCCGTAGACATTGCAATTGGACTCGCTCGAAGTTTAAGTAATAAACGTGTCAAAAACAATGGCCGACATCTCGTACTTCGCATACCAATTAGATATGGACTAATAGGCTGATGGAAAAATAGGCTTAACTTATAGTTTACCAGTGCGTACTTAATGTTACCTATATATTTGTAGATACAAAGCACGGTCTACTTTACATACCAGATAGTGAAGATTGCGAAAAATTCAGAACGACGCTCTATTAAAACACTTTCCTACATAGAAATTTCGATTTCCGTTACGTATCGCTAAAGGGTAATCTTTATAAAGCGAAGCTTTTATATACTTTATCATTCTCCCGAGAGCGGCGTTTTAGCCTTTTATCGGCGTGTAATTTTCGGATTTTTCACTTCAAACGCTTCCGAATGCGCTCAATTGTATCAAATCGTTCGTAATGATAAGAGGTTGGTAATTGGTTAAGAAAACATATAAAGTCACTTAGGTATAATTTATGTAGATATTTAAAAAGATATAGACGACATACAAACACACACGTCGCACATATGCGTCGTTTTGTGGACGACGTACGACAAACAAAAACATCGCCGCGACGCTATTCAAAGCGTCTAATAGAGCGGAAGTTCAATATAGTCGTTCAAGGGGCGTTCCATGAGGCCATTATCACCGTGCACTGGGCAAACAAATGAAAACGCTTATACGTCTGGCCGCTTAGCAATATATTTATTTAAGAAAAAGCGATAATTCGCTTTTGTATATGTAATTTAATTAATGAAACGTTTGCAATTGCGGTCTATATATGCCCATTTCGTGTAAATACAGCTGCAAAAGAACTAATATCTATCCGGGGCGTATATAGACGGGACTTCGTCAATAAACGAATGTATGATATATTATTTATTTAATTGACGAACGCTGCGTGAATAGAGCGTATTGAAGATATTAAGTTGAACATGTGCACGGAGAATAAAAGTAGGTCAGAGGGTGAAATAACAACCCCCTTTTTAGCGGTAAGCCGTTCTCTTTTGTATTCTTAACCCCCCGCCGTTCCAACACGAAATCACCCTCCCCCGATTGAACGATTCGATCTATCGTTTCCATTAATATCTAGGTCAATTTAAGTTGAACGACGTTTAAACGTTATTACGTCATAATTCAACGGAATTAGTTCTTAATTTTATCTATTGACCTGTTTGATGATAGTCGGCGTTAAAAAACTTTTGTATATTCATTAGCACTCTTTTTTGCATACGTCAACAGGTTTTAATATTCACAAGGCTATAACGTTACCGTCGCTTTTGAAAGGAATCGAGTATCGTTTAAAGCCCGGAGCTAGAATACAAAAAGCACAAAGCCTGTTCAAACAGCATGTACAAACAAGACGAGTTTCATGTATATTCCTTATAATTGTAGAGAGGTACTTTTTCAAAATGGCCGCGACGTAACTGAGTCTTCGGCAAACAATCATAGTGTAAACAATTTCTTTTATATAAGGCTACTGAAAGCGTTGAAATGATTGACAAAGTGAACCGTTTAAAGTCAATTCAACCTACAAAAGAAAAACGCAAAGGGAAATTTTTGTCCACCCGCCCCGCTTAAGATAACACAAAATGCGATCGGCGTTTAAATGAAATCTGAGTAGGATAAGTTGAAAAAGTCACGGATTACGCGGTATTTTAGAATGATTGGCGGCGTCGCTTAAAGCCGCTGAGGCGTCCTTCTTTCGGCGTCATTTTGCGTGTCACACGAAAGGTGTTGGGTGTGAATTAATCTGAAATACGAAGCAGGCTTATCTTTTCAATGCCCTTTGATCTGTATGTTCTAACAATTAGCCTAATTAGACGTCATATATATAGCGTCTAATATATATATATACTTTTCTTTGTATTTTTATATCTTACATTCATTTTATAAAATTTTTATATGTATGCACAGACGCTCTTGTAGACGAACACGCACACACGCTTAGAAAAATGTTCAATACACCAACATTCATAGCCCCAGAATTAACTATTGAAAGTATACGTGTACATTTTTTGTTTTTTTGTCTAAACAATATATATATACAGTATATATATATTTTTTTTACATTGAAATTATTGTTCACACTATAAAGAACGATTTTTATGCAACAGATTGCAGAACGCCGATAGAAATTCACCGTCAAGATCGCCTCCAGTCTCGCCGGGAGTTGAAGGCTCCACATCTCTAAGCGATCCTCAAGAACGAGCCGAAACACCTGATTCCTTCATAGACCCAGGAGATTCGAATTCAGACTTTTCCTCAACACCTCCACCGTCGTCAGAACAAAATGATCTTGCCGCTACGCCTAAAACCAAAACTAATGATAATGGGTCGGAAGAAGTTACCAAGGAGGAAGCTTCATCTAGCGAAAAAGAAAGACGTAGCGCTAGTCCTAGTCCGCGATTATCTTTCGCCCAACCGCTATTTCCCAGACCTCCCACGGATTTGCTGCCTAGAGACTTTTTAGCTCATCATCCTAGATTTCTATTTCCTCCTCTAGCACCGTTTGGATTGGCTGGTTTTCCCATGTTTGCACCGCCTTTAGGCATCCAACACCAGCCTCACGATTTGTCGACTAGGACTCAGACTTTGGCTCAGGCAGCGGCCGCAACAGCTTCTGCAAATTCACCGCTTAATTTATCTCACGTTCAGTCGGCTCGTTGAGTGGAATTTGCCTGTATAACGATGCTTTAATTATGCCATGGACAAAGACGCTACAATACCAATGCCGAAAGCTCGTAATGTTAGAAACTTTGTATACTGTAAAAAGAAAAAAGAACTTATAGTCATTATATACAGTATATATATACATATATTACGAAATACATATATACATGTATGTACTTGTAAAACAATAAGAATTATATATATATATTATATATACATATATATATGTATTTGTATTTTTGACATATACATGTATACAAATATGATAGGAATATATATATATATTAATATATGGATGTATATATGCATTTTTTGTGTATACATTATATGATATATATATATATATATATATATATATATATATATATAAGCGTTTATCTTTATTTCGTGTATATATATATATTCCTATATATGTATATGTATGTGTATATAAAGTGTATATTTATGTGCATATATATACATAGGCTTTTTGGCACCTGCATGACTACTATATACCGCGTTAATTAATTCTTTTGTGCATACATTATAATTTAGTCGATTACAAATATTTTTGATATCTTGATAAAGTATTTTCTCTTGAAATTCTTTATTGAAAAACTTTTCACCGCGTTGTATTCTTTCCCTGTCTCTCTCTCTCTATCCGTCACACTCCCTCCCCCTCTTTCTTTCATTCTCTTTTCTTCTCTGTCGATCTTTCTCCTTCCTTTTTTTTCAATTATTTTTACCGTCTAAGCGCCGCCGATTCGTGCACTCGATATTGAATAATAAATACTTTAATAAGACCTAGGTTTAGAATTGACACAAAAACCCTATTATTACAAACGCATAATTTAGTCAAAAGATCATAGTAATTAAAGGAACTACGGGCATATCATACAAGTCTTTCGATAGCAATTAACACCAGCCTGTACTATAATTAACTATACTTGTCGTTTGGTCTAATTATAGTCCTTCTAGTCCTCACCTACTACGAAATAATTAGTATTACTCGTATTATTATCTCAAAAGTAAAAGATACATGACATAATTCGTAAGTAGAGTAACGAATTAGTTGGAAAAAGACGAACGAAAAAAAGGAAAAAAATTCCCTAAGGAAACCTTATGTATTTTTACGGTTCATTTCAAAATGCCATGTAATGTAGCATATAATATATTAGTTGTCTGTATATTCGCATAATTGTCGCTTGACTGCTCTCTGTTAATCAGTGTCAGTTTATCGCAAGTGTATAATAATTATGCCATAATCGTTTTACCATACATATTGCACTGCCTTTATGAGATAAATTGTACCCGATTATCCCTAATTAATGAGTGATTATTATCTATATAAAAGTTTGCCTATACGACAATATTTATCTATCCATACAAATATTTATGGGTGTGGGTACAAATATTATAGGCAACATGGTAACGAGCTGCAAATTAACTTATAAAGAGGGAATATTTGAGAGTAATTACATAGTCTATCCCTTTCTTCAACTTGTACGCATTACTAATTCATATGCCTTAAATTAGCGCTGTATTCAGTATCATTGTCGTCTTTAAATGTGTTACCTTTACTTGAGTGATAATTTTTTAATTATAGATTATACTTCTAATTTACTAACTATAGACTACTATCATCTTTTGTATATATTAATAAAGAAATAGATATCAAAAGAGAGAGTTCAGTACTTTGTACAACACTACTTTGTAGTTACATGAATACATTCATACTTACCCACCTATCTATATAGATGAAATGCATACATACATACATAACAGACACGCACAAACACACACTCTTAAGACAAGCATATACTACGAATAAATATCTATTACAACTGTTTTTAATTGTTACTGTTGAAACTAGGTTAGATGGATATCTTTATATGGTGATACCTCGCCCCCCCTCCTCCCATCTACCAAATTAACATACATATACATACTCAACAGGAGATAATGTACTACCCATCTACATTATATACACCGTATACATTTAATCGACATAGTACAATAATTGGCTTTCAATAATGAATGTGAAATGATATACACATAGCAACACGTACTGTATGTATATGTGGAATTATAAATGACATCGTACCGTTTAGCACGTGTTGATTATAAATGTTTTAAACACTTGTGGTAGTTGCTTTAGATTATTTTTATCATGTTTCTTTATCCACTGACCACATGGGCATATTATTAAATGATTAATTATTAACACTGTCATTACATCAATCACTGCTTATCCGTTATATTCGTTTTGTTATATTGCGCAATAACCGCCCTAAGCAAATTTGCGGGAATCAGTTTTCTTTTATATAATTTTTTCCATTTATATATACTTCGTTATAGTCGTTGCATGTTAGATGGATGTCGAGTGTTAGAGGGGCATGGATGAAAAAGAAAATAAAAGACAAATGAATAATGAATATTTTTTATGCTCGTTTTCAGACAAAAAGTTCTTTAGCGCTTGTCATCGAGGACTTTCACTTAGATTGTCAGGATGTTGAAAATTTTATAGTAAAAAAGGTTCCTATTGTCAGCTAATTACCGTTGCACAAATGTTAGACAATTTTCACCCCACAGTTTCTCTTTCTTTATTTATATAACATATAACTAGTCGGGTCACTTATATATATATAGCTACTTTCCTGTCAGAAAAATGCATAGTAAGAAATTACGATGCTGAAATTTAATAGGTCACTTTATATCTATATTATACGACGTATAAAAAGGGGCTTTTCAGGCGACTTTATATATAGTATATTTATATAAATAAAAATATATAGACTATATATAAGTATTAAGAATATCCTTTTAAATAAATATTACAAAATAGGACAAAATAATAAAGACATTCACATGTGTATATATATATATACAATTTACGTATATTTATAATTATATTTGTATTGACATGTTCACACTATATGCACATGTATATGCTGTGAATTGCTCTTATAAAGATATGCGGGGGTTACATTCATGCATCATCCATCTTCAAAGGGAACAGCGGGAAATTGAATTAAAATCATCGCACGTGCGCCGTAAAGAAAACAAACAACAAAGAGGAAAAGGAAATCGTAACGTTTCGCAAATGCAAACGCGACAAAACGGTTGACGCGATGCGTCTAATGAAGTAAAAATGCGTCGACAAACAGGGCGTCGGATTACGGCAGAACGTTAAAAGGGCGGCGGACAAACAAAGCATAAGCAAATCGCGCTACAAACAGGAAGTCGGTTGCTTTGTAGTAAACGGAAGAAATTTTTAAATAAAATAGCACTTTTCCTGCAGCAGACTGACCATTGAGTGCGTGATGTTCGCCTGACTGCGCGGACACAAAGACATAAAATGTATCGTGCCCTTATTTAATTACCTTCCCACTCCAACCATCACGTCATCGTCCACAAAAATTCCATATAAAAACATGCACTCGTCTGACGTGTCAGGAATTGTGACGTAATCGAATTGACGCAGGTCAAACTGCAATGTCGCAACGCGGATGCGTTTTTCCAGATGGCCTTTCCTGCGTTCGGTTAACCTTACGTAACCTTTTTCCGAATAATTCGTGCTCGTGTCACATCGTATATATATAATTCGTGAGTACGCATGTTTATAAAGCTAGAGAAGAGGCAAACTTTCTAAGTTACACAACATAAGAAAAAACTGACAAAGAAATCAATACGACTAATACAGTTCGATAACTAGGGTGGCGTGATCGGTTTAGAAGAGAAGAGATGAGTGTCTACGTTCATCACAGCTCATGCGTTCCATCTTTGCTGTACAAGCGCTAATTATCCTCTTATGTGTATATAAGGGCGTCTTTGCATGCTAGCTTTAAAGTCTGTACAGTTGTACATTCATCACTATTCTTCAAGTTATTTTAGCAATCGTATGGAAGTATTCGTTGAAAAATTCAATTCCATTATGATATTACATGCATAATTAGAAGGGCAGCCATCTCGATATGACAGGTGCCCAATGAATATACAATAAAAATGGCGTGATATAGCCTGATTATGCGAGTTAGCGTACCTCCTATAGAGAGCGCGCTAAAGGCCATATAAATGCACTCTCCTAAATTCATATCTAATATTCCTGTGTATATCTATTATTTTCTCTTGTTTTCATGCGCATGCGCCAAATTGAAGTATAGCCAAATATATATTTTCACGCATCTGTTGTACGCTTCATATGTATAAAAATATAAACGCCAAGGGCGAGCGTTACTTTCAAGTATAGCAAATGTCACATAGTTCACGAGCATTGAAGACGGCGTCGATGTCGTAACTCTTTCTCTATGGGCTAATGGCCGTCCAATCCTAAACGTCAACAAAACAGCAATGAAACTCTTTCCGTTTCGTTCTAGCCCGCGGGGCATCGTCCCTTCTCAGCTTTTACTTGACGTGGCTTTGTGACGTACCACACGCGGCAGCGGATTATAGCCCTGCTACGGAATTTATATGTATTATGGAAGCCTTTCGGCGCCGTTTTACACCACCGGCAATATGTCACCATAAATCAGTAAAGGAGCCCGCCCCTTTTCTCTAGGATCGTGCTCCTTGTAACCCGCTATCTACGTCCCGATTGACCTAGATTTAGTTATTTCTCAACTAAGGAACATCCCGATCGAGTCGGTTGGTTGAAACTTTATCTGGCAGATACTCTCAAGTTAGCTTAGTTAAAGTGTTTGTGAGTGAAAGCAGATGTGCAGCGTGGCTCTTATTTGTGAAAAAAAAAACCTTGCCAATGTTTTCAAATAATTGAAAATTTTTTGTGCCAACATCAACTTCCTGCAAAAAACTCCAAATCCGATATATCAAATAAAGTAAACAACGCAAACCGACAAAAATTCTATAAAGATCATTCAGAATGCAAACGGAAAAATATAGCATGGAATTGAACTATTGGCCGGCCTCGGGGGTAAAGCAGATCAATACGCGATCATTTACTTGATTAAAGTTGATCAGTATTGAGGGTATAAGTGCTATAATGGGCGAGAGTATTATATCGAAAATGATTCTACCGATTTAGTTCGTTCATTGATCGGCTGAATGGTGTGATGAGAAAAAAAATCGAGGTCATATAATAAAGCTTATATGTTGAATGGAAAATTGGTTTAAAAAATCGCCTTGAAAAAAGGAAAACCGTACAATTTATACACAACAAATAAAAATAAACACAGGGGCAATTGGTGATTTCAATGCTGCCCACCCACGTCCATGACTGGCGCTCTCAACACCATTCTAAGGTGCCATTCCCAGCGTGAACCAAG